ATCGAGCCTAAACAAATCATGTATGCGTTTAAGCTGTCTCCCTTTCAAATCTTTTGATTATAGCTTTTTTTCTAGCCATCACCTCCAACAACTGACTAAGCTCGCGGGGGCAGACCTTCCAGAAAGATAAAGAAAAGGGGGTCTCTGCAGGAGATTTCTCACAAGATTCTAGCTTTTGAACAGCCACTGACTCTAATCAATTCATTATACATGGCACCGCTTCATAGCTTCTCGTGCGATGGCAACGAGGGTGTACATTGGCGACATAATGAGGCTCTGCGTCCGCCAAAGCTATACTTGGTCAGTAGATATTGGGCTTACCGCGCTTACCCACTACATTACCTGGCTTACCAATGTTTTCCTTTGTCTGTTGTTCGATCTGAGCTTTATAAATCGTTTCAGACAGTGCTACACTTCAGCCAACTAGCCGACAAGTACAGGACGCCTAGGAGAGGAGCAGAAAATTACTGGTATTACCTGGCAAGCATCGCTTGACATGTACACAATACTTGCATTAGCCCAGGTTTTCCACATCCGCATAATATGCTATGGAAAGTCCCCAGAATATGTGGAGGGCTACACACACCACTCATGCGCTTGATGTTGGCGCTTCGCCTGGCAAACTACTTTGTCTTCAAGTATCCGTCAACTGGCAGGCGGGTACTTAGTCTTGCAATTTGGAGGTTACGATAAGCTGGGCTTCCACACTTGGGTAACTAGTAAACCCGTCCGCAAGTTCGAAAATCCTAATTAAGTCAGAAATTCGTAGATTATTTTAGTTGAGTAATTTGGTTGAAATGATAAGTGAAGCTGGTGGTTCACGTTAGGTTACTAAGGCTAGTCACGAGGACAATGGTTACTCTCTCAGCCCACAATGCATGATTCAATTGATTACAGTATCATCTAAGGATACTTGTTTCCCTTCCCTGTTTGCTTGCAGCATATTTTGGATTCTGTGCATCTCTCCCCCTACTGCAGTCCACAGCATGTCCCATCCTTCCACGCACGCAAGACAGCACATCACAAATAAAAACCATGAACGGAAGTAATAATAAAGAACGCCTCCCGCCTAGCTTTCATGATATGGCTAATCAAGGGTGGTCATGTTGTTCGACAATGCCGTGCAGTTAATCGGGAGGTTGATGGGAGGGAACATGCCCTCAGGCGAGAAAGCCAGACTGCTGTAGTTGTACGTCGGGCTCATCATCATGATCTGGCCCACGGTAGTGCCGTACTTGTCTGCAAGGTCCTTGTACACACCCCATTTGAAGACGTAAGGCTGAATGACACACTGGCTCGGGTCGCACTGAGGCACCTTGATAAACTGGCCAACATCCAACTCCGCCGTCGGGGAGGTAGGATTGACGAGCGTCTCGTTTGAAGGCCCATCCACGTGCATCAGCGATTCCACTGTGATGTTGAGTCGGCGGGCAATCACTTCGTAGGTGTCTCCTCGAACAGTGTAGTAGAGACGAGGGCCGCCGTAGATACAGGTGCGCGTGGCATTGATGTTTGGCAAGAGACAGGATGTATTGTCTGGCTCGCACACCTCGGGAGGGATGATGAAGTACTCGCCCACATTGGGAACGATGGTTACATCCGCCATGAGGTTTTGGCGGCCGATATCACAGACACCGCGGTTGGTGGCACGCGCAACGTCAAAGACTGTTGTGCCATCCACTGTAATATAATAATTATAAGTGGTCGTGTTCAGGGCTGTTGTGTTGCAAGATGCTGCTGCAACAGCCACTGATGTAAGCGAGAGCGCCAAAAGTAATTGTTTGAATGCCTTCATCTTGGCCGGGTATGTGGAGGACTGGATTAGGGAATGAGGGACGCAGAGAAAGAGAGATGCTGAGGATGAATGATGTCGCTAGATGACCTCGATGGCAAGGGAGCGGACATGTTGCCTCTTATATAGCTCAGTAACCAGGAACTCCGACACGGCTGCTCGGAGGTAAGGATCTACGATTGCTGCGTCGTTGGGCAATCACTTTTCCGACTCATAACGAAGAGATTGGGTTGCGCGGCTTCTATCCGTCTCTCTGCGGCACAGAGACGGCTCTCTGTTAATTTTACTCGCTAGGAAGTCCGCCGGACTGATCATCTGTGGAGCCGAGGTCTTAATCTGTTCTGCAATGTAGATGATTTCCTTATCAACTAGATGCTGATGAGTGTCTGTCTTCTCAGTGGACAACACCTCTTGACACCCCACATGGGACCTTTTTTCCTTGCGACCTCAGGAGCCAGGGACCGCATATCATCACCCAAACGAGCGATGTCTCCGACATCTGAATTTAACCCATCATTTGCCATAGGTGGACTTGACCAGTTATTTCCCGTTGGTGTTATTGGGCCCTCATCGCGGACGCTGTGGAGATGCTGTGGGGGTGGGGAGCGGTGGATCTTGGTAAAGACGGAGTCTGCAGCGACGCACAGATAACTGATCTGAGGCCCCTTGCTCATGCTCGGACCTCCGAATGATAATTTCAAATCCATTATGATGCGTAGAATAGTACGCATGAGAAGGAGAAGCGGATTTCGGAGCTAACTACTTGGGTGAAATGCGATGTCAGAGAGGAGGGACTGATTTGGTGGCGCATGGTTATGGTATTGTACGGAGCGCATTGCGGTAACTGTCTCATCCTCTTCGTCGGACTTTTTTTCAGCACGGGAGACCTGGAAAATAAGGTTGTCTAGCCACATCTTCCGAACTAGACTATGAATCCCAGCAAACCTGGGGAAGCCGTGAATATGAGCCACTGATCGCCTTGCCAAGTTCTAGTAGTGGACTGCGGCTACTCAATTCTTATCATTGATACGATATCGACAAGCAGTAATAACTCTGGGCAAGTTGTTGCCTGGTCAGAATCTGCCTCTTTTTTTCGTTGATGGTACCTGATGTTGGGACGCCGATATTGCGCTTACCCAATTGGGGTCGGGTTTGCGAAAGCTCCACCGGCCACACATCTGCTTGACGGGCCGTGCATGAGTTTGTCTAAACCACCCAACAAAGTAAATAATCGGCATTATGTTTGCGGACGGGCTATATGGTATCCGCTAGTGGGGATCGGTGAGGGGGGGTTTTCTCTTTACCGACTGCAATGTTTCTCCGTATATGCCGCCTCTGCATAATGACCATGTCTCACCTACGGTGTTAGAAGTGCAAGCCTCCACGATGTCTTTGCGGGCATGTCTTTCGGATAGCGTATATGCACTTGGGGGTAGCGAGTGATATGTAGCAGTCGCTCGGCTATCGGTACTCGGAATGGTTGAATACATTCGTGAATTGTCTGGGTCGACTTGCAGCTACAACGTCCTTGTACCGGTGGCACCTATGCAACGTATCATTATGGATTCCAATCGGGCTCCGAGACTTATGAGGGATTAACAAGCAATATTGAGGCGTTCATGCGAGTTCTTTCTTCACTCCACTGGTCATGTACATGCCGCGTTCTTCACCTGCATAACTTCCGTGTCCGTCTGCCCGACGTCCTGCACACGATTGAGATTATTCTCCGCATCTTTTGCCCGTCATTTCCGCCAGGATATAGGCCACTAACTTGCGTATTGCTGTGTTACCCTCGTATTCCTGCAGCCGGTGGCCGGAGATGCTTCCAGAGTCCATGAACCGCATGCATGTCCACCTGCCAGCAACCAGTAATAGCGGCGCAATAGGTATCACCAAAGAACATGCCTGTCTTTTTCGGCTATGCCCCATCAGATGACCCAGCCGATGATTGCTGTATCGTTTCGTTACCACCGTGTTTGGATAGGTTGGTGCATTGCGAGGCGTCTTGTAGACTCGACCTAACGCCTGTTAGTGCTGGGCGGGTGCAGTAGTGTGGGTGTATGTATCTTAGGCGATTTCACCCCAAGCTTTGCTGCATGGATCCAGCTAGTGTGCCTGCATACACCACGAGCGTCTACCTGCAGGTGAAGGATTGTACAGCATCAAAGTAAGTTAGTTTAGTACAGTCAGGTCCGGTTATTATTCGAACTAAGAGAAGAGTGACGCGTCCATGCAGGTGGATTCCCACACGCAGTACTTGGATATGTCATCTGCTCTATTAGCTTTTTACCCGGAAGTGGAAGGTACGCCACGTGCCCCTGGGGGGAGGAACTTCGCAATGATAGTACCTGGTTATGATGGATGAAGTACCCGGTCTTCCGGTGCCCAGTTATGGGGGAATAATAGCTCATTCTGCGACTTTGAACATATCTCTACTAGCCATGTATAGTTGGTTGATCTTCGAGAGGATGTGGTAATATGGTACTTGCCATTGTCAACGTAGTGTCACACGAAGAGGTGGTGGTACTCAAACTCTAGTATGGCGGGGGATATATATATTTTCATGAGAAAGAACACTAGTGGTGCGCAGTATGCCTTGACTGCTACATAAAGACGAAAATTGAGAAGAGAAAATTTGGCAATTTCGACTGAAGGGAACCACATTATGATTGGAACTGGCTCGCTAATCCAAATCCTGCAATGACAGGTCTGGGGATTCATGTTGCAGGTATCAAAATCGACAGTTGGAGAAGAGGATGCAAAATTTAGAGAAAGCTTATAGTGTCAAAAAGGTTGTCAGATATACAACAAGATCCGATATGGTGTAGTGGCTAACATCGCCGTCTCTCACACGGCAGCCGGGGGTTCGATTCCCCCTATCGGAGCTCAACAACTTCTTTTTTTCTACTTTCGCAGTTTCTCCCCCCGCTGTGGGTGGATCCTCACCGTTTTCCCTTTTCTTTTGCTGTTTGAAATTTCCTTGCACATTCCTCTAAACTTCACAGCCTCCTCCAATAAGAGCTATGACAATACTGTATGATAAGTATAAGCCGGCTATCCCCCATCTCTGGTTCGAAAGCCCACTGCCGAGGATGTTCTTGGTTTCCAAGTTAGCGGCGGGTTGCCCCAAATTGGGGAACGACGGCTTGATTGGTAAGATGATGTCAATCCCTCGGCAATCCTCGAGCTGCTATCTATAGTCTATACCCAACGATTTCCCATTCATATAGTATGCAGAAGAAATCAGACCCTTGACCAGCCAACATGGCACCGAGCACGATGAAAGCAATTCAAATTCAACAGTTCAATGAGCCGTATCATGTATCCGAAGTGGTCGTTCCTCAACCAGAGCCACATCAAGTATTAGTGCGCGTCAAAGCTGCTGGTTTCTGTCATACCGATTTGATGGCTCTAAACAATGAATTTGGAACCAAATTACCCTTTATTGGATCTCATGAGCCGGCGGGGATAATTGAGGAAGTTGGTTCTCGGGTCACGGGGTTTCAGAAAGGCGACCGTGTCGGCTGCATCAACTTTGATAGTGTTTGTGGTAAGTACGGCTGGGGGTTGTAAATGTTGTCGTCCCGTGGCAGCTATGTTAAGTCGGCCTTAATTGGGGTGGAATGTAGGAAAATGTCCGGACTGTAAAGCTGGTCGTCCTATCTATTGCGATGCCCCGATGATGAAGGGCATCACTGCTGATGGAGCCTGGGCTGAATACATGGTCGCGTGAGTAGTGCTACTTGAGTCTCCCAAGATGAGTATCTTCGTGTCTAACCTTATACATAGCGATGCTCGATTCATGATAAAACTACCCGATGATATGGAATTTAAAGTGGCAGCACCTTTGATGTGCGCCGGGATTAGCATCTACGGCGGCATAGTCCGAGCCAACGTGCCCCAAGGTGGCTCAATTGGCATTGTTGGGATTGGTGGATTGGGCCATATCGGTACCCAAGTTGCCAAGTGCATGGTAAGAAAAAGTATTGGAAGCCAAGTTAGAGAGGTACAGATGATAACGACCATGAGCAGGGCTACAAGGTCGCGGCAATCGATGTAAAGCAGTCAGCTCTGGATGCAGTGGCGTCCTACGAACACAAGCCCGATGTATCCATTTGGGCCACAGACCCAGTGGAAATGTCCCAGGAAAAGATTAACAAGGCTGTCCCTGGCGACTATCCAGGACTCGATGCGACCGTGCTAGCCACAGATCATCCATCGGCCTTTGAATTAGCGGCTGCTCTTACGCGGAAGCACGGTAAGATGGTCTTGCTTGGTCAGCCTGAAAAGGGGATCACCATGTCATATCAGACGACTATCTACAAAGATATAACGTTGGTGGGCTCCTTGATCGCGGACACAGCTGATGCGCAGGCGTTCATCCAGTTGTTCCACGAGAACAAGCTGCACGTGGAAGTCAAGGAGTGGAAGCTGGAGCAGGCAGAGCAGATGAGGCAGGAATATTTGGCCGGAAAGTCGAATGGCAAGAATGTCATTGTCATCGATTGAAGAGTCTGAGTTTAAAATGCAGAGTCTCGCTGGAAGATACTAACCTGAACGCCAATCTAGCTTCCTCCTGTTTTCCAGTCGCCGTGGGGCAAAGCATATTAGCTGACAGGATGGCGTCGGATGTGAGGAAGTAGCGGATGCTTAAAATAGCCACCACCACTACTATTATTTGTTGGGAGGAGACTCAGATCGTGACGTTCTTGTCCATATTTTAGGAATAGTGTCCCAAAAGTATCGAGACGAAAGCTATGCAATATGTATCATGGAAAGTCATCATTAGCAATTCCAATGATGGATTCAACCGTGGCGAGAATTACAAGATACAGTACGCTATTCTGAGATGTGCCTCTGCTCAGTGCTTCTCCCTAGCAATAAGAATCCGGTCAAAAAGTCCCGTCCCCTTAGGAAGGGGCACTGCAATATGCCCCTGGACGGATGCTGCACGCACTATCAACACACTAATCGGTAGGAGCATCCGACTGGAAGCTCCAGGGGAGCAGCTACTTTGCCCCAGTGGACTTATATGCCACTAGGGAGTCTTAGGCCCACGACTGATACAGAACTCGACTCCTTGGTCATGCCCCATAGACTGTTTCGTCAAGACTGACAGATAATAGTATAGGCCTTATATCACATCGACATGATGGTGTCATTGCATCGACGATGGGCGAATGACACCATATTCAATCAATGATATGAACAGTCGTCATGTGACAACTTAGGATCATCTTTCACCAATGCTGCTCCTCCTGGCAGACTTGTACAAATCCTCTCGGCTGCATTAACGGCGGGCCTATTTTTAACGGGACTCTTGGTGAACCTTTTTCTTTGCATAACTTAGCTTTGACCACCCAGGGGCTTCAGCATTCAGTTCGTGAAGAACAAGAAAGGCGCTAAAGGGATATTATTGCTAAAAAAGGATTCCATTAGCAGGGCCGGTGGAGGCGCGTCGGTGTGCCAGAGGGAGACCAACGATACCGGCAATCTCGGCGGATCTTCTTGCTGGGGAAAACGGCCGAGTCCACCTTGCACACCGGGCCCAATTATTCCTGCTATCAGCACCATTCATTGTGTCTTCATGGCTGGATGGGCGTTGGTGAGTGGTCGATGCTGAGGGCTGGCTCGGTCGGAGCGCCGAAGAGTAAAAGTGGGCGGGAGTGGCACCCACTTTTAATTTGAAACACCACGGCCTTGAATAAGATTGTCCAGGAACACCACCAGGGGCCCAGGACAGCCGATTTAATCAATGACAGAACGATGAGTGTCGCACTACCCTGCTCGGAAGCAAGCTCGATTGGATGCTAGATGGAGCATCGTACCAGAGCACAGCTGCTGTTCACCTTCATATAAGGACGGTCGCGGAACCTGGTTCCTGCACAGCAACCTACGCTCTTTTCCCGAATATTTCCGGCGCCTGCTAAATAATTATTGTCACTCCCTTAAACTACTTCATCATGGTCGCCTACTCGTCTCTTCTCCTCGCTCTTTCGGCTGCCTCGAGCGCCGTCGCTCTCCCCAATGGTAAGGCCCTGCTGGACATGGCCAAGCGCAGTCTTACTTCTTCCGCGGAAGGCGAGAGCAACGGCTACTTCTACTCCTTCTGGACCAACGGTGAGGGCGACGTGACCTACACCAACGGCGACGCTGGTGAATACACCGTTGAGTGGACCGACTGTGGTGACTTTGTGGCCGGCAAGGGTTGGAACCCGGGCAGTGCTCAGTAAGGACTTTTCCATCGCTGTTCATCGAATGAAAATGGGTGTTAACCAGTATATTCAGGGCCGTTACCTACAGCGGATCATGGGAAACCGACGCCAACGCCTACCTGTCCGTCTACGGTTGGACCACCTCCCCCTTGGTCGAATTCTATATCGTCGACAAGTACGGTGACTACGACCCCTCCTCTGGCCTGACCGAGCTCGGCACCGTCGACAGCGACGACGGAACCTACAAGATCTACCAGACCACCCGTGAGGACGCCGACTCGATCGAAGGCACTGCCACCTTCAAGCAGTACTGGTCCGTGCGCACTGAGGGCCGTATTGGTGGAACCGTCACCACGCAGAACCACTTCGATGCCTGGGAGAACCTTGGTCTGGAGCTGGGTACCTTCAACTACATGATCGTTGCCACCGAGGGATACGAGAGCAGCGGGTCTGCCACCATCACCGTTGAGACTTCTTCTGACAGCACCGAGGAGAGCTGCTAAACGCTCTTTTGAAGTGACTGCCTCACTCCTTCTGTATATAATCAGTCCCGATCGGGTTTCACTTCTTGACCGAACTCATAATCTCATTTTCACATCTGGGTGTGGACGCATAGGCCGCGACATTGTTCTTGAACATTCGTTGACGTATTATTTTACCCGCTATAGGCATTCATAGACTAAACCTTCCTTGTAGCGGCTGTCACTGTCGAAGTGGGAGTGACACGAGCAGCAGCTACAGATGATCATGCTGAAGTTGCTCCAAGCACGCTACTGAATAGCTCTTCTAACGTTCGGCAATACTACTGTCATGGACCACCGTAAGTGTCAGGCCGGACCGGATCAAGAAAGTGGAGCATGATTGTATGTGCTTAATGTCACGGAGCAGGTCCGAGTGCTATACTATTATTCTCTTGATATTTAGAGCTTAAGATCCCCAGGCTCCTCTGGTTGCCGATTCTGAACCCCGAGAGCCTGAAGACTTACTGGCGCCATTGTGGACAGCCATTCTAAAGGGGTAAACCAAACCTAACATTCGAGGACAACACAACCTCGCTCATAGCCAGCTAAACTACCACTGCTGTTTAATACCATCTCTTTGTGCGGGTTTGAACTCTACACATGAGAATCCACTGTCTTCATAGAACAAAGCAACTACGCGGCCCCTGAATACTGGCTCCTGCTGCTTCTCTAGCATACGATTACCTCCAGGATATCTCTCGACCCGTTCCTGCGGTATATCCATGGTTGATAGCTCTAATTCTTGAATACCGGTACCATCTCCCGGTTGGAGTCATGACGTCCAGCGGTGAACCCTTTCAGGCAGCTCCGATTAGTCAGGGATGCTTTTTCCCACGGGGTACCCCGCAATTCGGCACGATGATCCCCCGACCTCCCTTATCCACCAAAGCCAATCAAGACCCGGCCAGCCATCGGCAAGTGTGTGCCCAGCCGGACAAGACGTGTCCTGCTCGGGATAATCTATGGCGAGCGCTGGCAGCTGGACTGCAGGGGCTTCCGTCGTGGCTTCGGGTGTATTAGACCGACTGTCGTCCAGCAAGATCTAAATGCTTAATTGAGCTTGTCCTGTCCTTCTCTCATCCCCTTTCTGTCCATTCCCAAGCCATCGGGGTATGTACTAGATCATCCTCGAACTGCCAAGATGCGTCTTTGGAAACATGACTTTCGGGGCAGGGCCCTGATCATCGCCATCACCATGGCCTCCTGTCAGGCCTTCCTTTTGCTGGGGTTTGACCAAGGTTGGTAGTTTTCTTCACGGTCTCCCGGGATAGAGGATGATGGTGGCTGACAAGACGGGGATGATAGGTGTCATGTCCGGCATTGTGGGTGCGGATAATCGCTTCGCCCGCGACTTCAATAACCCCGACGCGGCGATGCAGGGCAACATTACCGGTCTCTACGATATCGGTTGTGTGATCGGATCCATCATTTGCTACTTCATCGGCGAGCGAATGGGTCGTCGAACCATGCTGATGATGGGTGGGTTCATCATGATCATCGGAACCGTCATCCTCGCTTCCTCCTACACAATAGCACAGCTGCTGGTCGGCCGAATCGTTACCGGGCTGGGTAATGGAATGAACTCTTCCACCGCCCCAGTCTATCAGAGTGAATGTTCTCCAGCAGCATACCGTGGTGCACTCCTCACCCTGCAGGGGACCGTCACTATCCTGGGCGTGGTGATCGCCTACTGGTGAGATTGTCCCATGTAACCACAAAATATTCACATACTAACGGAGCAATTCTCCATAGGATGGACTATGGCACCAGCTTTACTGATTCCTCCTACGAATGGCGCCTCCCCCTCGCCTTTCAGGCTGTCTTCGCCATCTGCCTCATCTTGCAAGTGGTCGGTCTCCCAGAAACCCCCCGTTGGCTGGTCCAACACGACCGTCATGAGGAAGCCCGCGCTGTCGTGGCTGCTATCGAAGACACCACTATCGATGATCCCAACGTCACCAAAACCATCATGGACATCCAGTTCGTGCTGGAGGAGGAACAAAAGGACGGTCCGTTCCGCGTCAAGGAGCTCTTCACCTGGGGCGAGGTGCAGAACCTCCGACGTCTATTCATCACCATCACCATTGAGCTAGGCCAACAATTCACTGGAAGCAATATGATAAATTATTACGGGCCGGTGATGTTCCAGGAGACCATGAATATGAGCCGCAACCTGTCACTGATCCTGGGTGGGGCCATGCAGTGTACCTACCTGGTGGGTTCGGCAATCCCGGTGTTCTTGATGGACCGGTATGGCCGGCGTACCTTGCTGATGGTGTGCTCGGCCGGCTTATGTCTGTGCTTCGTGATGGTGTCGATTCTGCTCTCCCTGGACCGCGAGGACTGTGCCTACGGCGCGACTGTCTTCATCTTCATCTTCCAGATCTTCTACGGCGTGGGCTGGCTGCCCGTCCCATGGTTCTACCCAGCCGAGCTGAATACAACGCGGGTACGGACGCGGATGCAGGCCATCGCGTCCGGATGGAACTGGATGGCCGTGTTTGCCGTGGTGAAGATCACTCCAATTGCATTTGGTAGGTTTTGCTGCGCTTGATGAATCAGGAAGAATGACATACTGACATATGATGTATAGACAACATCGGCTGGCGCACCTTTGTCATCTTCGCGGTACTGAACGCCGTATTTATCCCGATGGTGTACTTCTTTTACCCGGAGACGAAGGGACTCGAGCTCGAGGACATCCCCTTGCTTTTCCACAAGGGTGGAATCACCGGAGGAGTCTTCACCTCGAAGGGTGGACGCACCGTCACACCCGGCCAGCACGCGCTGGAAGCCCGCGTGGACCAAAAGGTCGAGGGCACGGTACAGCAAGTGGAGAATATCGGATGAACTGCGTAGCAGTAGCTGTTTTGCTTTCTAGATCTCGGTATTATAATGTTAGACTTGTCTACAATGAACGAATGAATCATGTCATCATTTCTCCATAAAGTTAAGTCATACAGTTGGCTGCTATCGTAGAGTTGAAAACGAACGACATAGAGATCGGCACCAGCGATCGACAGGAGTACACATAATTAGAAAAGCACCACTCACCAATTTTACCACACACAACACACAACACGGCGTATTATGCAATCTGTCTCACCTTACCCGAATTGAACAGCATAAACACATTCTCAGTCATAAATCATAACCAGAACCATAACCATAGCCATGAGACCTACACCCATACCCCATCCGTAAGCCTATAATAAGATGATCGACCCGATCACATCTCATCCAGCTTCGGTGGCTCTTCCTCCCCTAGATTATTATCGAGATCCCGAGTCACCCGCTGCTGTTTCTGTTGCTGCTGGATATTGATATCGCCCCGGTCGGCTTTGACCTGCGGTGCCTTAGCCAACTCTTATAACCCACTTACCTTGATAGAAGGGGAGGGGGATAAACGCACCGAGATCTCACTAGAGGTAGCATGGATCTCATCCCAGTGGGCCGGATTCTGTGCTGACTCGTCGCGTTTCTGGACGAGACTGGGAGAATCCTCCAAGTTGTCTGGGTAGGAGGGGGGAATGAAGACTGAAGTTGAGATGTTAGTTTGATGCTTTCTTTCGATGGGAACAGGGTAGAGGTAGATGAAGAAGAAAAGTGGCAAAACGTACACTCCTCTCCCTTGTTGCTATGCACTTCGGGCGGATGGTAGTAGCACACACGGGCGGAGTAGGTCGGACGAAGTACGAGAGGACGACTGAGAGTGGAAGCTCGTCTGAGGATCATTGTGGTAGATTTGATTGTCGATCAGTTTGGGTGAGTTGTAGATGGATTCGTGATGGATGCGTAGAATGGCGTCTAGACCAGAGTGATGAAGGACGGGAAGAAATAGTGTGGGGATGGCAGGTAAGGATTAATAGTGACAGACAGCAGAAAGTTTGGGTCGTGATGTCAGAGCCACTTTTGACACTCTCTGGTAAGTTTCAGGCGTGTGACAGGTGTGACAGGTCACGTTTCAGTCCCGTGCCTTTCTTCTGGACTGGTGTCGATCGTTGGTGGCTTTCGTTATCTATCCAGTGTATACATCACCTCTCTCCCTCCTTCCCTTCTGGCACTTTCTAATCCGCACAATATTGGGTCAAGCTTAATCAATTAGATTAAGAATTCATCTGTCAACTGATTGATGTTTATCTACCAAAAACTCGGGTTAATCTAATCAGGTCCGCTCCCCATTGTCATCCACCTTTCCCCCTTTTGAGGTTCGTGATGACTCTCACCGGCGACAAGGGTAGACGAATAAGGTGGCGGAGACCTTAGAAAAAAAGGGATGCGACTCCACTATAGTTGACTCGTATCGGAGCTGCGGGCCTGTCTCAAAAACTAGTGAGCACCTTAAAAGGGGTTCACGGGCTTTGCTTGAGTCCAACCGCGTACTAAGAGTTCCTACGGAGCTCAAGGCCGTTTAGAGATAATCCCCTGTCTGGGATAGATGAGAGATGAGGAGGCAGGTGACTGATCGGACATCTTGCTGTGCTCTCTGCAATCCGGTGGGGTAGAATTTTGGGGTACTTCATGCCTGCTTGGGCAATGCCCGACAAGTGATGACGATGGCATAATTCAGCAAATTGATCTGGTTGTTGGGGACTGCACCCAACATGGTCTAGATAAATGAGGCTGTTAGTGGTCCCCCTAATCTTTCTTTTCTCTCTCTGGAAGGACCACCAACCAACCATTACGGGCAACATCCACACAGAAAGTCGGTGTGTCGACCGGAAAAGACCAAGCACGCTTCTTCGTTATTCCGCTGGTTGATGTCTTCCCATGGTTCCCAGCCTCCCCAATCTAATCACAGACTGGAACTTGATGAGCGAGTGTCTTGTGTCCTGCAGATAGGTGCGCAGTCCGGTGTTCCAGGTCGCCTGAGGATCATGCAACCATCGCTTAAGGCTCGCCTCGGCGACTGATCATTGGGGTCTGCAAAGTCCTGCCCACCCAATTTTTCTTGGTTGACGGCAAACTGGCGGGACGGCGCTCCACACTTCTCCATCGTGGACGGGCGAAGCGTAATCCCCCCATCAATTGCCGAATACGAACCAATCGAATACCGGCCCGGAAAATTTTTCGACACACTAAGGCAATTTTAGGCATCAGCTGCGGAAATGCATCGAGCTTCTAGCATTGTGACGTGAGATGAGATTCGAGGGCCATCATTGGGAAGGTTGATCAGCACAATTACAAGCATCGGCTAGAAGATAGCTAAACCTTCATTGCGCCGATCGGCCGCCGCCAAGTCACTCAATTGTCTGACAGCTGCCATGGATGGAGACACAGCCGGTCTCAGGTTCATGTTGACCTCCCAAGTCTCGGCTCGTGGGGATAACAAGGACGGGGTGGAGTGGCCGATCAGCATTAAGGAGACCGCTGGGAGAAGAGGCGATTACCATTGAATGAATCGATGACAGACGAAGCGGAGCCGAAAATTCCAACTGATCACTTCAGCCGCCCCACTGATTAGCTGTCGTTATTTCCCAATTCATGGTCTGAGGGGGTCGCAATCTGCATCATGTCAGGTTTTTTTCCCTTTTATTTTTTATTTTATTTTATTTTATTTTTTTATCTGGCATGGTAGGGTATATACTTGTTCGACCGTGTGTGTGTCGGGGGCCATTTCCCTGGCCGAACATTTCAATGACTTCCCTGCCCACTTCCGCCGGTTTTCTTCTCTTCCTTCAGCTCCAGTGCCTTCACCCCAGCCTGCACCATGTCTGAACCGGGATACCATGCGGAAAACCACCCAAGGCATATCGATCGCAAAGCCCTATACACCGACCTAGAGGCGCGGATCGACTATTTGCAGAGATTCCTCGATTTTAATGCCGGTTGGTGCCCCCCCCAGCGCCCCCCGGTCTTCCCCACAAGGCTGTCTACGTTCATTGTGTCTTTTTCCGCGGGAGTCGATTCTCCGCGGCAACACCACGCTTAAACTGACTTGAGCTGAATACAGACGATATCGCAACTCTCGTCCGGGGCGCCAAATATGTCAAGGCTCTAGCTCCCACCGTGGTGGACAAGGTGTATGTGAAACTTCTAGAGTTTGATATCACGGCGCGCGTCTTCCGCACTCGGAACACAGCGGTAGAAGAAGAACCGGACGACTATCCCACCCTAAATAGCCCGGCAGTTCAGCGTCGCCGTCAATTTCTTCGATGGTACATGACCAAATTGTGTTCCGACCCAACCAAGCCTGAATTTTGGCGATACCTGAACCAAGTCGGGTATGCAACGAACCTATGTCCCCGATTGTCCCTTTGTATTGGCCTACAAGACTAACGGGTTATTCCAGGCGCATGCACTATGGGAAGGAACGGATGCACTCGTTGAATGTCGAGTACATCCATATCGGAGCCTGCCTGGGCTTCATCCAAGACATCGTCATGGAGGCAGTGCTGACATACGAAAAGCTCACCCTGCCGTTCCGGATAGCGCTCGTCAGGGCCCTGGGCAAGGTGATTTGGATTCAGAACGATCTCTTTGCGCGATGGCGTCTTCATGACGGAGAAGAGTTCGAAGACGAGATTGAGAGTTTGCACAATAAGCAAGAAGCCGGCCCCCAAGTCACACCAAAGCCCAGCTCGACATATCTGCGGGCCGATGGACCGTCTTGCGTCAAGACTTCGACGGCCAGCTCGACATCCTCTTCTGAATTTGCCAGCCTCTTCTCGGAAACGTCGTCTCTCGAGTCCACCCCATCTCCACCCACCATTTCAGCCCCCACGCAATCCGCGCAACGTTCGGCGTGCCCGTTCGCCCACGGCCCCAAGCAAGGCGTCGAGACCAAGGTCTGGTCTAGTGCATGGCGTCCGGGGTCCGTTGGATCTGGTGGCACTCGACACTAGTGCTCAGGCGACACTTCTGCTAATATGATACGTGTAATGATAATATCCGTTGATCGGACGAGATAGACTGGGCGCGTGTTTCGTTTTGTTTGTTATACCCACAAGGATCTGGCTTGCGGACAGTTAATTACGAGCGGAATAAATGAGTTTCAATGCATGCATATGGTTCAATCTTTAAATAGGGTATTTACATGCCATACTTACGTGTTAGACTATGGATAGGGATGACGAGAGCACTGGAGCGTTGACCCTAGAATTGGGGGCGGGGGTCCGGTGAATGATGATGGCAACAGGTACAGTCTTCCGAATCCACACTAAATGCTGACTCGACCCATTAGAAGTGGACCCTGCCTGTGCCATCGTGGATGCAGCTGAAAGAAGAAACTTTGATGTTGTCGCTGTTGTAACTGGAGAGCCATTGATCTGCTCAGCCAAATGTTCCAAGGTATTTCTGACATGCTGTCTGACAACATGGTGGGCTCTGCACAGTCGAATGAACGCAAACGGCTGCTGTTCATGTGGCTTCATAATACTCCATTTCTTGCAACACTTCACTCCAGCATTATTAGTGATGATTTCCGACCGTACCGAGTGTCTTGCGTATTGCGGAAGCTTTGAATATGCAGAATGATGCGTGTAAGATACGATCTTTGAGATGTCATGACTGAGGCTGACAACTCGTCCTCGGTGTAATTCATACCGTGCAGGGTGCTCAAAGTGTAAATGATCAGCACTCCTGCATGCCATCGAACCTGTAAGAACTTAGTCAAAGAAGCAATGCATCTTCTGTCTCTTGGCATCCAACTGCCGTTGTTCCCCTCTTTGTGTGGCCGGTACTTGGACGAGGTAGGTTGACAACTGAAACGCTCCAGGAACCGAAAAAAAGCCATCTTACAGGAGGAAAGCACCTACTTGACACAGATGATTCTCTCCGTGAATGATAAGGTTTGCAATTGATGATATACTCCGAACGCAACGTCCTACGCGGGGTATCCAAGAGACTGTCAACTGGCGCGGTGGCTGCTCGATCGCTATCTAAATTGCCGGAGCAATTCCGAGCCCATATCCAGCTTGCCGTCATCGAGCATTTGCTTGACTTCAGTCTGGACAAATCGCGTCGTACTCTGCCTCCGCATGGCTGCCGATCCTCCTTGCATCCCCTCACAACAACAACGGCATTTTAGGCTCAATCGCCGACATTCCGCACATAAAAACCCACTGTCGGAAATGCCCAACAAAGCCCGTGCTGGACTCTTGACGGGTATCAAGGTAAGCCAGGAAACCACAAGAAGATGAGAATGCCCTCAGCCATCAGTATTGGAGTTTTCGCGGGCCTGGGTCTCGCTGCTTCGGCCGTACCTTCTCTCCAGAAGAATGGCACTACCTGCACCGTCATCCCCTTAGGGAACGGACAGGATGATGTCCCCAACATCCTCTCGGCCGTTGACGAATGTGGCCAGACCTCTGGAGGGAGAGTTGTCCTCCCAGCGCCGTATACCTACCGAATTAACCAACGGATGACGACTCACCTGACCGATTCCCGCCTCGAGATCGGTGGTACGCTTCTCTTCAGCGACGATATCGACTACTGGGTCAACAACTCCTACCGGGTGGACTTTCAGAACCAGTCAAGTGCCTGGCGTGTCACGGGTCATGACTATGTTGTGGATGGAGGTCCACATCAAGGTGGAGTGGATGGGAATGGACAGCTGTGGTACACTTGGGCCAAGGGAGGTAGCAATGTCTTCGGACGACCGATGTCAGTGCATGTGTTCGAGTCGACGCGAGCAACCCTCCGTAACCTGGCAATCCGGCAGCCTCAGTTTTGGGCTGTTCTTGTCGATTCCTCTTCGCATATCAACCTCGATAATTTCTACGTGAATGCCACAAACCATGACTCCTCGGTGAGCCCAGAGGGCGAGTGGGTGCAGAATACGGATGGGATCGACACGTACCGATCCGACCATATTACGATTACCAACTGGGTGTACCAAGGCGGAGACGATGCAGTGGCTTTCAAAGGGAACTCGACGAACATCCATGTGGAGAATGTCACGGTTTATGGCGGACCGGGCATCGCTTTTGGGTCGCTGGGACAATACCCCGACCGGACGGATATTGTGGAGAATGTGACGGTTCGGAATGTTCGAGTAAGTAAGGCTCAGAGGCATGATGGCATTTGAATTGACAGGTATAGGTGCAACCGTCCTTCCAGCGGGCGATGAATTCCGGGGTTTACTTCAAGAGCTGGTAGGTACTGTGTCCTTCACAGCGATCGCTAGCTGACCAGCCAGGATTGGGGTCAATTATGGTGTTCCTCCGAATGGTGGTGGAGGCGGCCATGGATACGTGCGCAACGTCACAGTCGAAAACCTTCGACTTAAGGATGTGCAGCTACCTGTGTATATTGACACCTGGTGAGAGCGATACCACCATGTTTGAGGTACTCGGCTAACCCGGGCAGCTTGAGCTATCTCTTCAGCGAGAACATCACGCAGAATTGTGACACATCGACGTACGAATTCGAGGACCTCCACTTCAGAAACATCAGCGGCAATGGACTCGCAACGGTGACTGATTACCCCGGGAAGAACATCAGCTTTGCCGTGTCTTTGCTTTGTTCTGAGAAGGCACCGTGTACGGACTTGACCTTCCAGGACATCAATATTACGCTTCCAGCGAACTATACTGGCAAACATGTACTGTGCGAGAATGCTGAGGTGGAGGGGCTCCCATGCAATTCGTGAGCTGTCGCTGAATGAGACAGACCGTGTCCATAAATAGAAGCTAGATGCATGTCTCACATGATTGCTCGCTTGCTGTTGGTAAGGTTTGACAATCACCCCAATTGTGCAGCGAAGTCAAGTCACATTGGGATGACTTTGGGGTTCCAATCGGATCTCGTTTCCATAGGACCAAATCATGATTATGTGGAAAGCCAAAGTTCGCCAAGCTTGAGAACAAGGTCTCTCCACCCCGTAGAGTCTATAACTCGCGTGTCTCGGATTGTATCGAACGCCATGTAGTCAATCCCGAGCACTCGTGTCCCACGTCATGGTGAGTATGCAGTGAGTCAGGGACACAGATATAAATGGTGGCACACTGTCGTTTCTCGCAGGAGCAACACTGACAACAGAAGATATCCCGATAAGTTACAGCCTCGATTTCAGTGCGACATAACGATGTATTTTAAACAATCCTTAATTGCATCTCTTCTGGCTACGATAACTTGTACATCTTCCCTACCCCATCGGGATACCCACTAACACTCAGTCTAGACGCGCAATCCCCATCCCACCCCACTATCACGGCGACACCATGTGGTTTTAATTCGTCGTGTCCCACCGGCCAATACTGTACGACGGCCACCTTTCGCACACCCTCCACCACGTACATCACCACCTGCGTGCCTACCCCAACCTGTCTGACCGTCTACTGTAAGCATCCTCCCCCGTCGGCTAGTGATACAGCTAGCTAACAGTTCAACCCAGCGGACTGTATCTCAGGGGGCGGGGGCCCGATTTGTTGCTCAGGATACTGCGCAGCGACCAAGTGTCGATCGACGGATTCGAATTGGCCAGATTGCAGTGAGGATGGTGGGGTGTGTCGGGATGATGGAGATTGTTGTTATGGGAATAACTGTGAGGATGGACTCTGTGTGAGGGATTAGATAGATAGGTAGATAGTTTAGTCGTAGTCAATCCCCATTCTGTGTGCCTAGCGGGAGATCAATTTCACATGGAAATCCTTCTTCTTAATTCTCGAGAAACTCATTGGTCTAGCTGTGTGCCATGATGTTGGGCAGAGAGGAGAGCTCCCAGCTCAAGCGAATCACGGAACGAGCATCGGCAATTGACAGCTGGGGGCCTCGGTTCAGGATGCAGGAGCAGCAGCAGGAGCAGCAGCTGGACCCTTATATAATAGACACGAGCGCCCTGACAGACGGGCGCGATGCAGGAGACCGGCAGTGATGAAAGGCAGCCAACTACCGCCGATCCACCAGAGGGTGGACTCGCATTGGTCAAGACTCTGGGGACCCCGCGCTACCCCGACATTCCCCCCGGACTAGTCTGCCTTTAGGCTGGTCCCTTATCACTAATCCTCCCTAACCTGCAAACTCACCGGCCAGCCAAACACGCGGCCATGAATCCACTCGTGCGACCGGACAAGTCATCCCCGATAAACATGGCCCCTCCCCCTGGTGGGTAGGTGGGTTAAATCCCCAGTTGACCCTTTAACCTGCTGCTCCTCGTGGCTATCGTACGATCGTGAACCTGTCTCTCGAACGCATCGTGCCACCCTGCAGCCGCCCATTCAGCCATTCAATGTCCAGCATGTCGCTCGAAGACTCCTCCAAGTCCCGGTCGGACTACATCGAAAAGACCGAATTGGGGGATCTGACCACTGAGGTGCCTGGAAGTAACCTTTCGGAGTCGCACAAGACATACCTGCTGCAGCGACATGGCACGTTGGATCTCGATCCAGTCCCTAGTATGGACCCTGCGGATCCGTACAATTGGCCGCTCCTCAAGGTGAGGGAAGCTTTTTCCGTCGATCGAGACAATGGCATCTGACGAATCAGAAAATCATCAATCTCCTCTTAGTCGCCTTCCACGCCTGTATGGGCACTTTTACCGCGGCAGCCGTGATCCCAGCCTACGAAGAAATTGCCGAAGACGTGGGTGTCTCTCTGCAGCGAACAAGCTATCTGACCTCTCTCCAAATCGCTATCCTAGGTGGTGCACCGCTATTCTGGAAGCCGCTTTCCCAGCGTTACGGACGCCGTCCTATTTTCCTCCTCTCGTTAATCCTCAGCTGCGTCTGCAATATTGGCTGTGCCAAGAGCCCGGACTATGCGTCCATGGCGGCATGTCGTGCCCTGGTGGCCTTCTTCATCTCCCCGGCCATGGCGATCGGCAGTGCTGTTGTCACGGAGACATTCTTCAAGCGCGAAAGAGCGCAATACATGGGTATCTGGGCGGTGATGGTGACCCTGGGAGTGCCTGTGGGGCCTCTCATCTTTGGTTTCGTGGCTCAACGCGTGGGATATCAATGGATTTACTGGACTCTGGCGATTGTAAGCACCGATGCCGCAACCTGCATAGAGGGATCACAACTAACAATGGAGTTTCTAGACCAACGCCGTCCAATTCATCCTCTACATCTTCTTCGGCCCCGAAACACGATACATCGGCACCGACATGCACTCCTCCTCGGCCTTCAAGCATCAATATCTCAGCATTCGACGCATCGACCCTACCCCCTTCAAACTCGCCGAGTTTTACCATCCCCTCACTCTCATCACTAACATTCCCGTCCTCATCGCCTCTGCCGCCTACGCCATGGTCTTCCTCTTCGCGTCCGTCATGAACTCTGTCGAGGTGCCCCAGCTGCTCCAGTCGAAATTCGAGCTCAACGCCGAACAACTGGGTTTACAATTCCTGGGTCTCATCATCGGTTCTCTGCTGGGTGAACAGCTGGGTGGTGTTCTGTCAGACACTTGGATGAATCTCCGCGCCAAACGAACCGGTCACAAGCCCGAGCCCGAGTACCGTCTCTGGCTCAGCTATATTGGCTACCTGTTGACTATTGCGGGTGTGGTAGTGTTCTTAGTCTGCACGGAGAACGCACAGACTGGGAAATGGAACGTCCGTCCGATTATTGGCACGGGGATTGGCGCGTTCGGCAACCAGGTCGTCACTACGGTGTTGATCACATACGCGGTGGATTCGTATCCGGCCGATTCGGGGAGCGTGGGTGTATTCATTAACTTTATCCGGTCTACTTGGGGGTTCATTGGGCCGTTCTGGTATGTTATCTTGAAGAGTTCACTTTATCTCTGCTAATGGTTGTCAGGTTCCCCGATATGTTCGATACCGTGGGCATCGCCAAGAGTTCCGGTGTCGTGACGGCGTTGCTGATGGGCGTGAGCTTTATCCCGACGGTGATCTTGCAGTGGCGGGGGCAGAAATGGAGGAATACTTAGTATACCATATCCATACACCATACATCATAGACGAGTTTATATATACAACGTATGATAATGAAGAGAAGTGTCATTGAAGTACCCACACTATTCCACCCTATGCTAACCACACCACTCCTATAAAAGTCGTCCCCCCATCTATCATTACCACCTTAGCTAATTCATTCCAAGATCATTCCTCCCACACCTGATATACTAATAGATCAAATCAAATCAATTAACCGTATTCAAACACTGACTCCTCACCAACCCCCCCTCCCCCTCCCTTCCACCACTCCCTCCACCCCCACCACCACCACCAACCCGACTCGTCCGCACCGGCATCATCCCACAATCATCCAACACCCACGTCAACACCCTAACCACCTCCCCCTCCGTAACCCCCTCATTCACCCCCAACTCCACCGCTCTGATCCACGGCGACGCCCCAAAACACATATTACACATCAACCGCCGTCTCTCCCAACACACCTTCTCCACCATGAAACTCGTCCGAAACGCCGCCGAATTCGACACCAGAATGCAGTCCCGCGGGGTCTTGGCGTCCAACTCGCCCATGATGTCGATCTTGAGCGGGAGGTGTTCCGGTACGCATTCGATCACTAGCCATGCGTCCCTGACGGCCGGGGTTATGTCCGCGGACGAGAACGGGTGGATTTGTCCCACCGGTCGGGAAATCAGTGGGAACGTCGTGTAGTGTGCGAGGTTCGAGGTTATGTAGTGTTGCGCGGACTGTAGGGCTCCTTGGTTTGGGTCGTGTAGGTGCACGGTGTGCCCTGCCGCGGAGAAGATGCAGGCGATGCGTCGGCCCAGGTTGCCGGCGCCGAGGATGGCGAGGGGCCGGGTGTAGATTGTGGGTGGGGTGTAGGGGATGGTTGGGGGGGAGGTGAGGTCGTCGGTTGGGAGGGTTAGATTTGTTGTGGTTGCGTTGGAATCGGTAGGTGGTGTGGCTGGGTTGGTTGTGTCTATGTTTGTCAGGGACATGACGGGGTATAATAGTATTAGATGTATATGCGAATGCAAAGAGGACTGGTACATTAGAGGGGTGTTGTTATCTAGTACTAGTACTGTTGTCTATATATGAAGTTGCGCCCCGAGCCAGGACCGGTTTCTATCTCGGCCGGAAGCAGGGATCTATCTAATTATAATCCCCGGGGAAATGTGAACACCGTCGGGGTTTCATTGTCAGTATTATGCAGGAGGCAAACGGGGAGACAGTCGCATTTTTTCCTTGAAATGGGAATATCCCACATGACATCAGATCCTCTCTGAGGTGATGCCTGATCGGGATATAGATTGGAGTTTGAGAATTCGGGTCTGGAATATGGTTCGACATGTGGTGTGACCGTCAGCCTTTGGAACACGCTGTTGGGCAGGTCTGTCCTATAGCAGGGAACTGGAAATCTTAAGCGGGCCAAGAGTCTGCCCAGACAGGGTTTGCAGACCTGGAAGTGTAAAGCCTAATTGGGTTGTTGGGATCATGCAATGAACAGACAAGGTTATGACGGGAATTGAGTACTCTGCGGTTCATTCACTGTGATTGGAATTTGTTGGGAACCTGCTTTTAGTGGAAGTACGCATCGAGAGATCTGTATATATCCATGTCCTATGTCTTGTGTTGCGTCGTTGAGGAGCTGTCGTAGAAGTGGCGTGCGGCCTCTGTCTGCAACCCCAAGGCTTATATTCCCACCAATCAGTGAAAGCTTATCTCAAAAGGGAAACAGGGAGAATGGTTCCCTGCCTACGAGGGCTGTGTGGGTAATCAGTGGGCCGAGGTAAAGTAGAACCTTTACAATGGAACAATTTGACTATCAGTGATGATCATAGCAGCGTTCATCAATGATCGACTGGTATCCATTGAGACACAAAGAACGATGGTTCATGGTTGCAGATTAAAACCTACATTGTCTCCTAGTCAACTCAATCCACTCTTCTCTCAACAATACTCTCAAATAATACAGCTTGTTACCCCCATAGTCCTGCCCAGCTGCTAACAGCTGATATCGTCCGGCACATTCTCACAGTCGGAGCTGGTCTTCCCTCCAGTCACATCCACATCCGTCCAAGTCCAGTCCGTGCAGCTGTCTGATCCGCAGACGATGTAGATGTTGGTGCCCGAGCTCTCCACACTGCCCTGCACATTGTCCAGGACAAAGTCTTCGATGGTGATTCCATCGGTCGGGGATTTGCTCGTATCGTCATAGTTTTGCTCCACCACAATGCCATAGTCGGTGATATCAGACAGGGTGATCTCCTTGTAGGTGACCTCACTGACCGACCCAGTGTCGCCGTAGATGGTCTTGATGCGGACTCCTATACGCCGCTTAGCATGTGATCGCACCGAACTACAACCTTGATGGAATAAAACTTACCGTTCTGAGAGCTCTTGATCTCCGAGTCGTAGAAGGTCACGTTCTTCACGGTGTTGTCACTCCGACCGCCAACGGAACCGATCGACAGCCCGTGGCCACCAGAGCAGACGCCGCCCGAAAAGTAAATGTTCTGGTTCCCATCAGTGTCCACATCCGTAGCTTAAAGGACGGTATACCCACCTCGCCCGAGTTCACCGCCACACAGTCATCTTGGTTGTATACATTGGCGCCTGTGATGGTAATGTACGTGCTGTCACCAATGTCGAACCCATCGGTGTTGGCCGCCTCGCCATCATCGCCATCGGTGTTGTCAATGGTGATGTCCTCCATGGTAAGATACGTCGACCCGTCAATGCTGAACACCTGCACCGGCGAGTTCTGGATGTAGATCCCGCTGATCGTGGACGAGGTCAGATCATGGGCGTAGAAGAACTTGGGCTTCGTCTTGCCGCCGTTGCTGCCCTCGCCATCCCACCAACGACTGCCGTCACCGTTGAGATAGGCGCCGTCGGCCCCGGTGACGGTGATGTCAGTTCCGGAGACTGAGACAAGAGGTCCGCTCCATTCCTCATAACCGAAGGTGGTTTCTCCTTCGAAGATGACCTGTTCATTGTGAGATGTGAAGAATCGCGCGTGGAGGCGCAGTAACTTACGTGAGTCCCGTCGTTCAGATCGGTCAGATCCAACGTGGTGCCTGAGGGCACTGCCACGTCGGACAGCACGATGGTGGAGCACGAGGTCTTGGACTTGCTGGCAGACGAGGCCCCCTCAGAGCCGGAGAACGTGCAGGAGGTTGCGCGCTTCTCCAGATCCTCGAGCTTAGGGGCGGGGGTCACCAGCGGATCGGCAACGGGGCTCGCACTGACCAGTGCGGCCCAGAGCGTTAGGACGATCACCGAGCTAGAAGTCACCATGTTGAAGGCACTCGCAGATCAAGGTTTGAGACAAGCTTTTAATCAATGTCTTGGTTCCTCTTGGGCTTTCTTGGCTGGCGGAATACGTGCGTTTTATACCCATTGAATGTATCATTGGGCCATCTCTGCTGTCTCTGTGGTGGAATATCTCCCGGCTTTCTGTGGACGGCACTTCGCAGCTCCGGCGGAAGAACTGCCGTAGCGCGCGGGACAATGTGATAGTTTCTGCAGGACTTCTGCGTGCCTCTGTCTCCCCACGGAGCGCCACACTATATTTCCCGTGCCTGACGCGCAATGCCTTCAGTAAACCTCATCCGGTTACCCGGGTCGTGCAGCGATGAGTGGTGGGAAATTATACCGGTCACTGTACTTGAGGCAGCCGTCACTGTAGTATGTTGCCCCTGAGGACTCTATTGTCCGATGGGGTCGGAGATCGGATGCTGGGGTTATCTTTGAAGAATAGGCCATGATTGTGGTAAGCTTGTTGCAGGAAGAGGTGCGGTTTGCGAGCCTCCCAGAATGTCACCACACGGTCTCATACAAGACTGGTCGTGTTCAGCTGGGGATCATAGTTGTGACAGCACCATACCCCAACTTGAATCAACCAAGCTTATGTGCGACATCAAATTGCTGTCCAACATCTTCCTACATGAAGGCAACTATGGAAGCGCACGGCTTGTCAAAGACAGAGGGTGTTGAGAGAAGACCAATCTTGCGAGGTCAATACTCGTGGTGAAGCCCAGACAGCACAGGGGTAGCCAGACATCCATGTGACCAGCAACATTTATTTTAATCAAAGCGTGTATGATAGTTAGGGGCAATCAACCAAGGGTTGTATTACCTGACCCCTGATTATCATAAGGTTAGCAGATATCGCATGGTAATTTCGGACCTAGTTGGCCATGACAGTCAAGTGCTGCCCCATGAACGGCACATGACTGCCCTGGTCTGTTGCCTGACATCATGGGGAAGCCATGTTCAAAAGCAAGCCATTCCTATTCAGTCAATCAATCCCTTAATCAATCAATGATTGATCTTCCCCTTGCTGATGTCCCAAAAAAGACTGATTGATAAGGCACGATAAGACGGCGATAAGATAGAGCGATCGGCCTCTTCCGCGACCGGGACTGCCCGATGCCGATGGAGGCGTGAGAATTGCAACAGCTATTTAACCAAGGTCCATTCCTCGCAGTTCTGCTAGAATTCGGATCGCTTCTGAGAGATTTGCACAATGGCTCCTACAGTTCACTCCCTACCTCCTCCTCCCGGCTCCGACATTGATTTCGGAGCCATTGTCGAGAATATCGACCTCGAGAATCTGACTGGTAAGGACGAGTCGATTGCAATGCCATTGGGAACTGCTGCTGATACTTGTTAGATGACGACTTCAGTGTCATCCGTAAAGCGCTTTACGAGAACCTCGTGGTGGTGGTGAAAAACCAACACCACCTCTCTCCGAAAGCACAGTACGAGCTTACCCGTCGATTCGACCCGGCCGCCTCGCAGTACGGCCACGGCAAGACCCTCGATGCGAAGCGCAGCATTTTGCATCCCGATCTCAAGACCGTCCCCCATCAGCCCCAGGTCCAGGTGATTGGTCATGGGTTCGTGGAGGCCTACGAGGGCCTCACCAATATCCAACTGAAACACCCCCACCACCGCACATTCCACCGCGACGCTATTCCCGACGAGGAGGATTATGATTTCACTCGCTTCTACCGCTGGCACATTGATGCGGCCCTGTATGATTTTTACCCACCGAATGTGACGACATTACTGGCAGTGCGCGTCCCCAAGGGCCGGAGACAGACACTGCGGTATGACGACGGATCAGACGAGACGCTGGATGTGCCTTTGGGAACGACCGCATTTGTCAGCGGCGAAAGAATGTTTGAGATGCTCTCGGACGAGGACAAGCAGTTTGCGCTTACCAGTCGCGTGGAATATGCGCCCCACCCGTATGTTTTGCTGGTCCTGCCGTGATTGTGAAGCCCCGCTGACATGAACAGTTACATCTGGATGAGCTCCGCTCGTTCTCTTCCTACCGGTCTCGGTCTCTACTCCGAGGACAAAGAACTCCCTCTGTCTGACCTACCTCCTATCGACGAATCCAAAATCCAGATCTTGCCTATGGTATGGAAAAACCCTGTGACGGGCAAGCCGGCTCTTCAAATCCACCCGTCTGCGGTGCGCAAGATCCACCGCAAGGATGGCACCGTGATTGATGACTTGGCGCGCGTGCGAGAAATTGTGTATAAGTTGCAGCGGCCGGCGATTAGCCCGCCCCATGTGTATGCGCATGACTGGCAGGAGGGCGATCTGGTGCTGTTCAACAATCGGGGGGTTATTCACTCGGTGGTTGGGGCGTTTGGCAAGGATGAGGTGCGCTTGTTCCGGCAGTGTAACCTGGCGGCGGGGGAGGCGCCACTGGCGTATGAGGCATGATCAATAGACTTAGATGTAAATTAATTATATTAATATTGAAAATATCAAAATAATCCTGGTCCAGTTCGTTACGTATGCTCCTGATGGGAGAATTGGCGACGAGGTTCAGGTTGGGTGTTGCTCTCTGAGGGCAGGCATTCGACGGTGAATGTCCTGCAACGCGCCTGCCACTAATAACTAGTTCTTCCTGTGTATTCCAATTCTCGGTCCACCGAAATGAGTGTCCCCATCATAATTTATGATGATTATAATGGACATTACGTGTCCAGAGATATATGCATTGGGTATATAACTGCCTGTCTAATTACTATTAGATATGTTCATGCTTACTTTTATGCACATCCATCGTCTATCATCTATCATCTATCATCGCTCATCCATCCATCTTTTTCTCTAACGTGCAAGTTCCTAATTCTGTTAGCTTGGTGAATATCCTACCATGGATGCGAAACTTACACTTGCAAGCTTGCTCTTCGCGCGGATTCGACCGCCGTAAAACACAAGGACCCACGGTACTAGGGTCAGAAGAAGGCCCTGTTCTAGTTAGTATCGACGGAGACAAACGTTCGCAAGTACAACGTACAATTCCACCAAGGAGACTAGATGCTCCAGGATAACCGAGGTTGGTAAACATGGCATTGGTGACCAAAGGGAAGACACCACCCAGCAGATTTCGGCCTGTTTCGATCAGCATGTTGCCTTTGGATTCGGGGGCCCTTCAACGGGAAGAAGGGCTTACAGCACGACTGGGCGGCAATCGCGGAACTGGCATAGCGATGGTAGGTATCCGCCAGGTAGTTAAACACAGCCAGGTAGACTGCGAAGATTCCCATGGTAGCGCAGCCAATCGCCAGCGTCGGGACAATCCATGGTACAGATGAGTAGGACGTCCAGCCAAACCAGAAGAGCCCGATGGGCATAAGGATGGCTTCAACGCAGACAAAGTACAGTCGAGCCTCGGGTTTCTTGGGGAGAAATCCATACTTGTTGGCGATCTTGTCTTGCAGGATGCTGACGATCGTGATGATTATGGCACCAACACACATCGCTGGTGATATTAGCAACTAGTAGGCCAAATATAGGGAAGGCAATCCTACATGCAAAGACAGCTCCAGTTTGCTCAGTAGTGAAATGGTGATTGGTCTTAAAGACCAAGGGAATCGAGCCGAACTGCAGGTACAGAACAGCCCAGCTGAAAGAGACCCAGAGGGAGAAAAAGAAGACCACCGGCTCGGTGAAAAGCATGTCTGAAATGACATCAGTACTGACTCCTAACTTCATGGCGAGCGATACTTACGGAATGGACGATAGCAAGAAATGCTGATCATCTGCATGAGAGACTCGCGCTGCTCGTCACTCTTCACCTTCCATCTGATCCGTCTGGCCTCGTTCTTCTCACCCATGATGACTCCAAAGTGCCCGGCAGCCTCTAGCTGCTCATAATAGGTGTTCACAGCATGTGCTTTCCGACTCAAGAGCACACTTCCTCGCGTTTCGTTAAAGAAGAAATAGATGACCACCACGAAGAAAGCCGACACGATGGCATGTGACCAGTAAATCCAGCGCCAGGAAGTGTGCGCCACGATCGCACTGGAGCATAAAGGTGCCAATCCAGTTCCAAAGAGCGCGGCGCCAGAGAACAAGGCCATGGGGGTATTGCGTTCCTCGGCATGGAAAATGTCGCTAATCACACCACCAACCATGGTCGAAAAGGTCGCTGTCGCCGGTTAGCTACGCATTCGAAGACCAATCTTTACCATCTATACATACATGCACCAACACCCTGAAACAGTCGTGCGATCAGCAGTCCTGCGAAAATATGCGTGCCTCCACAAGCAATAATGCACGCTATTCCTGTCAGCTTCCGTTGCGGTCCACCGGGCGACAATCACATACCAGTGAAGAGCACACCACTTGCGACAAAAATCGGTCGCCGACCATTAATTTCCGAAAAGGGCGCCAGGACCATCGGAGCCAGCGCAAATCCGATACAGAAAATCGTGATGCCCAGATTGTATACCACCGCACTGATCCCCCACTCGGCCGTCAGCTCCGTCGATGCTGGGTTAACCTCGCCTGCCGAATAACCAGCCAGTGCCGTCACGGCGCACGCAATCCAGGTCATCATCCACTTGCGCCATTTCGGCCACAGAAACGGGGAGGTATATTTCTCGAGACTCGGAGGTTCGGGAGGGGGCGATTGACCGGGACCCGGGGGTGCAGTGATTAACGGAGTCGGTAAGGGAGTTTCCAGTTCGAGGTAAAGATATTCGATCTCCTGCGCGGCGGCATCTTTCTCCTGACTGAAGACGGGGTCGATGGGGCGATCCAACTCGGGGGAGTAGACGGTGTCTGCGGAGCCCGACTCACTCGGAGAGGGGGCCTCGTGGGTATGCATTCCCGCGGCAAGCTGCTCTGGCTGTGAGGCTATTATTGCACACTGCAGAAAGTGTGTGTGCCATTACTGGCGCCGGGACAGGGCCCTTTTAAACGATGACGATCCAGCGTTCCAGCCAGCGCGGAACTTTAGTGCCGATGGGACCAATTTGGAGAAACTTGATTATCAACGTTGAAGGAATGATTAGTACTTTGTTCCACTTAATGGTAGATTGTCGAGGCCGTCCGCGATCGACGGGGTGGCCACGCCCTATAACCGCACTTGAGAGTATTCCCTCGGCTATAGCTCCCGAGGCCAATGCTGGATTTACATGCTAGACAGGACACTGTGCTTCAGAGAACCGACATGGAGTTTTCTGAATTGGGAGTGTTTTCCACGCCAGGGAACTCAAACTAGTTGTTTAGTGGCTGCAAGCTGACGCATTGCGACGGGGGGCCCTGAAATTTTGGCGTGAAAAACCCGGCATTCCCCACTTCGGGTTCTCCAATTCGGAGACAAATTCACAACACATTCCCATTTCCTGACTCATCGATAAGCCTTTTGCCGATGCAAGAAGTTGGGGAAGTTTGGGGAATCGGCCGAGATGGTTCTATTTCTACAGATCTCAGCTGAGCCCTACCCTGGTCCTCATCCTATTTACCATTAAGATACCTTCCCTGCACCAGGGCCACATGTTCCTCCGATTTTCTGATGGAGATGCGACCTTATTAGCTCATAGGGCCGTCTCGAGCCATGTGCCGTTCGGGGAGATGCGTTACAACTCCGAATCAGGCCGCTCTCAAGGCTTGCAGCTTCCTGCAACTGATCGATCGGCTCTGAACGTGTCTCGTGGCTGATAAGGATTCGAAACAACTACACACAACGTTCTCCGCAGTGTCTCGGATAGCCGGTTCGACCACTTCAGCGCTTAAGCCCCTCGGATAGGACTCGTCTTCACCTTTTCCATTCAACTGCGGGGTAGACTGTTGACACATGATACCCAGTCTCTTCTGCTCACTGGCCATGTCGACCGAGGGCTGTCTGCGTTTCTTTGGACATAAATGAGCTGTGGACTGCATCCTGGCCTTGACAAATGCCAAGAATAAGGGTGCATCCCTTCACCTCCGAGGGAAGCGGTAGATGCACCAATTGGCTTATATCCTGCAGCTCCTCCCACCGACTGTTTGTGCCGATAGAAATCCCAGGCATCTGAGTCAGAGGGCGGTTTTCGCGGGTGTCTACTTTACCAAACAAGATGGGGCATTCTTGGCCGTATTGTGTCTGACTGGTATGCGCACAACGCTATCGGAGTGGCATTCCAAGTCCGAACTGTACGTGCGACATGTCTTTTGCTGAACTATAGTAAAGACACAAACAGTAGCCGCTACTCTTGATGTTTGCAGATTCGCCATGATATGCTTATTATCTTGTTTAGCAAACGTGAAAAGATGCTATGTTAGATTGAGTCTTGCTCAGCACCCAAAGGACTTATCGAAAGAAATACTCGTTTACTCAGACACAACCGCAGAAATGGGGTAATTTAATACCTCGTCTGTCTTTCTTGATGAAGTAACCCACCTAAGCATCTGCCCTAGTAATGATGCTTCGGGTGCTTTGACATACGGACTACCAGAAGATAGATTCTGTTGTCAGGGGTATTCTATATCATGTTGTGACAGTTCTTTGATTGGCTATATTTTCCAAAATGATTTGAACATGCACTCCCATGTTATTTCCGCATACAAACTAAGTGCATTGTTGAAGGAATTTCCTTAGGTTGAGTGATCCCATAACTCGTGAAGGCAACGTCCGTTGATAGCCTTAACACAACCGATACCTCATATATTATAACCAGTTTCTATGCTGTAAGCTAGTTGCCTTATATATGCTTCGCACAAGTCCCTGAAATAACCTGCTAGCTGCGGCCCGGCTTGTCAGCAGCCTTACCTCTATGATACTCGAATCCAGATTCGGTATTTGCTCAGTCTGTCCATGGATCAATGTGATTTTAACATACTAATTAAAACCTACTTGACGGCCGAATCACCAACACACACCAAGCGACATTGATGATTGGCTAATGCGCACTAGGTGTGAAATGTTATGGTTCACTGACATCACCAATAGACTTCGTGGTGGCGAATTCTATCCCGCACTGTGATGATCCCACTTCGGGATGCTGTTGAAGATATCGAACAACATTTCACAGACAGACCAAAGCAAATTCAATGTACGAGCGTTTCATTTGGAAAATGAACGAGGTTGAATAGTTGAGAGCAGCCGAGAACTTTGCTTTTCTCATGAATCTTTGATATACCTCAAGGCCGACAGAAGCCCCACCCTTTTGTTACGGGGCGAATGAAGTACTTGAGGGAGTCAAATCGAGGACATGCTAAGAAGGTATCCTTTGGTTCCGAAAGTCTACCCCATGGGTACAAGACATCCCGCACCTGGAGCAATGTGGCAGTGTCATTTTGCGGTTTAGATGGCACCTCGTGACCAAGATAGCAATGTATGATTTGACGGGATACATTATGCGTTCCTTCCTGAGAATATCTGCTAAAGACGGAGAAGGACCTTTGACCATGAAAATGGTTGAAAGAAGAAGGGGCGATCGAGTTCATGTAATGTCGGCAAACTGAGAGCTGCGCGATCTAACACACAATTGTCTCTGCACTGAAGATCTAAGGTAATTAAGATCTCAAGTTCTGGTTGCCTAATTGAAATGAAAACTCCCTTGTGGAATGATCTACGTAGTCTGGTTCATCTAGTTGTCACCGATCTTCTGCCACCATTGCAACTGCTGCTCAACCTTACCGGACTGGAACCGTATCGAAAAGCTTCGTTGAAGCCAAGGAACAATGGCACAACATGGCCTATCAGGCCCTTCAAAAACTCTTACGGGGTTTAAGCAGGAAAAGAAGCAATGAATCTATGATCCGTCTATCCTAGATATACAGGGAATACGCTGGCAGATATTTTCTTCTCGACAACCCTTCACAAGGCACAGATGGAGAGATCTTGCAATCGAGAGGGCTAACGGCCTGTCGCTCTCTGCAAACAACATGTGGCCTGAGGACATAGGGAGCCAAGTGGGCTCCCAGCTGTCACGTCCCGTTACCTACGTCATCACCTCCTTCCTCTCCATCGCTCTCTATAATGTCGTGGAGCTGACCTTCATTCTGTTGCTGACGTTCAAGCGCCGCAAGGGGCTATACTTTTGGAGCTTCGTTGTCGCTACTTGGGGCATCGCCATTTACTCCATTGGATTTATCCTGAAAGACTTTAACCTTGTCGACAATGCCATCTCCTACTTCTATGTCACGCTGATCGTGACCGGCTGGTGTGCCATGGTCACCGGCCAGTCGATGGTGCTGTACTCTCGTCTTCATCTCGTCGTGCGGCATCATATCATGCTCCGGTTCATCCTTGGCATGATTCTCTGCGATGTCTTCCTACTCCAAGTTCCAACTATCATTCTATGCTACGGTGCAAATTCATCTGCCTCCGATAGATTTGTGCTACCATACGCCATATACGAACGGATCCAAGTGACCGTATTCTTCATTCAGGAAGCCCTAATATCCGGCGTTTACGTATACGAGACGTTCAGATTGCTTCGCTCAGAAGATGAGATCTTGGAAGGACCACACCGAGAGGCTGCCCGGAGGCTAATGCTGCACCTGATTCTCATGAATATTATCGTCATACTCTTAGATATCGCGATTCTGATCCTTGAATGGACGGGTCGGTATGCGTCACAAACGGCAGTAAAGGGGTTCATCTACAGCGTTAAGCTGAAGCTGGAGTTCGACATCTTGAACCAATTGGTCACGTTCGTATACCACTCTCACATATCGAATTCGGCCAATTTGGAGGGAGAAAGCTCATCGAGGAACTTCTGGGATATCAATCCACAAGCTGAGCAAAATAATGCTCCCGCGCGTCATCCTCATCCTAGGCATTGTGCGTGGGCCGACGCGGCTAACAGGATTAGACGTGATTTTACTATCTCGGCTGAGAAGAAGATGATCAAGATAATCCAATCTGCCAGGAAACAATCTAGTTCCAGCGGTTCCCCACAGGACGCGGATTCAGACCGTCCGACATGAGAAGCTGTCTCCGAACACGAAAAGAACGGTGATGGGATGGCTATATTGAGTACAAGGATGCTACAGAGCCTCCTGTTTTCTTGAGGAGTATGACTCGACTCAACCGCCCCAAAACAGTGGAGTGTGCATTGGGATCACAAGGGCCGTACAGGTGCCGTCTACAACTCAGATACATCCCTTTGGTTATGACTCCGGAAGATCTTCGTCTTGGTCTGTGCAGGAACAGAAATGCTGCGAAAGCGCTCCTGGGAAAGCCAAGGCAGACCTTGAAGGTCCCTGCTGAGTAAAGTAAGGGCATACACAACACTCCGCTGATGGGAATTTACGCCGACACCTCTACGAAGACTGACTTGGAAGATTGAGACACTCAATTTGCTGTCTCTATTGCTTGCTTCATTTCACATGTGTCTCAAACTATCATCTCCGAAGCTTCTCCAAGTCATAGCAAGATCGAGTTATGATGGATAGTCGAAAGCAATGAGTCTCGAATGGAGCATTTTCAACGCGAGGATGATCTTGGTACTAGTGTATATATATGTATGCCAGCTATGTTGAACAAGGGCCTGTAAATAGAGAGACAAACGTCTTATATCTCCATCAACGTCACACATATATCAGGCTATACTGGAGATGCTGTATAGTCCGATCTTGTAGTAGAGGCGATAAGATCAAGCCCACCCGGAGTGGCGCCGGTCCTCCCCGGCACTGCAAAGTAACCCAAAGCGGCAAGTTTGCCTCCGGGGGTCGGCATTCTAGCCGAGGCTTGGCACTCGGCTGGGTTGCTTTGCGATTGTCAGCTGCGATGCATCATCACCCCCATCACCACGAGCTAGTCAACCTGCTTGTTGTTGCAATTCTCTAGCGGGCTAACCACCGGCCTAGTGATGGTGAAGCCTTCCAAACAATATCAATGCCAGCGATGTTCCCGAACCTTTGCCCGGTTGGAACATCTCCAACGCCATGACCGGTCGCGTATGATCCCCGCCCATATTGGAGATTCCTATTGACCCCAATTTCGTCAGACACCAAGGAAAAGCCGTATCTCTGCACCCAATGCCCCAAGTCATTCACGCGAAAGTACGGCAATTCCCCCCTACTTAACTTCGCCACCAGCATTTACTGAGTTATCTCTCCAACAGAGACCTCCTGGCCCGCCATGAACGCCTGGCACACAGTGACGCCGCTCCCGGCCAAGGAACAACATCATCGCCTTCCGTAGCATCTCCCCAAGTCTTTGATGGCCTTAATGTCTTGGCCTCTGCAGTAACCGATCATCCTACTCCTGCCACGATACCAGGCCCACAGGCCCTACTCCCAGGCGCTCATGAGCAGTTTACTCCCGGCCTGGCCGCTTCTGTGCAGGGCCATCCGATAGCCACTTCCAATCCATCCGGACAAGGACCTCCAGGATCTACTGGCTTCACTGAGCCATTTGTCGGTTACGGACCAGCAAACTCTTACGATGGTGATGATTTCACGACCTTCCTCGACAGTATCCCGCTTCCCAGCCATCCGTTCTCACCTACCTATCAGCCCCTTCCACTATTCCCCACATTCCACTTTGACTCCGCATCAGAGTACAGCCAGCCTGTTGCGAAGGCAAACAACGAGGTTACAACTCCCTCCAGCTCTATTCTTCCTAGACATGGAACACAGCTACCGTCGCTTCAGCCCGAAGGTGCTCATATGCCTTACAAGACCCGTGACCCGAGTGCTCCTATCTCGGTTACCGCGCAATGCCGTGATCGCATCGTCGCCGAATTGTCGAGTTATTCGAACGTGGTTCCTAACCCCTACACCCCATCCAGACATGCCCTGTCCAGATGCATCAGCGCTTACATGACCAACTTCCACTGCCATTATCCATTTATGCACCCTCCCACCCTCGATGTCGATTCCTTGCCTCTCCATCTAATCTTCGGTATGGCTTCCGTGGGTGCCCAGTACTGCCGGGAACCCGAAACAAGCATGAGCCTCTACAAAGTGGCCAAGGCTGTGACTCTCGAACATATACGAAGGGACCTGCAATGGGGGTGTCTAAGTCCGCAGACGGAGGGTCCGGTGGACCCCGTATCTAGAGGCCAGGATATCATTGAGACGGTACAGGCGCTCTTGATGCTCATTTCTGTTTCGTGTTGGTTTGAGCGCGACCCGCCTCATCACGAAGCATTATATATTCGAAGCTCCATGGAGACACTCCTTCGGCAAGGAGGACTCAATGACTTACCAGCCCAAGATGGGTCATGGGAAAGCTGGATCCGCTATGAGATGGTCAAACGGACAAAGCTCATTGTGTTCTGTTTCTTCAGTGTCCACACGATCGTCTTCGATATTCCGCCGCTGATCTTAACCGAGGAGCTGACGCTGGACTTGCCCTGCACTGAGCGAGAATGGACAGCAACCAGTGCGAGTCAGTGGTTGGAAGAGCGCAGCCAGAGTCGTGGGGAACCGAAATTACAAGATGCCATGAACTCTTTATTCACTCACACCGGTGCCGCTAAGACTAGCCTAGAGAGTTTCTCTTCCCTGGGGGGATACGTGCTTATCCACGCGATGATCCAGAACATCTGGTTAATACAAAAGGCTAGCAGGCTCCCTGTCTCCAACGGAAGCTTTCTGTCCCCGTCTGTGATTACATCCTTAGAGCAAGCTCTGGAACTCTGGTGTCAATGCTGGGAGCACAACCAGGAGTCCTCAATCGATCCTTTCAACCCTCACGGGCCAGTGTCCTTCACGTCCACAGCCCTCCTCCGTCTAGCGTATATACGACTCAACGCTGATTTCAGCTCCGCCCGTCGACTGGAAACATGGAACCCGGACGAGGTCGCCCGATCTCTCAAGAACAACTTGTCCGTGCAAAGGAGCGACCGTCTAACTCGAGCTGCATTACACTGTGCCCATGCACTTAGTACACCCATCAAACTGGGCATCAACTATGTCGCGCGCACCCTCGTTGTATCCTGGTCGAACCAATACGCATTATGCTCCCTGGAATGTGCCGTGCTACTTGCCAAATGGCTCGAAGTGGCCACGATTCCCAATCCAGAACCCAGCTTGACTGAGCAAGAACAGAAATTACTGGAATTCGTGCTGGAAATGGTCATGGAAGCTCAGCATGGGGTGTCCCGTGAATGGCTGCTCGCGAATAATACTCGTCTTAGTGCTACTGTCACCAGGTTATGGGCCAGGCTGTTTACAGCAGATTATATCTGGCAGCTGGTGAACCTGATTGGGAGTTCTCTAAATAGATATGCTGATATACTGGAGAGCGATGGCTGAGCGTGGTATCTGTTTGCTCAAAATGCATCGTTGGCATCCAACTCTAGTAGGCTTACTAGGCAGTCAGACTTGGTACCAATACCCCTGAAGTGGGGACGCCGCGCTGTAGCCGCATGGCTCTGATGATGACAGCGTGGAGTGCTCTACGAGGTAAACCTCTAAACCTCATAAAATAGTTCTTAACGGCGACCGTGGGCAGGATGCCCGCACTGAATATACCCCCTCCCCCTTCTTTTCTCTGTACACTTGCTCTAGTTGAGTTTTCTGAAGCCACAAATACCTATGCTGGATTACGAGCAATGGCCAGTAGTATAAGAGTTTCATTTGGCCAAGAGGCCTTCGTTGGCCTTGACTGGCCTTCGTATTCCTATATCTCATATCCATCTAATCAAGACAATGAGGACTCATCCAATAATAAAAGAACGTCAGTCAACGACAGAAGCGTAGTATCCTCCGCAGCATCCTCGCAAAACACTACATCCAACTAAGTGCATTCACACACGCACCAAAATGCTAAGCAGCTAAGGCTAGTATCACCTACTCATCCCAAACAACAGAAACCACCTCACCCACTAGCGACTTCTTCGCCACAAGCGGCACCGGCTTCCCGGTCTTTCCATTCCACTTCGTCACACCCACCGCATGGGTATTCTGCAACGCCTCGGCAATCATCTCGTTGCGCGCCGACATCTCGAACTGGCGCGGCGACGACCCGTAAGCGGGGTAGAGACCACCGAAGGTGACGTTGGTAGGGTGACTGCCGGACTCATCGGCGCAGTTGAAGACGGCGATGGAATCGTTGTTGGTGCCGAAGGTGTTGTCATCGCGGTTGCTGACGACGAGACGGTTGTTTTGGGGCTATAGTTGGTAGGTATTAGTAGGTTATTGTGGAGGGAGAAGCAAGGGGTAGGTGTGACTTACTGAGATGGCAATTTCTGCGACCTTGGAACCGTTGGGCGGGACAGCACCGCCGTAGGAGTTGGCGGTATAGAACTCTGTGAAGGAGATGGTTCCGTTGGATGGATATGTCACTCTGTAGCCGGTGACGTGGTTTTTCAGTTCCGATGTCAGGTAGAAAATGACATCTTCGTGCTTGGCCTGCTTGGCTGTGGTGCCCGCGGGTGTCCAGAAGACACCGTGGCGGGGACCAGAACCGGGTGCTGCTACGAGGGGAGCTTGAGGTTCAAGAAGTCCAGTGGAGGGGTTGATGTGGAAGATGCGAATCAAATCAGCACCGAGGTCTGGGACGAGGACGAATTGTCCTGTTGGGTCGACGACGACGCCGTGGGAGTGGGGTGCATCCTGTCTGTCCGCGACGGGACCGGGAGCCGGTAGGGTGTATGTGAAGGTTTGGGAGCGGTTGAAGACACCACTGATGGGGTCAAGGGAATAGCTGGTGACAGCTGATCCTTCACTGCGATGGAATGTTAATATGGTAGTGGTATAGAGATAGAAATATGGACGTACTAATGAGCCACGGCGAAGAACTTGCGGTGTGGCACTCCCGGGGCCGAGTAGAACTGCGACATGACCGGGCCGGCGATGGTCTCCAGCTGTACCACCTTGGACAGAGTGCCATTGGGCCGGATGGCAAAGGAGGTCAGGGTACCGTTGGCAAGGTCAACAGCTTCGTCCAGGCAGTAGAGGACACGGTTGTCGTGATCCAGCATCAGCCAAGACGGGTTGGTGCCACAGTCAGTGGACTGGGCGACTGTTTCCAACTCATACTGTCCCTTGGAGGATTGGGACAAGGACAAGGTGGTCACGGTGCCTGCATACGAGGCAGCGTAGAGTCTGGAGGCAACGGCGGAGGTTGCTCCGAAAAGGAGGGGCACAACACTGATTTTCATCGTGACAGGGATATTCAGCTGTATCTCTGCAGCAAGAACAATGTTCACTGATAAGTAATCGGAGTTCAGTTGATCTGGCTGAAGAATTGCGTGGTGGAATTTGTCAACGACCTGGTTGAAGGAGAGAGTCTGGACACGGCGGGATTGGTAAACGAGGTGATTTGCAAGCAGGTAAGTTCCAGAACCCGAGGGAGGTTCTGAGTGATAAGCGCCGGTTTTAACTCAAAGGGGCTGCCTTGTCTTGGCTGCAGACCTGCGTGAAGAACAATTGCACTATCGCCAAGCAGGGATAGCAGAGACTCCACGGTGAGACAGTCCCTTCCTTCATGGGCCCAAATGGGCCTCTAATTGGCCCTCGGCTGACTGCTAGTTTCCGACGGCGTTTCTGGGCGCGGATGCTATGCTCTCGTGTACATCATCTTGGCCCACCTGCCGGCATTATGAGTACGATCCATGGTTCCCGCTGACGGTCCGTAGATCATACTGTGCACGGGACTCTGCAGGTACCTGAAGCCTGCCTAGTTTGATCACCCTGAAACCAGCACTGCCTGTCTTGACCTTGGTGGTGAGTTTGCACGTGGGCTGGCTGTTCAAATAAACTCTCCAATTGACCCTCTCCCCGTGGAGAACACAGCAAACACTATAGGCTTTCCATTGAGGGCATGACGAGGACCCTATGGTTTGTGCACTTGGCGAGGGCTGACCGGAGCACGAATCGGGAAGGGCAGAACTCAGAATTCGGTGTTCTCGGCATGCCGAAAGTCGGTATCCCTTGGCGCCACGATGATTTGCGTCCAGGATTCGTATAGTTCCTCGTCCACGAGGCTGCCTACCGTCAGCGTTAGGCAGTGAGCTATTATGGGGCCAATAAGCCACTACGAGGATGACATAGCCTCTACAGAACGAGAGACGCAGAGGATCAGGACGCCAATCCTGCGCCCCACCTGTCTAAGGATTCGCTTTTGTACTATCCAGGGATTATGGCTTCGGATTAATGTATTCGGGATACCGACGGCTGAGCACACGGAGGATGAGGTTCAGCTCACGGCCCCTATCAGTATGCATTATGAGGATGGCTTCTTGGAAAGCAGAGGAATTGGATTATCGAACAACTTGGTTCTGGACCATTGACTCGAGCGTATAAGTAACCTCGTTCGGTCCTCCTGTCACCTTCTGATCAGCAACCAGCCTTTCCTCTCTCATTCTCTCATCTGCCCATCATGCAGACTCTCCTTGTGAGCTCGCTTGTGGTCTCCCTCGCTGCGGCCCTGCCACACTACATCAGAAGCAATGGCATTGAAGCCAGCCTCCTGACTGATCCCAACGATGTCTCCGGCCGCACGGTCGACTACATCATCGCTGGTGGAGGTCTGACTGGACTCACCACCGCTGCTCGTCTGACGGAGAACCCCAACATCAGTGTGCTCGTCATCGAAAGTGGCTCCTACGAGTCGGACAGAGGTCCTATCATTGAGGACCTGAACGCCTACGGCGACATCTTTGGCAGCAGTGTAGACCACGCCTACGAGACCGTGGAGCTCGCTACCAACAATCAAACCGCGCTGATCCGCTCCGGAAATGGTCTCGGTGGCTCTACTCTAGTGAATGGTGGCACCTGGACTCGCCCCCACAAGGCACAGGTTGACTCTTGGGAGACTGTCTTTGGAAATGAGGGCTGGAACTGGGACAATGTGGCCGCCTACTCCCTCCAGGCTGAGCGTGCTCGCGCACCAAATGCCAAACAGATCGCTGCTGGCCACTACTTCAACGCATCCTGCCATGGTGTTAATGGTACTGTCCATGCCGGACCCCGCGACACCGGCGATGACTATTCTCCCATCGTCAAGGCTCTCATGAGCGCTGTCGAAGACCGGGGCGTTCCCACCAAGAAAGACTTCGGATGCGGTGACCCCCATGGTGTGTCCATGTTCCCCAACACCTTGCACGAAGACCAAGTGCGCTCCGATGCCGCTCGCGAATGGCTACTTCCCAACTACCAACGTCCCAACCTGCAAGTCCTGACCGGACAGTATGTTGGTAAGGTGCTCCTTAGCCAGAACGGCACCACCCCTCGTGCCGTTGGCGTGGAATTCGGCACCCACAAGGGCAACACCCACAACGTTTACGCTAAGCACGAGGTCCTCCTGGCCGCGGGCTCCGCTGTCTCTCCCACAATCCTCGAATATTCCGGTATCGGAATGAAGTCCATCCTGGAGCCCCTTGGTATCGACACCGTCGTTGACCTGCCCGTCGGCTTGAACCTGCAGGACCAGACCACCGCTACCGTCCGCTCCCGCATCACCTCTGCTGGTGCAGGACAGGGACAGGCCGCTTGGTTCGCCACCTTCAACGAGACCTTTGGTGACTATTCCGAAAAGGCACACGAGCTGCTCAACACCAAGTTGGAGCAGTGGGCCGAAGAGGCCGTCGCCCGTGGCGGATTCCACAACACCACCGCCTTGCTCATCCAGTACGAGAACTACCGCGACTGGATTGTCAACCACAACGTCGCGTACTCGGAACTCTTCCTCGACACTGCCGGAGTGGCTAGCTTCGATGTGTGGGACCTTCTGCCCTTCACGAGAGGATACGTCCACATCCTCGACAAGGACCCCTACCTCCACCACTTCGCCTACGACCCTCAGTACTTCCTCAACGAGCTCGACCTGCTCGGTCAGGCTGCCGCTACTCAGCTGGCCCGTAACATCTCCAACTCCGGTGCCATGCAGACCTACTTCGCTGGGGAGACTATCCCCGGTGATAACCTCGCGTATGATGCCGATTTGAGCGCCTGGACCGAGTACATCCCGTACCACTTCCGTCCTAACTACCATGGCGTGGGTACTTGCTCCATGATGCCGAAGGAGATGGGCGGTGTTGTCGATAATGCTGCCCGTGTGTATGGTGTGCAGGGACTGCGTGTCATTGATGGTTCTATTCCCCCTACGCAAATGTCGTCCCATGTCATGACGGTGTTCTATGCCATGGCGCTGAAAATTTCGGATGCTATCTTGGAAGATTATGCTTCCATGCAGTGAGTGGTATGATGGGGATATGAGTGAGGATATTAGGGGATAGTATTTAGACGGTAGGGAGGTATAATCATAGATTGGATAGAATGGGTAGATTACATAGACAGGTTACATGAATAGACGTTCGTTATATGTGAGCAGACAATACTATCAAACAAGGGCATTGTTCAGTTTGTCGAACGATAGTCATATGTTTTGTACGGGAAGAAAGTTTCACTAATTATTAAGCAAACGGATCAGGGGTTGCCAGCTGAAATACAATCATCCGATGTTCTATTTTCTTCGAATTGATTTACCAGTCAGTTAATGAATGCATGAGAGCAACACTGCGCATCCACTGGCTATCTAGTCAATAATACGAATTTTTTTCATGATGAAATACCGACATGGACATATTCTGTTGCTGGTGAAGCAAGCCCTCGCTAAATATGCTGATAACTTCCTATGCCAGTAGAATAATTTCCCACTCTGGCTGCGCGCTCTCAAAAGCTTTCCATTTAATTATAGCCAAGCCAACCCGCTCCCAGAGCTCGCCACCTCGATAAAGGAGAAGAAAAAATGGGACACAGCGGGCTTGATCGAACTCATTGTAAATCCAATCATCAAGGTCGTATTCTGAGAGATCGCGGACCAGGACATGAGCGTAGCACAAAAACACATACTTGCATTTGGGAAGAAGATGGTTTAGATTGGATGGTGTTTTACCGACCAAGATCCCGCACCGATGGCCCTGGGAATCGATAATTGGTATGCGAGTGCGAGGATCATGGCATGGGGGATGGGACCACCTCTCATAGTAGAAGTTTATGGCTGGAACGGCCAAAGTGTAGAAGTGTAGGACACTGTGTCCTGGGTGCTTAGAAACAATATCACACGGAACCATATCATGGAGAGTGTCTTGGGCAGGCGTTCGGCTAAAAATCGACCATGAGGGGTAGCCGTAGTAACAATATCCGGGGGGCTGATGGACAACTCTTTGGACCCCATCTGGCCGTATAAGCTCTATTGTGCATGGTGTAGATATTTCGTTCATCCACACTCCTGGATCAATGCCCCTCGAGCCAATAGGTTTATAATTTATCTGACACACCCAACCTATCCAGGACCAGCTTGGGAAGAATTCTTCATGTCGGCCTGTTACCCTCGGCAGCCGGCGAGTGGGGGTCTCTTTGGGAGACCATAGAAGATAACGAAGGAACTCCCGTCGTGGAAGACCAGCAATAAGTTCTTCATAGCCATCCATTTTATATTTGTCGCTCAAGATGGAAGAGATACCGGTAAAAGCATCTATAATATCGGCAGGATAGGACAATTTCCGTTCCGTGTATTTCTCAACAAGACCCTCATACACTGATCTCGAGCCTCGCCAGTCATACGTATTTTTGTCAACCCCTTTCCATAACAATAGAATCTTTCTCTTCAGTCCGTATGTCTCCTCAAAGTCGATACCCTCCGTGCTGGGTGTGTCTTCGCATCGGACTCTATTCTTCTTGCAGTGAAAATAAACCTGCCGATCCGACACAAACAGACGCCTGGGAGAGAGCAAAACCTCTTGAAATGTCCATCCACGAGTGGTATGCAGAGACAGCCTCAGAGAATCTCCTAGGCTTGGAAGAGAAGAGAAGAGGCGGGCTGTTCTCACGTTTTCAATGATTTGTGGGGGTCTAGAGTTAGGCCGTACACCAGGTAAGCCATGATTGGCGTCTGCCCCACTGAGTGCAAAGATAGTTAAAAGTGCATGGGAGTAGATTTTACCCATATCACGGATGGTGGCGTGCTTTTCCCCACTATCCTGCAAGATACACAGACGGTCTACCCAGAGGTAGCGTTCACGTAGCTCTCGGACAAGCATCATACTGTCGGCGATTGTCCGCGGTATATTACTTCTGTCGGGGGACAGGGCGCCCTTATCCTGCAATGTCTCATAGTTCCCAGTCAATGTCTATAGTCCCCCTGCTTGACCCCAGACGTAGCTCAAGGCTAGATATCGGACATTTGACCTCCTTCGCACTAATCGATTGTCGTGGACATCGATCAAGATTATGTCAATTGGCTCTGATGGATTGGTCGCGCAGTCATGATCTGCACTATTTCCACAGTCATGCAACCAGGAATGCACAAAGGTGAAATCGATCTGGCCATGTTTTATCTTTCGGCCAACATAAGTCGCCTGATAGTTACGGGGCTGGAGTCGCAAGCGATCCCTATCATCTTCTAATATCCCGACACTTCCAATCAACATACGGTTATTAAGGTCATAGCTATATACCAGAATAGGGTCGAAGGCCAAGGTCGAAAGTATGAAGTTGAATTTCTTCACTTTGGTATCGTTGGCGTCATAGGATTTGGCCCGTATGGTTTCCACAGCCAGTTTGCAGAGGGGGCAGCCAGCCTCAACTTCAACTGATTCCCGGATGTCGTGGTATATGCTATCACGAATCGAGTCACGAGATAAGCATTCTGATCTGGGAAACTTGAGCCAATCTTCTATGGGTAGCTTCGCACATCTATGGCAAAGCACGTTATCTGCCGCGTTGACAGGCAGTTGAGATTCTTGATGATGTGCCAAGGTTGTCGTCCCTGGATGAAAAGAAGAATCTAAATTATCTCGACTCATATTCCCCACAGCTCAAATGATGATACTGAAGAGAGGAGAGCTCTGGGAATGACAAGAATGTTGTCCCCAGTGGCATCAGCGGAGTCGAGATTGGGCATCAATGCAGCAACGCCGGTATATTCTTAAGGCTCCATTCTTAAGCTAACCACCCGCACTCGATCTGCCCGACTTGGCAATATCAGTCACCCCAGTTGCGATAGCTACTAGTCTCAATGGATAAAGGTATCTACCACTACTTATGCTGTTCAGGGGTATCTTGCCTAATAACATGTATATATTCCACGTCTCTATTTGAGTACTTGGACCAGACCAATTCACCTTGAACTATACGGTGATCTCCCTTGGCCAAAAGGTATATTAACGAAAGACATTAACACATAAAGCAGAATTAATTCACATAACACATATATTCCATGCCTTCAAGTTCCCAATATACACTTTACAGCACGACGAGTCCATACTAGACACTGTGACTGCAAACACACAACTTAAACACAGCTAGGCGTTATGCCACACATGGATTACCATGTCCCATAGCCCATGTCATTGATATGGGCTTCTTACCAACCACCAGCGGGGCCGCTGGGGACAGGAGTCGGGGTGGGGAATCCACCGAACTGACGCTCCTCAAAGCCACCCGAGGGGGTAGGGGCCGGAGAAGGAGTGAAGGAAGGCACGCCACTGGGGAAGGGGGGAGCCTGGCCTTGCGGGCCCTGCTCGGGTCCCTCTGCAGGAGATCCGAACTGGCGCTTGAAGAAGCCTCCGAAGCCCTCAGAGGGTGCGGGACCGGGGGCACCAGAGGGAGCACCCGCAGTGGCAGACTCGACGGGGCCACCGAACTGACGCTTGCCGAAGCCACCGAAGTCACCGAATGGGACGGGGGAAGGGGAGCCGGAGGGAGGGGGCCCAGCGGGGGCGGACTCGGAGGGACCGGGGAACTGATGCTCCTCGAAGCCGGCTCCGGGGAAGGCGGAGGGAGTAGCGGAGGGAGTAGCGGAAGGAGCAGAGTCGAAGGGACCACCGAAGCCGCCGAAGCCATCGAACTGACGTCTACCGAATCCTTCAGGGAAACCGGAGGGGGCGGGGCCGAAAGAACCGGAGGGACCAGCGGGGGGGCCGGAAGGCTGGGGGCCACCGAACTGGCGCTTTTCGTAGGGCTCGGGGGTCACGGAGGGAGGAGCGCCGGAGACCGAGCTGGGAGGAGGCGGAGGAGGGAAGGAAGATTCCTCAGGAGCGGGAGCCACCGAGCCAGAGGGAGCGGGAGGAGGGCCGTTGAAGAAAGGCGCCGGGGGCAGGGCAGCGACGCAGCCGACGAGGCTGGCCAGAACAGCTCCGGTAAGCTTCATTTTGAAATTAGGATGTGAAAGAGGGAATGACTTTTGAGGTTTGATTCCAGAGTGATTGGCTTGTGAGGATGGTATCTGAAGGAGCGGACAGAGAGAGGCTTTTATAATGATTTCAGCTGTCCTGAGATGCCTACCCATACACCTTCTTGAGGAAGGATCAGCATTTAGCGTGGGAGGTGAACAGGTTACAGAGCACCTGGTAGATTCTCTCCGACGTCGGCATCATTCAGGTACCATGGGGGTTTGCTGGCGAGGTTAGACCACTCCAGGTCCTCAGTTGCCGAGTGGAGAGATCAGCGAGGACGGCTCGTTCTCAAACCAATTGGAATACTTTCTTGATGGATGCCCATAATCTAAGCTTTGAAGCAAGTGCAAGGGGCACTAACAGCGTTTGAGGGCATTATTGTGACGTGGAGGTGATATGATATGGCGGCAATGTAACAAGAACAGGGATTTTCAGTGAAGTCACCGTTGTTTCAGTGTTGCCTGAGAAAAACTCTCATCATATCATTGTACCAGCCACACTGCACAGTTACTGCTGCAACATCTGGGCCCTTGTGAGTTGTCTGTGACCGATCGGCACTTGAAGGTGGAACCAGAACAGGCTGTGTCGATCAACCCTCCAGCCATCCCTGGAGAAAACTGGTCGTGGGATATCAGATTGATAATCTGTATCCAATCAGAGAGACATCTGCCGGGACAATCCTGTCTACAATGGAAGCGAAACGCTCCTGCTCTTCTCCTGTGCCTGGGCCAGACTTGGGCTGAAGCTAACTGTTCGGCCGTGTTGGCCACATTGAGTCAACGGTATCCACACTATTGATTCCACCGGATGGCCTGCAAGGCTGGGATCGTGAATCCTTATTCTGTTTAGGTAATGCCGGTACAAAAGTGGTAGGAGAACTGTCATTCACCATGTCGACGACATGGTAGCGATACTGCGCGATGGTCTTCGCCGAAAACAAGCCTTTCGGCTAGCTCGATTTCGACACGAAGACCATATGACTTCAAGGCTTTGAAGCATGTCAGTTCTTCAAACATGAATTATGACTTTGTGGCGCCCACCTAAAGCGTCTGGACCCTGACGCTCTTCTGGGTGTTGCAACAAGGGACCTGGCAATCAGCCCTGTCCTGAAACGTAGAATGATGCAAAATGGAAGGGTCCCAGCCACATGAGGCCCAGGAGCCTCATTGGAGCATTTCCTGGGAGGTCGGGGTGGCGGCTGTGGTAGCGATACACTTCTGAGGGTTGATGGGGACGCTGGCGTGGCCTCCTGCCGATCATCTTCGGCTCGAGGGTTGAGACTGATGGATCTGCGCGCCAATTACCCCTCCACGGCATCACTCCGGCAACGAGGGTCCACAGAGCAAAGTGATCGGTGAAAGCTGCAAGGAGAACACTATTGACGTAGGTACGATGCAGGCTTGATGACGGTTATGAGCTTATCCACGTTCTGGGACGATACTTCTATCAGTTTAGTAGTTTTCCAGAGTTCCGCTGAGTAAGTACATTCTGCCCCACAGGGATGCCACTCCAGTACTGCAAGCTAGGCAAAGGGTATCTATGGATCAAGAAAGCGAGTGCTCCCGGCTCGTGGCTTCTCCCTACAGAGGGTGAGAAGGAATACTGTACAGACATCTTCCGGCCGAGTAGGCTGTCGAGTCATTCCTAACGCCTAGGGTTAGCTCTGCCGTCGCGGTCCCGCACAAGGAAAAGTTGCGAGCAGAAGTGACATCATGCAGGGCATTGTTGGTCTCTTGTGCTTCCATGCGCAACCTATGCTCGCAATGTGTTAGGAGTATCTACCAGAGTACCTATGAGATATACTGAGTATACTTAAACGATATACTGCAGCTTCTGACCGCAGACGGCGAGATCCACAGCAGAGCAGGTTAGTATATGCACTATCGTTGGAAATAAGGTGAGACATCAATCAAAGCTAGTGTATGTAGCACAGGGCCGAAATTAGCTAGTCTAGAACTCGCACGGCAAGTCTTGGCCATGCTCAGTTTCACGGTTTGACTAGCAGTGGATCCGTTTCAGAGAGTGAAAGTCCAACACAAAGCACTTTATGAGAGTCACATTCGTATATGTTGTTCAATGCCATAAAGTTTGGCAGGAAGTTCAGTCGGCATATATCGATACTCTGGTTACTTGATGCCGAAAAAGGTGTCAGATCAGTTGCCCAAAACAAACCAGGGTCTCTAGACCGGGGCGCCATTCCCGAAACAAGCATCCATCAAAACTATAGTAGAAAGACCGGGAAATATATTTTGATTTCCTGTGTAGCCAGCTACAACCGGAACTTACTCCCCAAACAATGAGATTGCCCTATGGGGACGGATACGTCTTTTCACCCTGACGCAGATGGTTCATTTTCTATCTACATACATTTTCTATCTTCTCACACTTCATCAGTTGTCCCCTCTTTTGAGCAAATAACTGAAATGTCGGCCCGTAGAGTTGGGAGCGATATTTACCATCGGCATTGATCAGGTATTCTCCAGGTCATGTGCAATTCATGGAAACGCGTGCCGTGGTGTTCTCCCCATTTCCGCATCTAATATCATATGCATCCGAATTCTGCCGCATTTCATGTGCAAGTAACCCTATAATAACCATTTTCACACTACGTCATGATCGCTCAAGCAGGAATAGTAAGGGATCTGGAACCGAAAGCTTCACTTAAGATAACAGGGAATGCTATGGGCATGGAGGGTTCAAAAGTACGAGCAGCTGAATAATGGCCATTGATGGGAAATATACACTAAGGACTTGAAGTCTGATTACATTATACACTCCTATACTGATGGAAGACTAGCAACGCTGTAACAACTGCAAAGGATTCACGAGGATCAGTGACCCACAAAAACGCTCTGACCAATGTTCCTCAGGATAGACGAATGGACCAATTATAGATGACGCAGTCGAGAGCCGAGCAAGCTACAAGACAGTAGTGCTGATCCCGAAACACTAATAACTGCATTTGGAGATGTCGAGTGTCAGGCTACTGGAAAATGGAGATGGGAGTTCACTCCGAACGACAGTCAGCGAACTCACAATGAAATAACTATGAACGGATACATGGAGCATTCAAATAATCGCATTAGCGGGCATAGTCTGGCAGTCAGCTTCAGAAATGCCGGGGCTCCTCCCGACCAGTACTTCAAGGTGAAGACTGGGGATGATGAGGTGAGATTATGGAACAACGGACCGCGCGTCAGAGCCAACCTTATCCAAATAAGCTGATAAATTTGATGACCACCTGGCTGTCAGCAACTGCACAGCCTTACGCGACCCCTCTTTTGCTGGTTATAAATCAAGCATGAACACTTCTCTCGTTCGACCCTCAATCTCTCCTCCAAAAACTTATACTGATTGTTACCATGACCGGTTCCAACCAACTTACAGCCCTGGAGGCCTTTCTCCTTTCGCATCCCAGCATCGGCTACATCCCGCCCACCTCCGCCGAGTATGTGCCCACAGCCAACCGGGTGTTCATCGCCGGCATCAACGCCCGTCCACTGGCCATCGTGCAGCCCCAGTCTCCCGCAGATGTCGCAGCACTCGTTAAATTCGCCAAGACCCACTCTGTACCCTTTACCGTTCGCTCGGGCGGCCACAATCTCGAGGCTCGCTCCGTCGTGAATGGCGCCCTTCTCATCGACCTGCGCGCCCTGACGGCCGTTACGGTCGCCCCGGATCGTCAGTCCGCTACCGTCCAGGGAGGTATTCTCCAGGGTGAACTGGCTAATATCCTCTGGGAGGAGGGGCTGGTTACTCCGACCGGTTCTATCCCCAGCGTCGGATATGTCGGCTGGGCCATGTATGGCGGCTATGGGCCCTTTTCGTCTCATTGGGGACTGGGCGTTGATCAGATTCTGGGTGCTACGGTGGTGGATGCTAATGGGGAGATTGTTGTTGCTGATGAGTCCCTCCTCAGGGGTATCCGTGGTGCAGGGGGAATCTTCGGCATCATTGTTGACGTTACTATCAAGGTCTACTCCCTTCCAAAGGTACGCCCACTTTCCCCAAATGATAGTAACAGCAAGTGTACTAAACGTACAGCTCCTCGCCGGCGCAATCATTTTCGACTCCTCCGACATCACTCAAACCATCATTACTTTCAACGCCGCCTATGAGAATCTCCTCAACACAGAGGGCCTCCCTCCTCCACTGACCCTGCAGCAAGTCGCCTTCAACAGTCCTCAGGGTCGCGTATTCGCTGTGCTCTTTACATGGAGCCACCCCGACCTAGAGGAGGGCCAACGATGGGCAGAGAGAATCTCCTCCCTCGCCCCGTTGCTCATGAGCACCGTCGCCCCCACGACCGTCCCGGACTGGTTCACAGGTAATGGTGCCCTGGTACCCGAAGCTGTGTATGGGTCCCTCCAGACTCATAACGTCCGGCGCATCAATCCCGCCGTGGCGGAGGTGATTGCACGGAATGTGGCATCCATGCCGTCTGATCCGGGCACGATGGCCACAATCCATCAGTTACGGGGACAGTCTGCTGGTGAAGACGCAGACAAGCTCGAGCATTCTGTCTTTGCGACAAGGGAGCCGCATTATATGCTTGAGTTTGTGGGATGTGCTATAGATGAGCAAAAGGCGGCGGCATCTGAGGAGTGGGCGGTTAAACTGGCAGAGGAGATTGTGCAGGCCGATGAGGGGAATGTCTTGCCCACGGCATATGTGTCTTTGATGAGATTCGCGAGCCTGAAGCCGGAAGAGGCAGTCAAGAAGGCGTTTGGGGCCAATGCAGAGGCGGTGCGCACGTTGAAGCAGAGGTTTGATCCGGAGAATGTGTTTGCGTTGGCGCTGCCAGCGTTGAAGTAGAACATGGTGGTGTTCTTTAGAAATGGTGATAGTATGCACCGATGTTAATCAACTCGTTTCCCTTACCGGCTTACACTGCCAGAGCTGGAGGAGAGATAATATGTCTCACTACCCCCTTCCCCTTCACCTCCTAGCATGTCCGCAATCCCCCTTAACGCCTCCCCAATCCTCCGCACCAGATCAAAGACATGAATCCCGCTCGAGATCTCAGCCCAGACCTGCGCCGTCATCCCCGCCAGCCGCTGGATCTTCTCCGCTTCACTCTCTCCCTCCTTGCCTTCATCTCCCTCCACAGCATTTGTCTCCTGAATCAAGTACTCCGCCATGCGGAGCAGCTTCCGTTCATCCTCCCGCAGACTCCCCATCCCGTGTGCTGCCACGGCGCTAGCCAGCATCTGCATCCACCGTATCAACAGCACCGCGCACTCTAGGTGGCAGATGGAGTGCTGTACGCTCCAGCTCAAGGTCTGCGTGCGCGCGACGTAGGGGATTCCCACCCGCACAGGGATGCTCAGGGCGTGAATGCACTGCAGGATAGCACGATTGAGGGCCGGGGAACGACTAATATGATCTAGCGGTGGTGTTGGGGAGATGAGTGATTTGAGACGAGTCGTATCGCTGGAGAGGAGCTCATGACAGAGACCCGTCCGACAATTCAATCGGATGTAGGCGAGTCGTAGCAGTGCGGTCGCGTTGAACCCCAACGGTCCCTTGGGACAGTATGGGTCCAGACTCGACTCCCAGGTGCTCTCCCAGCTAGATTGCCAGTGCTTCAGTGCTGTTTCGAGGGATTCTACGAGTGGAGTACGCAAACTGCCACCAGCGGCTTGTCGCTCAAAGTAGATGCGCTGTACCAGGCCGTGAATGAGGATGTAATTGGAAAAGGGAGAGATAAGGCTATGACCAGTGATATCGTTTCCGTTGAGAAGTTCGTTGAGCGTCGAAGTGAATCCGCGTTCATGGAGCCGGGAGACGGCGCGATGTCGCTCCCACGCGGCGGGTGAAGAAGCCCTCCATTCTGCTTCGCAGGATGGTAAACACACGGCCACCTCGCTAGTAAGAATCTGCGGTGGAATATTGAAGATGATGCTCTGCAGGTTAAAGACGATGTATGAGATTAAGAAGGTACGTCGCCGCTGTTGGTGTGCCACCCATGCCAGCCAGCTGAGTTCGGCATCTGCGCCATTGTCCGTTTCCTGAATCCCCAGTGTCCGCACGAGCACCGCCAGCTGGCTGCTCATCGCTAGACTATCCTGCGCGAGGACTTCCTCACCCCAGGAGCTCATGGCTGTCAGAACGATCAAGGCTTGTGCTCGCTGAAGTTCGTCAGTAGTATCTTCAGCCGTCTCGTTTGCACTGGTCGGATTGCTCGAACCGCGGCGACTGTCTGAAAAAGGACTGGCATATGCTGCAGATCCTGGTGAGCGGCCGACTAGTTGCCCGACCAGTCTGCGACGGCGATCCTGCGTGTTCTGGTCAATCAGGGACCGCGCTGCGACGTACAACTGGTGGCCCTTGTGATGCTCGAAGCGATGCAAGGCGCCGACAGCCGCCATTGCGAGGAGGAGCTCGGGCTCGACGGTCTCTGCACGGAAGGTCGGCATATGAAGAAACGGAAGATGGTCATGAAATCCTCGGAAGTAGCCCTCCAAATATCGCACGAGGGCACACCTGGATGGCAGTGAAAAATCGATCAAGGCAGTCCGCTTTGCGGTCAGTTTGTCCACGATCGTCTTGTACGCGCCCGCAGAGATTGCCCACGGACATCCTGCCGCGTCGAGTTGCGCCTCCAAGCCACTTTTGTGCGGCTGGTCATCTAGCGATGGCAGGCGGCGCTGTGGTTGGTCCTTTGGATCGGGCAGGACACTAGGATAGTCGGCTGTGTCGTCGAGAGAGGGAGCAGGAGGACCAGCTGGCGTTGAAGACAGCCGTGGTCCCTGAGACGCCTGCCCCTGTGCAGGAAACTGCTCGAGTAGATCCGAGAGAGAGATCTCAGTGTCCAAGAATTGAGAGGGAACGAAATTGGGAAATGCAAAGGCAAAGTTATCGGAAATTGGGTCCTGCCCCAACTCCATGTCGGGGAAGCTTGCCGGGGTTGGTTGAAAGAAAGTAGGAAGTGTCTGGGATGGTCCGTCCCATGCCGGCGGAGTGATTATACTCTGGAATGGCGCTGTCGGAGCGGACAGATTCGGCGCCGAGATGACATTTTCCAAGCCTGCACTGACTGGTAAGGTCGAGTTGTTTAAATCAAATTGAGCCGGACCAGTGCTCAAAGATCTAGTAGGGTTGGAAGAGGATTTCTCTGGAGGCGATTGGAGTCCAGTGGACGAGTGGGATACCCGGTCATGGCGCCTCAGAAGGTCCCTTCAATATGTTAGCAAGACATTACTAAAGGAACTGTTACATGATAATGGCTTACTGTCTGGAAAATGCACGGCCGCAGTGACATTGGAACGGCTTTTCCTGCGTATCTACGACAAGGTGAGTGTCCACCTGATTGCCAAGGGTGATCCGGTGAAGGGACACTTACGAATCAGCTCATGTCGCCGCAGGTGTTGCGACCGACTGAAGATCCTCCCACAGAAGGTACATGGAGGGACATGGAGTTTGGGTCTTCCTGGAGCCATTCGGAAAGGGATGGAAATGATGCTTGAATTCCCATGATGGGGAAGGTTGGGACGGAAATTCGGGGCACAAATTGGGGTGCAAAATGCGGGCAGAGAAGGAGAGGGTAACATATGAGTCAGCATGCCGGATAGCCCCCACTCTTTCATGGGTTCGGATGCAGTCATTGGCTATCGGTTCTTCAATGATTTCATAAGTTTCCCAAAAGAAAAACGTAACCGGACAACGAAGCGTCGCGACAACGAGCCGTCGGTGACCCTCACCACCTTATATCTCCAAGACATATAATATTGAATCTTACAAAATTGGGTCAGAATTGAAGCTATTTAAATATATAGAGAGTATTTGTTAAGATAGAAGACTAGCACTTACCTGTAAAGTCTTTAGTTGCGGTCAATTTCTATGAGTAAAGTATATACTGCAGTATTAATTTAAAATTAAGCAGATAATAGAAAATACTTGATACTGGCTATTATACTACAGTAATTACAATAAAAAAGGCTATAATTGGTTTGAATATCTAACCAAAGGCAATTTTTAGTTTATTTATATATATTTATCTATATAGTACTGAATTACTTTAATTTTAATTGATTATTATATTTTTGGTAGGCAGAGCGGCGGCTCGTTGTCCCGCCGCTTCGTTGTCCGATTATGTAACCTCTATAAATGTTTTTTGGGGCAAAAAGTAACCATATTTCTGCCCCAACCGCTGCAAAGGAGGGTACGGTTCTGACCCCAATAACAACCTTTCTTAGAACCATCTTTTACGGGGCAAGCCACCAAAAAAACATTAATTGGCTTTTTTCCTTTGAGTTCTGTACCATTGTTTGATTTATAATGATGTTATATCGCATCACGACCGTCATGGCGATTCTAGTTGGGGCAGAAATGTGGCGCCTTCATACATATATAAACCCGCCGACTGTAGACAAATATTTGGACTTCACAAATCAGAACATACGGATAACACTAGTAATTTGAAGATTGTGATATCACATTACTACCGGCGCTATAATTTCGAACAACTCCATCGAACCAACTATTGTCACACATTACAAACAGAACATCCCAACATGTCCCAAACAGTTCTTCGTCTCTCCGCCCGCGATTCCTGGGACAAGCTGGTCCAACATCAAGAAGCCATCCCCTCCGCCGGCAAGCATGAAGTCCTTATCAAAGTCCGCAGTGTCGCCCTGAACTTCCGTGACATTGCCATCTCCACCGGCCAGTACCCCTTCCCCGTCAAGGACCAAGTCGTGCCAGGCTCTGATGCCGCGGGCGACATCGTCGAGGTGGGCGAGGGTGTCTGCGGACTGCAGCAGGGGGACAAGGTTATCGTCAACTTTGATCTTGCTACTACGTACGGCCCCTTGAAGAGCTGGCATGCGGGCTTGGGTGGACCTGTTGATGGTGTCATGCGGGAATACTTCTCGGTGCCTGCACACGCTGTGGTTAAGATCCCGGAGTCTTCCAAGTTGAGCTATGCCCAGTGGGCGGGTGTCGTGTGCACCGGAGTTACGGTATGGAATGCTCTCTACGGCAACTTGCCTCTGCGCCCGGGCCAGTCGGTGCTTTGCTTGGGTATGTCACGATGATTCATTCTTCTTTGTGATTGCATTATCTGACCTGTCTAGGAACCGGTGGAGTGTCCATCACCGGTCTCGTCCTGGCCAAGGCGGCTGGCGCGACTACTATCATCACGTCATCCTCCGATGAGAAGCTCCAGTACGTCAAGGAGAAGTATGGCGTGGATCATACTATCAACTACAAGAAAACGCCCAACTGGGCTGCCGAGGTGCAGAAGATTACGAACGGCCAAGGCGTGGACTACATTCTCGAGAATGGAGGAGCGGGCACCATCAAGCAGTCCCTCGACGCCGTCGCGTACGGTGGCAGTATTGCGGTGATTGGTTTCCTGGCTCAGGCTTCCCAGGAGGAAATGCCGGATGTTGCTGCACTGGCTCTCGGCAAGGGCGCCGTGGTTCGTGGTATCATGACGGGATCCAAGCAGCTGCTAGAAGAAGCGGTGCGCTTCATCGGAAACCGGGACCTTCCCGTGCCGGTCGAGAAGACGTTCAAGTTCAGTCGTGACCAGGTGGTCGAGGCCTATGGCTATCTAGCTAGTGGACAGCATGTTGGAAAGATCTGTATCGACTTTTGATTTGAGCACGGGGTTATGGTGAGCGGGTAGATACATGAGGTGTTATGTATATCATAAATCAAATTGCTGTGATTGATTCACATGAAGCGAATCTCAGAGTCAGCTCTATCGGGACACTGGCCGTGACTAAACTGTAATAAAACGCACAAATCACCTAAGCCGGATCAGTCTATTGTCTATCTTCGCGCACCATATTCCGGTAAGGATTGTTTGGATCCTGCTCCTCCTCCTCTGCCGACGGGATGGTCTTGCGCACGCGACAGGGATTTCCCACGGCCACAGAGAAAGGAGGGATATCCTTGGTGACAACGGAACCCGCACCGATAGTTGAGCCCTCGCCAATGGTCACCCCAGGCAAGATGACAACGTTGCCGCCGATCCAGCAATCATCGCCGATGCGAATAGGATGGCCAAATTCGACGAACTTGCGGCGCGACAGTACACTGACGTCATGTCCAGCCGTGAAGAGATTGACGTTGGGGCCCAACTGCACGCGGTCGCCGATGATGATCAAGCTGGTGTCGAGGGCAGTGAAGCTGGCTTCGATTAGTGTTTTAAACCCTGCTGCATGCATGTGTGCACTCACTTGAAATTGATGAAGCAATCGCGGCCAATGACAATGTTACAGCCATAGTCGGGGTTAAATGGGGGTTCCACAAAGGTTCCCGAGCCGACTTTACCCACCACCTTCTGCAGCAGCTCGTAGCGCACGTCGGCAATCTTCTCATACGACACAGACTTCGCGTCGAGGTTGTTGTAGTCCTGAGTGACTCCGCGGGCCCGATGGCGGGCTTCCATCAACCTGGGGACGATGGGATTATACCTGAAGATGGTTAGGTTGTGCATGAATGGCCCAATGATCAAGATCTCCTACAGCATGCCGGAGATCATGCGCTCGTATTCCTCGCACATGGGAACATGATTCAGACCCCGCGCAATCTCGATGATCTCCGGTCGCTTCTCTGTTGCAGCAACAGACATTATAGCAGGGTATACTAAAAGAAGAGAAGTGGTTTCTGGCGATAGTAGTGTGGTGGGAGAAAGTTAATGTTAATGGACACTTGGGCTCCGGGAACCGCGGGGTAACCTAAATGTGCGGGGCATCCTGGTTAGCCTGCAACCACCTTTACTCGTTGCTGGAGTAACCGCAGGTCTGACTGCGAGGAGTTAAAGAATCCTGGCTAGATCGAGAGACATATCCGGTGCAGATGCTGCGAATAGCTGCAACACGTTTCGGCTGACAATTCGCACCGAGAGTGGCCACTCCTACCTAACTCACCCTGAAGAGCATTGCCGTTCATCAAAGCAGACATGCTCAAAAGGTCCGAGCTATAAAAGGAGAAAAGATCTAGTACATAATCGGCGTAGCAAACGAACAGGCTTATGGTTAACTCTGGTGTTGATTTCAGGCCTGGGTCTAGGAGGTGAGAAAACAAAATGAGGGTCAGTTTATTTGTCATGTATTCACAGCACAGTGATAATACTAGTCCCCTATATACTGCATCTTCTTGTGTGCATCCTCAGCCCGTCCTAATAGTGTCTGGCCTACTATACACCCACCTGTCGTACGTACAAGTACATGGCGGACATTGCACGCAAATGGGAAGTCTATTGTCTGTAACAAAGCTGGGCGTGGCAACGCCCCATCTGAGTCTTCATATACAGCGCTGTATGTCCATAACCAATGAACTCATTTGCATGAGTGAAGGTCTCTGAAGGACTTGATAGAGGATTGTAGACCTGCCTTCAGTTCGAAAAGCAGGAAAGAAAGGGAAACTAAGCGGCAGAAGAAAATGAGGTAAGAAAATAACTGAAAGAAAAGCGGGAGAGACTGCCTACTTCTACCTCAAAGGGCTGAACAGATTACTAGCCCCTCTTATGGGTAAAAGAATGGCCACAATCTGCCGGGTGGGAGGCTTTCGTCGAAGACCGATGTCAAGAACGCGCAGTTTTATTATAATAATCCTCCCAGTCAGGTAATTCCTTGTAATGGCTGCCTAGTCTGCTGGTTGAGCAACCGCCAAGTTGATGAACAGGAAGGCTCTATGCCCCATATCAGTGATTTGTCCGACGCAAAGTTCTCTCCCATTGTGCAGCCAAGATTCTGGTTTCTGAGAAAGATCGTATCGCACTGGTAATCAATCAGATACCAACTTCATCTCCCAGCCCACAGCTATACTATTTTTGTCACCGGGTGGATATGGCTGCCTATCAACTCCCCCACAACATGAACGCAAACGTCAAACGGAGCCATGAGGATCTTATGAAGTTATCACCGCAGAGTAACAAATCCAAGGCCCTCTTTCCGGGGTCCCACTACCGTGCTGTTAAGCTTTTGTTTGTTAGTTAAAACCTTGCTGCCTGAACCCATCAGTGTCTATCTTGCCGTCAACCTCATTAAGAGATTGTTGTGCTGATGTACACTATCATCCTGCATATCATAGCCCGGGGCATTGCTTTATGATCGACCCTGGCATCTCATGATGACCAATGCGATATTAACGAATGAAAATATTCCGTGGTCTCAATAAGCGTGATATGTGACTTTACGAAAGAAAGACTGTGATGGGTCCCTGGGTATCCACTGAACTTTAGGGATTTGCCACGCGTCTGTTTCAACCCTTGTCAGATTCAAAAAGATGCCGCTTAGTAACATGCAGCTAGGGTTACAGCTAATCAATGTGGAGAGGAAACAGCGGGGCCGAGAACTTAGTTCAGGAGTTTGATACGGATTAGATCTCTCCACCCGGCATGCCGAATCATGATTCTGCGGTAGAGGACCTGGCAATCAGCCAGGAATGGGGGCTATTTCCGGAATAGACTGGTGTATCTAGTAGTTTATTGTTTGTCGAAGATAGCCTGAACCGCTATGAATGGTGCCATTCACTAGTAGTCACCATTGGTGTCTCCTCTATGTAGATCGACATAACGACCTTTACTATGAAAACCCCTGGTAAGATCCCTTTACTGTACACTATGGTTATCCTGATCGAAATGTTTTCGAAAGCAGTTCTTATGCTATACGTAGCAATGAAAACGATACCCCCACATAGGTACCAACCAAGGTTGAAGCCAGCAAAACCACGATTCCGCGGGATAGGCTTAATGATTGAAACCTGTGTAGTGACTACTAAAGCTGTGCCGTAGCGTCTAGAACGATCTTCAGAGCATTGCGTACCTGCATTAGTCCGTCAGTGGCGCGGACGCACCACGTACTATGGATAGTTAGTACCTCCCAGTCCCAGGATTATGGATTATACGATAGAGTTTTTGATTCCCGTTCAGCCTTCTTGCCTGGTCCGCATAAAAATATACCCCGGGTCCCACCAGGATACGGGGTCGCCACGTAAGAGCCCATATCAGAAAACTGATGAAGACCTCTTTGACGAATAAGTCCCGAGAATTGGCCGTGAAGAGGTTCCACTCTTCAATTAAGCATAATCCTGCTCATCCACGAGCTGATCCATCAGCCACGAGAGAAGCTGGTGCCTAACGTGAACGAGGATTTACTGTGCAGGATGGGGCAGTCGAATGAAAGTAGGATAGGAAATCTCGTGATTATGTTAAGATGGATGGATTCATGATCGACAAGCTTTTACGTACAGGGCGGATAAAACTTTTGACGGCACGGGGCGACAACGAACCCAGCCTGACTTGGACCCTGAAAGTAGATAGTGCCTGGACCCCAAACTGCCGACATGAGTAAAAATCCAACATCATGAACGTGTATGTAGAAAACCTCATTGAGATGATCCTTGTGCAAAGGATGCCGCAGATTGTGAATGAAAAGGCTTAGTGAATATTGCTCGTGGTAAGGGAGCCGAGAAGACCCTGAAGCATCCGTTTTCATTTTCTTATTTTAAGGTTACGCTAAACGCCGCGCCACGAGGTCACTATTGGCCGCTGTGAAAATCTACCTGAGCTAACAAATTCGATCCGCGTCGTGGAATATCGTCAGTTCTCCATAGGACTCTTGAATAGGAGTAATGACGACAATAATAAGGAAGAAGGCCACAAAGTCATCAACAACTTGTGTTCGAAATGCTCTAGCCTCATCCCGGGTGTATTTGCAGATAATGATGCCCTGGGCCCACCCAGCATCCAGTTGTGACGAATCTGCCAAAGTGCGTTCTAGCCTGTTCCACTTCGAAGCTTTCAATTGATCGGTCTATGTGGTAGACAATATCTATGTGGCTACTAGCGTAATTTGTTCAGTGCCCCGTAGGACACGCGTTCTTGGCTCAACCACAACCACTATCCACTCTGTGGCAGGGGAGAGGGAGGCGTTTGGACTCCACCTTCACCCGCATCCACTGGCACCGTCTCTTGACCAGCTGTTCGCCTGATTCCGCCACAATGATGATCTCCCTTGCACAGTAGTTTAGAAAAGAGCTTGTCATGGTCAGATGCTGGCTATATAAGTCTCGAATTCCTTCCGACCATATCACATCTCCAGAAGACATCAACCCTTCATCCACTCCTTTTTTCTCCCTTAAAGACTTGCCTTAACTTTGTATCTTCGTCAACACTCTTTTCACATTACTTCTGCACCTCAATTCTCCAAGTTCATCATGCGTCGTGCTGCGATGATGGCGGGCTTGACCGCCACCACCGCTCATGCGGCTTCTCTGGCTGATGTCTGTACCACCGCCAATGTCAAGGCTGCCTTGCCCAGCTCTGTATACGGACTCACCATGATTCCTTCTTCTGTTACCGCGTCGCCCGTCTACAACGCCTCTACCAGCGGTCAGGTCTTCTTCCCCGATGCCACCTACGACTACTGCGGCGTCACCTTCAACTACACCCACAATGGTCGCGGCGACACCGTTAAATTGCAGTACTGGCTTCCCGCCCCGGAGAGCTTCGAGAACCGCTTCCTGGCCACAGGTGGTATGGCTTACATGATCACTGGTGGTTCTAGCTATCTGCCCGGTGGTGTCATGTATGGTGCTGTTGCCGGTACTACCGACGGTGGTTTTGGCGGTGAATTAGACACTGTTTTCCTCCTGGCCAATGGCACGATCAACTACGAGGCCCTCTACTCCATGGGCTACCTCGGTATTGGCGAGATGACCACCGTCGGCAAGGAGTTCACTAAGAACTTCTACAGCATGGGTGACAAGAAGCTGTACACCTACTACCAGGGTTGCTCCGAGGGAGGTCGTGAAGGCTGGAGTCAGGTCCAGAGATACCCTGGCGTCTATGACGGTGTTATCCCTGGCGCCCCTGCCATTCGCTACGGCCAGCAACAGGCCAACCACCTTTACTCCAACGTTGTTGAGAAGACCCTCGGATACTACCCCCCTCCCTGCGAGCTGGAGAAGATCTTGAATGCCACCATCGACGCCTGTGATTCTCTTGATGGCCTGGTTGACGGCGTCGTTGCCCGTACCGACCTCTGTCAGCTCCACTTCAACATCAACTCCACCATTGGCCTTCCCTACCACTGCGCCGCCAGCACGAGCAGCAGCATTGGCCTCGGTTTTGGCAAGCGTGGCACTGACCCCGCCATCAACGGCACTGTCTCTGCCGAGGGTGCTGCTGTGGCTGCTGAAATCCTGAAGGGTCTGCATGACTCCAAGGGCCGCCGTGCCTACATCTCCTACCAGCCTACTGCCTCCTTCAGCGACGCTGAGACCTCCTACAACTCGGAGACTGGCGAGTATGAACTGAGCATTGCCTCTACCGGTGGTGAGTGGGTTGCTAAGTTCCTGGAGCTCCGCGATGCCGACAACCTATCTACCCTTGACAATGTCACCTACGACACCCTCCGTGACTGGATGGAGTTGGGTTGGCAGCGCTACGAGGATGTCATGCAGACCACCTGGCCCGACCTGACTGAGTTTGAGAAGGCTGGTGGTAAGATCATTTCATTCCACGGTGAATCTGACCAGTCTATCCCTACCGGCTCCTCGGTCCACTTCTACAACTCCGTCCGCAGTGTCATGTACCCTGACATGTCCTACAACGCCAGTGTCGCTGCCATGGGTGACTGGTACCGCCTGTTCCTTGTTCCTGGTGCCTCTCACTGCTCTACCAACGATGCCCAGGCAAACGGTCCCTTCCCCCAGACCAACCTGGCTGTCATGATCAACTGGGTTGAGAACGGTGTTGTTCCCCAGACCCTCAACGCCACGCACCTGGCGGGTGAGTGGGAGGGCCAGAACGCCCAGCTTTGCTCCTGGCCCCTTCGGCCTCTCTGGACCGAGAACGGCACCAAGTTCAACTGCGTCTACGACCAGGCCTCTCTTGACACCTGGGACTACACCTTTGACGCCTACAAGGTGCCCCTTTACTAAGCAGCCGATCAAGGCTGCGCATTGCACAGTTGACGCATAATCGTCAGAGCGATTCATGTATATTAGTTAGTGTCACTTTCTATGTGCATATTTAGGGTTCACGGTGATGGTCCTGTCTCGATTAGTATTTCTCTAATTTGCGATGGCATCACCTTTGTTGAGCATATCACTTCTACTACTCGACTTCCTTATCTGCATCTGTGAATGCACATGTAATAGACATAATACATTATTCAGCAAAAATCCTATCATCCAAGCTAGAGCCATAAAAATTTCAGCGAATAACATAGTTCAATCTAAATTTAACTGATGAGAAGTTGATTATTGTCGTATTTTCGGGTATAAGTCCCTTCTGGTCCAATTGTAGCCGCAGAGCATTCGCGCTCCTAATACTAGATGGATGTACGTCTATTTATTTCATGTTTCATTCTCATTATACACAGTTATACTACACAGACACGTTTTGTGTCATCCTTATATATTACTTCCGTCTTCCCATACCGCATCCTCATGATCCCCTCCCTCCATGAACTAAAATCTACTCTCATCCAGCAGAACTTCTACATCAAAGCCCCTACCCCGGCCGCAGCAGCCAACACTAGCACCAATGCGTTGAGACCGAGCGAAGTATTTGCGCCGGAAGTAGACGTTGCGGACGAAGCAGAGCTACTACGTGTAGCCGTGGAAGTGATGGTCGCCATATTCCCAGTGTTTGTAGCAGACTGCAATGAAGGTCTATTAGTTACCTCTTGGCGTAGTACAAGACACTTGTACGAACAACATACCCGGTTAGAAGCAGATGTAGCCGTTGCTGCAGCGCCAGTAGCAGAAGAGGCACTAGGAGTGGCGCTGTCCCCGCAAGCCTCGGCTGCAGACTTCACGTCGTCGCCGTAGTATTGCCAGATGTTGTATGTCAGAGCACATTTCAGACAGGCACTGAGCTCAGACTTGTACGTCGAATTGGAGCAGTAATCGTCGCTGTCTTGGGAGATGAGGATGACGCCGCCTGCGACAATTGTCGATTAGCTGCATGAAGGGACAGGACTGGGAAGGGATCTAGCAAGGGAGAAAAGGGATCGTGAGGGTAGTGGAGCCGTTCCAGGAAATCCATATAAATTGGTGTTGCACCACACGTACCGCAATTGGCGTGGCATTCATACAAGGGACTGCCAGGCTCTATCGATTCCCTCCTCACTATAGGGAAAGTGCCAGGGAAGCTCCATGAAAGGCCAGGAGCGACAAGGGCTGCAACAGCAGTGAGAATGAAAAGAAGTGACTGCATCTCTAGATCTGCAGCCGTGTCTGTATTTGGCAACGTGTTAGAGAGAAGTAAGATGCTTCACGTCCAATAAGCTTGTTATGTGGAATAGCTGTGTTGGGTGGGATCAGCACGGTTATATGCTCCAGTGAGTCCGTGTGATGCACTGGCCTCAATCTTGTAGGGCAGTACATCAAGTCATAATTCGCTCCATTATTACGCCGACGCCGGTAACAATGGGAAAGTTGTCAGACCACCAGATCATGTTCCGCCGCATCTTTCTGGTATCCGTGGCACTCCTTTCCACAATCTCTGTACACTAGTAGATATTTTTTTTCGGGCTCAGGCGGGTTCCTGGTCTGGTGACTGCCTTGAGTGCGACGTAGAAGGAATCTGCAGCACAATGTAGGAGGAGCTAGGGGTGGCGCCCGTCTGGACTCTAATAGATTAATCCCGCAAGTGTACACTGAATTTCGGACCATTGAGCTGCCTGAATGGTGCAGGGCTTTTAGTAGTATATCGCGAGGTTACATCATAGTGTCTATCAGCAGGGCATTCGAGGGTCCGAATTTCGGACGTTCATCTGCTTTCGGCTCGGTATGCCAGTCAAGGTAGGGAGTTTCTGGTGGAGCTGGTCTGCCCGGATAAATTCTTCCAGTACGGCCCTGGTCATAGCTTGTCATCCTAATGGGCGTGAATCCCGATGAAAATACTTATCTGATCCGAAGGTAGTGACCAAGAAGTGAGCTAAACCACATGCTGCCAGTCATGCCGGTCCCAGAATACCCACTCAGGAAGAAAAGGTTGGAACGCCAAGAGTCCGTCGATAGCTGGCATCGGTGGTCGGAGATATTGTACAAAGGGAGGAACCCGGTCCATTATTTCCGTGTGTCATAGAGAACAGGCCAACGGCTTGGCAAGCAAGGAAACGGCGTTCGGACAGATTTTGCCATTAGGATGCAGACAGGCATTTTTCCACGATCTGAGACCCCCTCCAGCGCTGGGGACCCACCGGGTACCCTTTCCAAGGCCCACAGCCCCCTATTCGCTTGCTACCTGTTGCCCGTCGTTGACTGTGAGGGTCCAGTGCAATACGTTTAATGCAGTTCAACTGTTTTTCCAAGTGAGTATAGCGAGAAGTTAACTGCTGCAAGCGAATGGAGAGTGGGATTGGGCCGTGGTGGAGCCCCTTCTTATCAATCTGATATGATCCGATGCCGGGAGCTGCCCTTTCCGACTGTCACTTCACAGATGATTCAGATGCATCGGGACCAGAAAGGAGGGGAACTTGCGATTAGTGCCATTCCTTCCTTTCCAGAACCAGGCTAGTCTTACTGATTGATAACTTAACTCACCGTTAGTGGACTGCCACCCTTGGACGCCCGACCCTCTTGGACCAGCTCGCCTACCGACTTGATTTGGAACCGAATGCATGGTGACCAGCTCCAAAAAAAAAAAAAAAAAAAAAAAAAAAAAAAAAAAAAAAAAAAAAAAAAAAAAAAAAAAAAAAAAAAAAAAAAAAAAAAAAAAAAAGAGTGGATGTTTATCACATGCCATTGGTATTCCCGAACTTATTCCCATTGGAGTTGGCCACATCCATGAGACCGGGCCTGTCATGGGTTGGTGCGGGTGCATGGTGATAGAACCGACAAAACGGCGAGCTTTCGGGCGCGAGGTCCGGTATATAAAAGATGCAGGGAACAGATCATCCTTCCAGTTTCTCTTTTGACTCCACGCCGATCAAGCTTCAGTTTCAAAAGGGAGCCACGGAGCCACCTCAGTGTCTGGAAACTCGCTTTATTGCAACTCACCTGCCTTTTCGGGAACAGAATGCCTTCCATGAACATGTTCACTAGCTTGCTAGCAACGGCTAGCCTGATGGCTTCAGGCGTGTATGCTGCCGAAGCCTCCGACATGGGTGCTGCGGCATTCCTGTGGCCACCCGACAGAGCCTGGGGAGCCACCTGGGACACCACAGCCCCCTGCGGTTCATCAGCAGGTGTTACGAACCGTACCGAATTTCCTCTCAGTAAGTAGTGTTCTGCCTTAGTATGCCTCCATTGCATATTGACTGACACCACACTTCTTCATCAGCAAACGGTGCCGTTTCTATAGTCCTTCAGGACGAATCATATTCTGTCAACCTTGCTATCTCCTTTGACAATGGTCAGTTTCCCGGGTTCGCATCATTTCAAAAATTATTAAGAGACAGTAGACCCCACCAAGAATGCCGACTTTACTACCGTTGTGGCTGGAAGCCGCTTTCCCGACGTCGAGCCCGGTCATGAATGTTATTCAGTGCCCAACCCACCGTCCAACATCACTTCCGGGTCCAACGCTACTCTTCAATTGAAATATATCTCCGACTTCGACAATGACGGTAATGAGACGTACTATGCCTGTGCCGATATCACCTACGTTCCGTATAGCTCATTCACTACCGACATCCCATGCTTCAATGTCTCGGAGGCAGACACGAGCAGCTCGTCTTCGTCGTCGTCCTCTTCGGCAACCACATCGACTAGCAGTTCCAGCAGCAGTAGCTCGGGAGGCTCGAATGGCCTTTCTGGAGGCGACATTGCAGGAATCGTGGTGGGAACAGTAGCTGGTGCTGCCCTGATAGGTGCAGCTGCATTCTTCCTGGGTCGGTACTGGCAGAAGAGGGTTCAACGCGAACATGAAGTCGCTATGAACATGATGAACCCGGTGCAGAAGACGTGGTCGGCTTCGACGGCGGGTCGCCAGCAGCAACAGCAGGCATAGGATGCCAGAAAGGCCATGATAAAATCAAAGGGACTGTGTACATAATGCGGATGACTCCTTCCTGGCTGGCCCTTGTCATAAGGAGCGGCTTGAGGGACTAAGGATTATCTCATCGATTATGAGAGACGATGAATGTTATTTTGTACAATTAATGTTGTATCTGGAGAGAATTTATTATCCACTGCATTAGCTTACAGCATCAGATAATGGGAGAGACGTAGTCTTCCTTTTAAGAAATCTGTTTTTAGCTGTAAATGCGGGTTAAGGGGGGTAAAATCTCGTCGGTAGTCACACCATGTCGCGGCAACACTTTTCTACCTTTGTTAGTTATGAGGTGTGGTACTGGCAACTGGGTTGTATGACATGAACATCCAAAGAAGGTCCAGATCTATCATTTAATTCAGCTAAGTTAGATTACTGAGTCAACTGGTAAACCTAGTTACGGCTGGTTTGATAGCTGCAGCATGATTTACATAACCAGTATAGGTAGACTCTCTTCGGTATCAAATTAGGCAAGTTATAATAACAAAATTGCATAAAGACTTCTTGGAACTCATTCCTATATAGCACCTGCAACAATGTAAAAGGAACTTATACGTGAAATGTCCAACCTGAATACTTCTAGAAGGTGTGGCAGGAAAGAGATGGTGGGTGCCAGCAGTGTGCAGCACATAGCCCTACCTACTACCAGTAGTATCCTTATTATTGCTTCAATATGTAGACAGCTTCTGACATGTTGGCTACCTCGCACCTAGCTTATCTGCGTCTTATATGCTCTTTGTTGGGAGCGGGATTCACTGGCCTGACATTGCGCCAGAGATGCTGGTAGCCGCCAAGAACCCAATAGGAAAACCAGTCAGTCTCATAAATTCAAGGCATCACCCTAGCCAGCTGAAAGGGAATAATGAAAGTTAGCGGAGGGGTAAAATAGCCAGCTGGTCAATTCAGGAAGCTTATCCCAATAGGGAAATTTTTGGGAATATGTCAGCACTAACCACTTCCTTTAGCTATCGCAAGGCTGAGCGACAAGCTTCTCGGATGATATTCACCAGCGATCCAGTTTTTGACAACTGTGCCATATATAAACAATTTAAAAGGGCCTGTCATTTTCACTTTGACAGCAACTCATCCCTCAAGCATTATTTTTCATTGAAACAACCTATCCTTTCCCAATGGCAACCCTTGTCTTCATCCCCGGGGCTTGGATCACCCGCGAGCTGTACCAGCCCTTCCTCGATGCCTGCTCTGTTGCTGGCTACCCCGTTCACTATGCAGATTATCCATCCATTGATCCGGCGGATCCTACTGTAGCCGACTGCAAGACCGATACGGACGTTATCAGGAAAACACTACACAGATTGGTCGAAGAGGAGGGCAAGGACATTTTCCTGATGATGCACTCATATGCCGGAATGCCTGGTGCAGCTGCCGCCCTCGGGTTGGCCAAGTCGCAGCGAACCCAGCAGGGCAAGCGTGGTGGCGTAATTGGGATGATCTTCATCGCAGCCTTCCTGGTACCAGAGGGTGTAAGCTGTGCAGGATTGCAAGGCGGGAATCTTCCTGCGTGGATTCTGCTGGATCAGGTGAGTTCTCCTAGAAATAAGCCTCTCGGGGAAGACACACGACTAACGTTCATACAGCCCACTGCCAACCTTAACGTTCCGGCTGACCCCGTCGCCAACTTTGCGGCAGATGTTGATCCGGCGCTGCTCAAGGACCTCAATGAAAATGTCAAGCCTCATGCGACGCTGGCGTTCACCTCTCCTCAGCCGGCTCCTGCATGGGCGGAGGAAGCCTTCCAAGGACGGTTGGCCTTTATTGTCACCACGGGCGATCCTGCGGTTCCAAAGGAGGCACAGTATGTCATGATGGCTGCGACTGAGCAGGAGTGGATTATCAAGGAGATTGATTCCAGTCACTGTGCTCCGTTCATTGATCGGATTAATGAGACGGTTCAATTGGTAGAGGAATGTGTGAAGGAGTTCCAGCTTTGAAATGCATGCCAGGATGTTATTCTGTCACTCTAGTAACTGTCTAGCGATGAATCGTGTAGAAGCATACGTATAATAGAAAAACATTTAAACAACCAGGAATAGAACCAACCAATACGCCAACTTACATTGCACCAGCTCTAGTGCCAATTTGAAATGTAATCGAATCTATGCCTTCAACAATACCCGTACAGTTTCCTCCACCTGCTGCAGCATCTGTGCCTTGTCCTGACCCGCGTTCACAATGATGACATCGCCCTCCGACAGCGTTGGCTCCTCCAAGATATCCAGCTGGGAATCCACCATCGTCGAGCGCATGTAGTGCTCCTCCTTCGCCAACCGTTGAACCATCCGCTTCTTCAATGTCTCCCGATCGGGGACAGACAAAAGCAGAAAGGTGACCGTGACAGGGAAATCCAGCAGCTGAGACAGCTGCCGCAATTCATCGCGGTATACAGTGCGCAGCGCGGAGCAGGTCACAGCAACAGCCGGTGCGGTGGTCTGCTGTAGTCGATCCATTACTGCCCCTCGGATATGCGCCAACCAGTCCCACCGGTCGCGATCCTCCAGCGGAATTCCCTTGGCCATTTTTGCCCGTGCAGCCGGCGAATGCAGGTTGTCGCCTTCGATTACTGGGATTTCGAAGCGCTGTGCCAGAGCCTGCGCAGCTGTGCTTTTGCCGCATCCGCATGGTCCAGTGAGGAAGATGACTTCGCGTGCTGGCGCTGAGGTGGTGGTTGCGCCCGTAGACGAAAACCAGCAGTGGGTGCGGAAGTGTTGGATGAACCGGCTGACCAACTCAGGGGTGAGTCCTCTAGCTTCACGTAGAGCAGGGGCCCCAGCTACGGCCTGCTTGGTGTCGTATAGGAGTACGCGACTAGGCCGATCATGGTCGTATTTGCTGGTGAAGAATTCGAGCAGCTTGATGGGCGGGTTGGCATCGGGATTCTGGTTAGACTCGCGCAACCGTTGCAGCCATTCACGCCGAGGGAGCTCCTCGAATTCTAATCCAGCTTGTCTGAGGAGAGGAAGCAGGTCTCTTGTCCAGTGGTTCAGCATCGGGTTGGTCAAATTGACCACTTCGCCTGCTCCGGAAGCCATGGTCAAGTCAATCACACTGGTCGCCACAACATCGACGGGCGTCCAGGAGAGAATATCATCGAGCTGCGGCAGCGCATGGATGGTTTCGGCCGTCTGGAACATCATAGGGATGGCCTCGGTGGCATTCCAGATTCCATGAACACTGTCGGCGATAATCTGACCCACGCGCAACACCCGAGCGGTCATTCTTGCATGATGAGCGGCGCGGTTCACAATGTGCTCTGTCACTAGCTTGGACTGCGCATATCCCATGCCCTGGGCGCAGGCCAGACTGTCTGGCAGCGCTTCCGGCACCCAATTGCCTGGCGTCCGGGCGACGGTGCTTACCGACGAGCAGAAGGCAAACCGTGCTGGTTGGGGTCCATGAACATCCAAGCAGAGGTCGAGAAGATGCCGGGTGCCCGCGATGCAGCTGGACTCGAAGCTTTCCAGCGCCCAGTTGAAGTTGACGGACCAAGCGCAATGCATCACCGCCGTCACAGACTGCACCAGTTTGTTATATAGGCTTTCCTCGAGGCCCAGTCGATCCGGATTGGCAAGATCAGCTGGCAAAGCAACAACCTTGCGCTCAGTAGCTGGTGACAGAACAGACGACAGGCCACGCGCGCGCAGTGACTGCCGAACACGACGGAAGGCTGCTTCGCGGGACTCCGCACGAACCAGGCAGTAGATGGTCTTGACATGATCCATGTGAGCTAACTTGGCAACAATATGGGCCCCTAGCGAGCCGGTAGCACCTGTCACAACAATATGTTCACCGGTTTCATCGCGAGGCACTGCAGTATGAGGCTTGAAATGGTTGCCGTACTTTTCAATCAGATCCGCCATCCGCTCTTCGACCGGTCGCTGCTCTTTAGGGGCTTGTCCTAGTCGCAGGCGGGTCAACTCGTCCGCCATGGCCTGCACCGAAGGATACTCGAAAACGAAGTTCTGGGAAAGCCTGTGGCCTCCGATGTCGAGAGTCCGGAGAAGTGCCGTACGCAATCGAATCGACTGAAGACTATCCACGCCCAGACTGAAGATGTCGGTCGTCGCACCCAAGGTAGAGGGATCAATACCGGGAGCGACCTCCAGTAGCTGCTCACGGAGGAATGCTTCCAACTCGGCCCCCTCCAGTACCTGGTCACCACTCGCATCCTCGGCCTCGTAGATCTGGTCAATTTGGTCCTGATAATCGCGATAAAAGGCGGCACGAATGACCGTGCCTTTGTCCGTCTTCCGATAGGGCGCATCTGCGGGCAGAACATGGATCATATCCCGGGAGATATAGGCATAAGCCGGCAATTCCGCATTGCAGCGCTCGATGGCCGGGAAGACCGCCTCAATTAGCTGGTCATCTGTCTGGCACCGGCTACTGGTTGCTGGGATGAGGAACAATCCGAGACGAGGCTTGTTGGCCCCAAAGGCAATCGCTTCGGCAACGTTGGGATCATTACGTGCCACGCCCTCGATAATGAGTGGATTTGCCTTCTCGCCGTTCTCCAGAACCAGGGTATCATCCAAGCGGGCGTAGTAGCGCCACGCGTTGGGCTTAGTCGGGTGCTTCTCGAAGAGATCCTTAGTTGCATATGAGTTGTCGGGCCGGTTGCTGGCGACCTTAGAGGGCCAGCCTTCCAAGACGCACAGCTCGTAAATCCCCGACATCTGTTCCTCCCAGCGCAAGTATGGCAACAGGGTTGGACCCGGGCGAACATAGTCCCAGTCCAGATCATCCCGCTCGCGGAAGGAAGTCATCAGTTGACCGGTCTCAGTGGTCCCGTAGTGGGAGACCAGACGCACTCCGTTCTGTACCAATTTATCTCCAATGGGTTTCGGGCAGGACGAGCCTCCAAACATGACCAGCTCCAGACGGGCCATCATGTGCAGGCCCTCGTCGGATTCGGACAACAACTTCAGGGCATATGGGACTGCATACAGGATCTCAATTTCTTGGTGGTCCTTGAGAGTTGCCAGTAGATGCGGGGCTGTCAGAGGCAGATTCGCATTGTAAAGGTAGATCAACTTCTGTGAGTGCATGGCTCGGAAGAGAGAGCTGATGCCGTGTGCGTGAAATAACGGTAGGGTGATGAACCCCCGGAGTCCGAAGTTGTTGGCATAGTTCTTCAAGGCTCCGGCGTGCGTCTGATAGATGGGTTTCGGATGGCCGGTGGAGCCGCTTGAGTGGATAATCCAGCAGATGTGCTTTGCCTCTACGCTGCCTTCCAACTGGGTTGGCGGCAAGGAGAGGGTGTCTGCGCCGGGGAAATCGTAGTTCTCACTCGTCAATACCGGCTGCTGTACAATGGCTGTCCGTGAAGCCACTCTCTCCCCTACCGCCTGGAAGCTGGGATATGTGATGAGAAAGGCAGCCTTGGTGTTTTCGATCAGGCTGACATAGGCATCTTCGGCGATGCGCGTCGATAGCAGAAGAACGGTGTGACCGAGACGGGAAATGGCCAGCAAGGTGATCATGTACTCAAAATCGGAGGGACCTAGCAATCCCACAACCTGTACGGGATCGTCTGAAGACTGTCGCTGTGGGATGACCTTTGAATAGTGGACCGACGCGGCTTCCACCAGGGTGTCCAACTGTTGGCAGGATTAGCTAGTATTTCCCCAGCCTTCGAGCATTGATACGGAGGTATTCTCACCTGTTTGGGGGTGTAGTATGTGTACTCAGTACCCGACGATGGGTAAGCGACAATAGGCTCGTTGCCATGACGTCCCTTGGCTCGAGCCTGTATAAGGTGGTTGATCGTGTGAATGGTTTCCTCTGCAGGTTCCGAATCAAGCTTGTCTACGGATGTTGCGGGCGACGATGCGCTCAGTCGATTAGGGGAAGAGAGCGACGAAGGAATGGGAGAAACTGCCACGGATGCCATCTTGCAATGCACAATGGCGTACGGGAGGAAGGAAAAGTGAGAGGATCGCTACTGAGGAGAAACCCATAGGGGGGTTACCTTGAAGTTTATGAGATGCCGGCCACAGGGAAGACTTACCCCAGCATGCTCGTGTGTCGGACTCCGCATCCTTCGGATTACTCTACGGGCATTGACCAGAATGCCGATTGGAAGATGTATTGGACATGATGCAGATATGCCCTCCATGCCGCAATTCCGCCAACATTTCCGACATTTCCGCCACGTCTTTTCTCCATCGGCGGAAAAGTCTCGTGCGGGGAAGGGAAGAACTAGAGGCGCCAGAAGCCATTCTCTTCATGGCATTTGTGCTATTTATGCGCTTTCTCTATTGATCATCTGAACCATCGGATTATATCTGGCGGAAATACCCCTCTGCTTGTCACGGGTGGACAATTACATCACCGGCTGTGACTCGAGCCGTCTCTGCTCTGTAGGACCTACGCCAGGGTAGCTTGGCTAGGGAGGAACATTCAAAGCAGCAATAGACCGAATGATATCTTATAAAATCCAATTCTAATTACTGCCGGTAAAAGTCGACGATTCTAGCTCGGGATCATAATGTACAAACGAAACCAGCCGCGACAACACCGCAAACTCCAGCTTCAACTTGACGGTATAGAAGAAGGTCTTCAACGAGGTCTGCAAGATAAACAAGTCCAAATATTCCAAGGTTAACAGCGAAATATCCATCAAGATAATCGCTGTGTTGATAGCCAGTAGCTGCTCCATGATATTTGTCCTCCGCTTGCTCCGGTGTGGGTAGAGATAGAGCAGCCGAAACGTCTGCACGATGAAGATCGTCGAAATGATCACCTCCTGCACGAAGAAGCCCGTGAGCTGAACCTTGGCCCAAATGTTATAGACATATGCGAATCGAACCCCGCCGTAGACGGCACCATAAGACAAGACGATCTGCGGAATCTGCAGGATGATGGCGTCGAAGATGATCATGTAGAGGACGAAGCGGAGAATAGTTCGATTCGACAAGATGAGATGAAGTCGCGAATATAGTACGACAGACTGTCCGGTGACCATGACAGCCCAGCCAAATGTTGAGAGCGTCACTGGAATCCATAGCGGCGCCAGCTGGAAGTACTTCAACAGCAGTCCAATGGCTTGCGGGATGATGCCAAGCCCGGTCGAAACGAGTAGACTCCAGAAGTACAGTCCCCCATAGACGTGAAATGTGAGAAAGACGAGGATAATGAGTTCGATTGAGCTGTACAACGCACAGGCTAACAAGCTAGCTAGCACCGCCTGGACAGCCAGGCTGTTGCCTGTATAGCCCCCGGCGATGCCCTCAACGGGGGCCGAGTAATTGGCCATCTTCCCTGGGGAGCAACACCGTCATCCAGGCACATTCTAAGAAGCGACTCCCCCCTGAGATATATGCCATGTGCTGATCGACATAGGAACGAAGTCGGGGGGGATGAAGATGTTCCGGCACTCGGATCCGTTCACCTCGCCTGACACATGTTCCATGGTTCGTTCTACGTTGAACCCCGGATCATCCGCCTGAGCGACCAACCAGCCTCATGCACCGCGCGACTGAAAGCTGGGGTTGGAACCGTTAGCCAGTCATTTTAGATGGGCGTGCTAAAGCCTACCACTGCCAGGGATCTGGCCGGCTGTTTAAGGTGCTGACGCGTGGGTGGCCGGCTAGTTTCATCGGGTTACGCAAACTTATCAAAAAACACTGAATTCTATTTCTAAAAGTACGTTGCGATCGGCTATACAGTAAACTTAACCTTGTTACTGGGGCCTGCAGCCAGTGCAATCTGGCGCACCGCCTCCTCACCGACTTCCTCAAAGATGTCATAGCCCCAATGCCCCGGGAAGTTGAAGCGTTTGTGGCGTTCCAGCGAGTTCAACTGCGCGAAAGCCCCCTCTGGCAATGCCCGGACTCGCAAATTAGCTGCAATTCGAGCGGGAGTAACACTCTTGGATAGCACGACAGTGCCACGCTGCACCCCCCAGCTGGCCAACAGTGGTCCGGGGTCCAAGCTTAGCTCGCCCGCCACGCGGTGCACGAGTGGATCGTCGACGGTGCGCGGCTCGCCAGTCTGGTTATTGCCGAGCGGGGAGTAGGCCTCGATGAGAATGCCTTTGCTCTGGCAGAATTGCAGCAGGTCCGGCTGTTGCAGGTAAGGATGGGCTTCAATTTGGTTGACGGCGGGCACAACGGAAACTTGGCCGAGCAGCTCTTCCAACCGGCGAATGTTGAAGTTGGACACGCCAATGGCGCGTACCTTGCCGGTTGCTAGCAATTTCTCCATGGCGCGGTAGGTGGTGATGTAGTCGATGTTGGCCAAGTCGAACACTCCTTCGTCGTCGAGGGGAAACCATTTATCGCCACCCTTAAAGGCGCTGTACAAGGGGTCAATGCTTAGTCTCCACTAGACGATCCCGGATGATGAGTAGACAATCACTTACCAGGGCCAGTGCATGAGATAGAGATCCAGGTAGGCGACGCCCAGATCTTGCAGGGTCTTGTCGAGGGCTGGCTCCACGTCCTCCGGGGCGTGCTTGGTGTTCCACAGCTTGCCAGTGATGAAGATCTCTTCGCGAGGCACCCCGGACTTGCGAATACCATTGCCGACTTCGGTCTCATTGCGGTAGATGGCAGCGCAATCAATGTGGCGGTAACCCTCCTTGAGGGCCACTTCGACGGCGTTATCTACCTCAAGGGGCTTGGCTTGCCAGGTGCCGAATCCCACGGCAGGGATTTTGGCCCCGGTGTTGAGGGTGAAGTGCGATGGTAAAGACATGATAGACGACAATATTTTCTATATTTTTAAGCAAGAGGAAGATAGCAGATGGGTCTGATGGTGGTGATGATTGATATAGTCAGAGCAGCACAACAAGTGGGTCGGATATCCGACAGACCAGCGGCGGATAAAGGAAGAACTTTCGGAGATGATTGCTGGATCCCTCAGATGCATGCAATTCATTCATTCAATTTCATGATCCCCTCACTATTCCTTCTACCCCGCCAAACACCCCCGAGTCTCATCGCTGCAACGCAATGCCGTTCCACAACAAGCCCGCCTTCGATGACCTGCCCCTCGATAAGACGGGTCCACCCGGTAATGCATGGGGATTATTTGGGCCCAACGACCAGTGTGGCATGTTGAATCTCCTCACCGCCGATCGAACCTGTGCCGCCGCGAGCGAAATCCGCGATGGGGTTCGCATCTCCACCGACTGGCCGTTGGATCGCATTTCCACGCCCGCCTTCAATCGGATCCCGTTCACCCAGACCATCTCCAACATCGCCCCCACCTCTGTCAACGATGACATCCTGCACTTCAACACCCAGGCCAGCTCGCAGTGGGACGGGTTGCGGCATTTTGGCTACCAGAAACAGCGACTGTATTTCAACGGCCGTACCCTCGACGACATTCTGACCACCAAAGTCAATGGGATTCACGGTGCGTATTTCCTTCCGGAAATCATGATCCCGGATGGGTTTGTTCTGACGGTTCGTGCAGCATGGGTGGAAACCGGTGGCATCATCGGGCGGGGAGTCCTGTTAGATTATGTCGCTTGGGCGGAGGCCAACCATGTCCCTGTGAAGCCTTTCACGACCCAGTCAATCACAGTCGCTGTTCTTGAGGAAGTCGCCCAGGCCCAGGGTACGGATTTGAGGCCTGGTGATATCCTGTTCATCCGAGCAGGCTGGGGACGGGGATATGCAGAACTATCTCAAGACGAAATCTCTACGCTGGCCGAGATCCCCACACCTCCAGCTATCGGGCTCGAGTCCTCGGAGGCCACCCTCCGGTGGCTCTGGGATAAGGAGTTTGCCGCTGTCGCTAGTGACACCCCGAGTCTCGAGGCCTGGCCGTGCCAGGACTCCAAGTACTGGCTTCATGAGTGGCTGCTGGCCGGCTGGGGGCTTCCGATCGGGGAGATGTTCGATTTGGAGCTGTTGAGTGTTGAGTGTCGCAAGAGGCAGCGCTGGTCATTCTTCTTCACCAGCGTTCCATTAAAGGTGCGTTATACTGCCGATTGTGATCTGTTTATCCGTAATCATTAACATCCTGCTCTCCAACTAGGTCCCCGGAGGAGTGGCTAGCCCGCCAAATGGAGTTGCCATCTTGTAGCGCTGAACATTAACCATATGACCAGCTGGTCTGGCCAAAACACTGCAAACCTAGACTACCCACCATCCTGATTTGCATGCTGGAATCTCGACGATATCATGCAGGCCGGGGCAATGGGAGTTTGATGAACATGAAGAACACCGTGGGAGAAGGCGACTCTAGAAGAACACGAGCCGAGGAAGTGTAATATAGAAAGCCTCCAGTAGAAATAAAATCTGACTAGGGATTCAACTCTGAACCTATAGCGATGGTGGTACCTGCATGGTACCTCCGATTAGTATCTGCAATATCCTAGCCGCAACTAACGGCCACAATACGGCTCCAGCCAAGTCAGGTCAGCCCAAGCCCTATTACGGAATGAGCTATTCGAGTCACGGTGTTGAATCTTAGCTTTGTCCTCACATGACGTAAAGAGGGGATATGGGACAGGCTACTGACATAAAATCGTGCCATTCATCTGACCCTGTCGGGAAAAGAGTTACATACCTCGAGCTGGTGTTACAGCAGCAGGAAGCGGATATACAACGGAAATGTCGGATAGCTTTGGAAGCTTGAGCGATAATAATGCCAGGTAAACTTTCAAATACCATGTCGCCGTCCCAGTCGGGTGGCAAGCGAGTTAAGCTGCCGACCGCTAGGGTAGAAACGGAAGCACGAAATGCAACCATTAGGGTATACAACGATAGAACGGTTAAATGCCCAACAACTGACTTATAGATTAGGATCATCTTGAACTTGCATACGCGACACTGTTGATGAAAGGGGTAGAGATGTGAAGACTGATGCATTCCGGGCACTCAATGGCCTAAGCATTGGACGCACTATCTAAGCATAGTCGAAGCATTCGGACCCCATCTGGGGAAGCTGACAAGTCAACCACACGAGCCTCGGGTGGATTCAACACTGGCCTGATGCTGATCTGTCGATACGAGGACCCCGGAACAAGTCCGGTTTAGTCAGTGTCAGTCGCCAACCCCAGACAGGAGGAATATCCGCTCCTTTCCCGCTCGTGGGGACCCCGCACCAACGATGGGAGATAGTGTCATGGCATCTGGGGTACAGCAGCCCGACTGCAGCTGCTAGCAATATAAAAGACATTATGCTATGAAATATGAAGGAGGTCGAGTCCTTCTTCCTCCTCATCTTCTTCATTTCGTATAAATCTGCCCATTCACAGGCCTAATTCAATATCCGTCCTTCGCAACCCCTTGTGGCCTTAGCCCTTGATACTGTTCCGATATCGGCTGTTGTAGCCCCGGCAGTACATACCCACATAGTCCGGCAGCATGGCAGAGGTTGATACTAAAGCATCATCTCGTCATGTCGAGTCCACTGGGAAGCCATTGGACGTGGTGGATGAATCGTTCGAGGGCTTGACCCCGGAGGAAGAACGGGCCCTGGAGAAGCGCCGTAAGACTATACGCTGGTTCCATACTACTGGGGTGACCGTATGGTGCTGACCGCAGACAGTGGTGCGCAAGATCGATTTGCACCTGATTTCTTCGTTGTTCCTATTATTCATTTTCAACATTCTGGACCGTTCCAACATCGCCAATGCGCGTCTGGGTGGGCTACAGGAAGACCTAGGCCTGTCGGACACGCAGTATCAAACTGCGGTAGCCATTATGGTATGTCAAAAGACAAATCTTCAGATGTGAAACAATGCTGATCTTTATCGATGCAAAGTTTGTCGGCTACCTGCTAGGGCAGGTGCCAAGTAACATTCTGTTGACACGACTGAAACCCTCCCGCTATATCCCAGCAGCCATCTTTATCTGGGGAGGGATTTCAATCTGCATGGCTGCAGCACATAATTTCGCTGGCATTATGTGCGTGCGTGTATTCCTCGGGTTCGCCGAGTCACCATTTTTCCCGGGGGCTTTGTAAGTACAGTTTACGAAAAGCAAATGACTTTATCTCTGAACATACTCTGACGAGGGGTACTACCAGGTTACTGATAAGCTCATGGTACAAGCCGTCCGAAATTGCGGTGCGAGTAGCCGTCGTGTACTGTGGAAACACCATCGCCAACGGGTTTGGCAGCATGTTTGCCGCAGGCGTTATGAGTGGATTGAACGGCAAGGGCGGGTTGGAAGGCTGGAGGTTTGTGATTTTCCGGCATAGCGTGACCGCGTATAGCTAAACGTTGCGCGAACAGATGGCTATTTATCATTGAAGGGGCTGGCACAATGGTGGCCGGCCTGCTCGCCGTCGCGCTTCTCCCCGACTTTCCTCGCTCCGGGCAGCGGAAGTGGCTATCGGAACAGGAGCAGCGCTTTGCCGAATGGCGTCTCGCCCGCGCTGCAAATGATGAGGTCGATGAGAATGGATCCATTCGTGAGGGCTTGCGCGATGCCTTCCTAGATCCCAAGGCATGGATGTTGATCCTGATCCAAGTCTGCCAGCTCACCTCTCAAAGCTGGACCTATTTTTTCCCTGTGAGCATCAAACAACATGTTTGTCACTATCCTCGTTCTAATACTAATGTGTCATTAGACCATTGTCAAAACATTGGGATTCAGCAACATCATCACACTGTTGATCACGGCCCCAGTCTACGTCTTCGGCTTCATCACCGCTCTAGGCAATTCCTTCATTGCGAATCGAACGAGCCAGCGCGCAGTTCTTATCGCATGGCCCCTAATTGTGGACATCGTCGGGAACGTCATGGTTATCTCGTCGCGAGCCACTGCAGTCAGGTACATCGGAATGTTCTTGATGTGCGCTGGCTCATATTCTGCGTTCAACGTCGTTCAAGCCTGGATCGCCAGTACGATACCCCGAACGCGCACCAAGCGGGCCATTGTGTACGCATTGGTTAACCTGTTCGGTAACTCCTCTAATATATACGGCTCGTATTTCTTTCCCACATCCGACTCGCCGCAGTACCGGCCCGGTGGAATCACCCTTTCGGCATTTGCTGCAGCCGGTATTGTCTTGACGGGGCTGTTGGCATTATATCTCCATACGCTCAACGTGAAGGCACAAAGAGCGGAGGACGGGGACGGTCAAATCCGTTACAAATATCTCTGGTAACCGGCTGTTGAGAAAGTGACAATTGTCAGGGTGTAATCAAATGGCAACATACCAACTTTCACGATGCAACATTTTCACTGTGTAAAGCGGTCCTCTTGTAGCTCTTGCATAGATATGCTGTCCGGCTTCCTTGTACAACGATCCAACCGGACATTCTTATAATAGGTGTATACAAGTCCCGTAGTTGACGGTGTCGGGCCCCAGTCGCACTTCGGCTCCCGTATCACATCCAATATCAACCGGGATATGCTGGATCAATTAGCACTTATTGATGGCCTTCATCGACCGCCGGCATGATAAGACTTACTGATAGGTAGACTTTCCAATTGTGGCCAGAAATCAAGCACCACGTTTTCGCCCATGACGAAGGTGTCCAAGAGGGACTGGGTCCTCGGATCGAGCAACCCTGGGTCAACAGCGGGGTCCAGCCCAGCGAATATGGGCGGCAGCCCGTTCGGATCAAGGTTATAATCTCCGACAGGGGCGGGCCCTGCCTGCTGTTCATGGCGACCCGTCTCACCTCCGTGTTCGGTTGGACGAGGGATCGATTCGGGAACTGGACGGGATAACGCAATCGGTTCTGTAGCTTGAGCGTCGTCATTTTCCAATATTGGGGGGCCAAGGCGGGCCAGCTCGTGTCGCAGACCCTGCAAAATGACACTGTATTTCCAAGAAGGAGCGTTGCGAGCTGTTGCGTCGGCAAGGTGTGTCACTGCCGTCTCAGACAGTCTATACAACATGGTTTCGTCCAGATCCGTGTGTAGGGTGTTTTCCGGGCTCGCGACGAAGTCGAGACTCGCAGATGGCAGACGGTTGCGTCTGACCTGAATCAGATATAGATATATGATAGACAAAGCATTGAATGCGATGTACTGTGAGTACCAAAATGCTGGAAACAATTCATCCTCACGCACGAATCCAAGGATCGATTCGATTGCTTCTCGCGCTGCGGTGAGACACAGATGCAGGTGGTATCGGTAACTGCTTCGGTGCTCAGGCCACATTTGCCCGTAATCCCGCAATAAGAGAGGTCGCGTGATGAACATCAAGGCATGGTAACGAGCCAGCTGCAAAACAGTCAGCTGGCGCCGAAACACCGGAACCAAACTACTGGGCTGGATGACCCCGGAAAGAAAAGGAGGCAGTTCCGCTTGCCATTTCGCGACCTCACCACACAGGCCTCGGATGGTCTCGATCTCCATCTGATCGGAGAGGCCCGCGAGGACGTAAGGTTTTTTAGCTGCCTGGGTGAGAATCTGTGCCAATACCGCATGAAAGACCGGCGCGTCCATCACACAATCACGTCTCGTCAAACGCCTTTCCCGCATCGTCAGGTCCTCGTCATTGACGCGTGTGGGAAGATCTTCATCCAAGTCTTCGTCATGCCACAGTCGTGGTCGACCAAGGATCACGCTGAGATACTTGTCCAGGGTGTAAGAGCACCAGACAAGGCGCCGTTGACACTCCTGCTGCACTAGATCCTCTTCTTCATCATGGTGCCTCCTCGCCCGTCGATTGTGCAACCCAAGGGCCATCATCAGCTGGACTGTTGTGCCAAACACGAACCACGCCTTCTGGGCTCGAGAGGAACTCAGCAGATACAGCACCATCAAAAAACGAGCTTGCGCCGATGCCAGAGTAGGGGCACCCGTCTCGAGCGACAGCAGATGCTCCGCTTGTGCGTAGTAAAGCTCGCTCTTGCGCCAGCCATCCTCGTCGGCGTCTCTCATGCGCCCGTCTTCGTCGACTCGGAACATGGCTGCAGTACTCAGAAGCAAGAGCACGACGGCCTGGGATGCTACATCGAGCTGGCTACCGCTCCGATGGCCCTCCGAACCCTCCTGGTACAGGCGTTGTACCAAGGCATGAATCGTAGGCTGATGGAGCACGCGGTAGGTCGGTGCTGCAAACTCGAAATATCGGCGGATCAGACTTTTGGCCTTGGCCTGGTCTGGCCAGACAAAATCTGATAGCCGAACCTCCGGGACCACACGATCACCGTGGGAAAAGATGGAGACCGCTGCTGAGGCATCGGGCTCTGGTGCAGGAGCAATAGGTTTGGAGGGAGTGGCATGCAAGTCCTCCACAACCCTGCCCAGAAATGAATGTGCTGAGCTTGGACCCCAGTACTGGCCGGTCCCGTCTACTGAGCCTCGTCGAACAGATGCATCGACAATAGCAGACTCGGGGAGTATGCCTGGCCCCGATGCCGGGCTGATCTGCAGGCCTGGACGTACATACTCGATTGCTGAACGAAGTACAGGGGGCGACTGCAGTGGCTGGATCACATCTGGGGCCGGATCTGGACTGCTACATGACCTGTCGGGCTCCCGCAGTGGACGATGGTTCTTGGGACGCGATGTTGAGGGAGGAGGGCTGAGCGCCACACCTCGATTGTAGGCGGAGTCGTAGGTGCATGCCAAGTGACGGCGGGAGCAGGGACCACAGGGGATATTGCCCGTACAAGCCTTCTTTTTGGCCTTGCAAGCATCGCAGGCGCGGGTCACCTTTCGGATCTTTCGTGCGCGCATGGCGGGGGAGGAGGCTTCCTCGCTGGCCGTCATTTTCCGCTTGCTGTTGCGAAGTTCCGCACGCAGCTTAACAGGCGGATGTAAGTAGAGAGTCGCCCCGAAACCCGCGCATTTGCCCTTTCAGTCGGATAGTCGGTTGCTACAGCTCGTCTGCTTGCTCGTAGGATCCCATAGGTAGACTGACTGACTGAGAGGAAATCCGGTCTCAGAACAAATCCGCCGCTTGTTTTCTTTATCCGCCGCCATTTTCCGCCCTCGGCGCCCTCAGCTGACTCGGTGCTGACTCATCCCAAGCAATGCAAGCCGAACGGTGTGTAGGAATAGCTATCGTTTTGGATTCTGCGAAGTAGGATTTCAACCAATGGTTGGAAGCACTTATTGGAAGCAGTGCTACTAGCAGTGAGCAGTTGGTGAGGCTCTGGCCGGAGTAATAGGAAGATGAAACAAGTAGTAGCATCATATTGACATTGGTACTTACTGCTACTTAGTAGGTGTAATCGAAGTTGATTATATATTTCTCAAGGTAGTCAAGTAAGACATCGAACTTAAGTCCGAGACTATTATTGTAGTACTAAGCATTTTCGTTCTAGATCACTTCAAATAATCAACCGCCATACCAGAGGGTTATTGGCATTGCAATCCAACGTCCTTAGAACAGTAATGAAGGTTGTCAATTGTTGCAAAGCACAGCACTACAATAAAGTAAGACGACTATGGTAAAGGGAAAGAGAAATTGCCGACCGGGAGAGCCGTGGGTCCCGTGCTGAGCTGAGTGCCTGAGGCTTGAAGTCTCCACTGCTCTCCACGTCGTCCTCAGCACCTTGAGAGAGCAACACCCAACACAACAATATTCACAGCATCACTCACCATCACCACCACCTCTCCTTAACTGCTGCAGCCTTTCCTATTGGACTCTCTTAAAATTCCCCACGATTCCCTATATTGCATGTATCGCCTACAGCGAACAGCTATGGGTCCCAAGGCCCATCTGCTCGACGACCGGTCAACAGCTCGGCCTCCCCACCCTCCCGCACCAGAAAGATGTCCTCGTGCCGCACTCCGAATCGATCCACCAGATACACCCCAGGTTCCGAGGTGAACGTCATCCCGGCTTGGAGGAGAGTCGCATGGTTGCCCTGGTTCAAATAGGGGCTTTCGTGGGCTACGTCGAAACATCAGCATCAGTCCGACCCCGCAGACGACAAGCCTCCTTAAGGCCCACACACAGACCGTCGCAACTCACCTTTGATTCCAATTCCGTGGCCAACACGATGAGTGAAGGCTTCCCCATACCCGCCGTCCGTGATCACCTTCCGAGCAGCGATGTCGACGCTGGCAGCACTGGCATTCACCTGGAACTGCCCTATGGATCGGGTTTGAGCTTCAAAGACAATGTCCCACACCTACAGAAGTCAATAAAACCACCTCTCTTACGCATGTGAGGAATGACGTATACCTCCAACTTCTCTCGCAAACGTGCGGGGGCGGGCATATCCGGTGTCGATGGCTCAAGGAACGGTGGGAAGAATGTTCGACAGATATCCGACGAGTACCCAAAGAGATGGGCGCTGGCATCGGTCAGCAGCAACAACGGCGAGACGGGAAGCGCTTCTGCGTATGAAGCTCACCCTACATCAATCAGAACAAAGGTCTCCGGCTCGAGAACCTTCGAGCCATTGGTACCTCCATGTGGGTTGGCGGCATTTTCGTCTACCTCCACGGTCAACCTCGCACCTTTGCAGCGGTCGGACACATACCAAACAAGACAATATCAAAAAATGGCTCCAACCCAGCCGAGCGAAGGGTATTGTCCAGGGCACTTGCGATCTCACTCTCAGTTAGACCGGGGTACAAGCCTATTGAGTGTCAGCCCGTCCACAGTGCGACCAAGTCGGGGATCACGAACATTTCCGCATCTGCCGCACGGCTTCCACAGTTCCCGTGTTCACAGCGCGGAGAATTCCCACTTCGGTGTCGGATTTGATCTGCCGGACTCGCTCCACTTCTCCCATCAGCCCGACGATTTCGAACCCGGAGTGACCAAGGCCCCGTTGGATAAAGTCCCTCATTTCCTCGTCCACCATGAGTCGAGGTGCTCGATCCAGAGCCGAGAAGATGACGGAATTTTTGAGCGTGTCGTATGGGTTCCAGTGTTCCTCCCAAGGAATGATCTCGATCGGTTCAAGAAAAGGCATGTTCAGCAGTCGGGCTCGCTCCGCCTCGAAGGATGGGGCTAGGAAGGTCGTCTTTGCGGTAACATGACCCGACGAGTGACGATAAGGCTGCACCACCATAAGAAAGGGGCGTTCCTCCGGCTGAGAGGAGTCAGTACACATATGGCATTCTGGGGAGAAAGAGCGCTGACCTCCCACACCTCCCATTCCGGCTGGCTCACGTTGGCAAAGTATTTAAACGTATACCCCGGCTCCACGACAAAGGCGTCCGCCCCATCGGCGACCAGAGCCCTCGCGAGACGGTTGCGGCGCTCATTGAACTCCTCAACTGCGATGGGCGTAGCAGTATCCAGAAAATAGTATCCTGTCTGTCGGAGATTCTCAATTGAACATCTCTCGAAGGATTCATATGGCGAGACGGATAAGGGTTGCTTAATGGAGGTAAAGGGCGATAGCCTCTGCCCTGGAGTCAGATCCCAGCCGTCGATCCTGATGGCGAAGCATACTTACCGGGAAGAGCGTGTAAATGGTAAGCAATAGTAGACCAGCGCCGGTGATGAAGCGCAGAACAGTCTTTCGGTGTTGATGCGGTGGCTGACGGAGTAGCGGTAATTTCTCCGCCAGCGGGAGAGACTCAGTCTGTTTGTCCAGCATGATGCCGCGGAGACCGAAAGAAAGCACAAGTAGTTGTGAGAGTTCCAAACAATGGATTTATCGCCGTGCTTCTGCAGGAGTTCGGAGGAGATCCGAGCGCCTGCAGGTCCTGAAAAGAGGGGAAGATGCGCTGAAGGATGCCAGCTAGAGATTCCCCGCCCGGCTGGATTCCCCTTGATTGGAGTCACTGGCCATCCCCTTCGCGACGTGCAGCTTATCGGCGAATGTCGCGGTTGGTCCGCCATTCAGGCCGGGGAGGGGACAGGCCGTGCTTCATTGGCCTTATCAGATATGTTGGCGCAGTCGCTTGCGGGAGAAGAGAGGCTCGGATCGGCCGACAGACGGGACAGATAGGCAAGGCCCAGCAGAGATAAATACGTACAACTCGTCATGGCGGGGTCCAGTAGGGTTTAGATAACTGTTAGGTTATTGAGGAAGACGCAAGGCTGACCGCTGAGATGGATCGCAAAAAGGATCAAGACTCGGTACAGACGACGGAAGCAGCTCAGTCTGCCAAACAGACACAGGTGCAAATATCATCAGATGCCGCCGAAGATGTGGCCCCAGATCAAAGCCGTCGAAAGACTTCCAAACTTTCGGTCTTGCTGATGATTGTGTTTTCCGGACTGGCCATTGGCTCCGACGGTTTTAACGCATCCATCATCGGCAACCTCGAATTAATCATGGAAGTCATCTACCCAAAGGCTCTCACCACGGCTGTCGCATCTCGTCTGTCCAATGCCTTCATGGTAGGTATGATCATTGGCATGTTGTCCTTTGGATACTTGTCCGATAGGTTGGGCCGTAAGACCGGCGCAGTCTTGACCACCGTTATCCTAGTTCTAGGGATCGCTTTGAGCGCTGGTGCGAGCGGAACGAATCGGGATGGGATGTTTTGGATGCTGATCATCGCAAGAGGAATCGCTGGCGTGGGTGCGGGTGGGTGAGTTCGCTAATCATCATCTCAAGCAATCAGGGATCTGTTACTCACTCGTTCCCCAGGGAGTATCCGGTCGCCGGGGCTGGAGCTGCAGAAGCCACCGACGAGGATCTGGCCGTCCGAAACAAACGCGGGTTTATATTTGCCATGATCGCCGACCTGTCGGCCTCGCTTGGGTTCGCCTTTGGTGCTTTGGTCCCTCTGCTGCTGCTGTTGTGCTTTCACCAACAGGTCCATTATTATGAAGCCGTCTGGCGGATTTCCCTCGCGCTGGGGGTGATTCCTCCGCTCTCAATCTTCTGGTTCCGTTATCGAATGGCAGTCAGCTCGGCCTATCGCAAGAGTGCGATGCAGAAGCAAGCAGTGCCCTACTGGTTGGCACTCAAGCGATATTGGCGTCCGTTGCTGGGCACTTGCGGATCCTGGTTCATGTGAGCGATTCAGTATATGCTATTGCTTGTTGTGGCTCTAATATCAGTGCTAGTTATAACTACATTTCGTACCCCTTTGGCCTGTTTTCATCTACGATTGTCGGTCGTGTGAACCCGACCTCCTCTCTGGCGCTGACAATGGCCTGGGGCACTCTTATCAACTGTTTCTACATTCCCGGGGCATTCATCGGGGGCTTCCTGTCCGATCGGATTGGGCGGCGGCGGACCATGGCACTCGGGTACTTTCTCCAGGCGGCCCTGGGCTTTATCCTGGGTGGCGCGCTGGGACCCATTGAGAAGTCGCTGCCGCTCTTCATTGTGCTCTATGGCATCTTCCTCACCTTGGGAGAGGTGGGTCCCGGATCGACGATTGTTGTGACAGCCAGTGAAAGTTTTCCGACCGCGATTCGCGGGCACGCCGTGGGATTTGCAGCGGCGTGGAGCAAGGCGGGGGCGGCCATTGGCACGGCGGTCTTCAAGCCCATCCTCGCCAGCTGGGGAGACGATGAATTTCGCGGTACGCAGGCCGTGTTTCTCATTGGCTCCGGGTTCGCCGTCTTAGGGGGGCTACTGGCCTGGTTTGTGTTCCAGGATGTGGATCACGCGCTGGACAACGAGGATCAGGCTTGGAAGGACTATCTGGCTGTTAATGGCCATGGGGATGTGCAGTGGGGCATTGCAAGCAACTCAACCCATGAACTGGAATCGAAGGCAGTGCAGATGTGGTAGTCTCAGAAGATGGCCCAAGGGGCCCTTTATAGTGTTGCTCTTCTGCGAATCTGCTCTGTAGGACCTAAAAATCATCCACCGTAACTATGCATCTTCTAGCACCTTAAGCATCCCGGGAAAGCTCGTAATCTGCGGCTTCAGAGCTTGGATGTATAGACCTGTCGGGATGGCGCTCCCGGAACAGCTCGAGACGGAGGACTTCTTCACACGCATCCAGTCTATTGTGCAGAAGATCGGGCCTGCGGTGATGAGGTATGCACACGTGGTGGTCTCGGCGGTACGTCCAGTTTTCACGGCTGTTGTTCAGCCTTCAGCAGGAACTACTGCCCATGTGGGAACCTCGTCACCGACTCAGGGCAGCAGACCTTCCCCGACAGCGGGCCAGTCGACCCTGGAGGTGCCGGGAGGAGGCGTCGGTGGGTTGAGGAAGCGACCGAGCCAGACCTTCTTCGACAAGGTGGTGGGCACGGCCAATGATAAGTTCTCTGCCTTTTTCACGGTATTTAGGAATGAACTGAAAATAAAGTAGGACTCAGAGTGCAGGCCGCTCCTGCTTAACCGTGTTTCAGAGAGCCAGGATGTGGATAAGGCTAATGGATCAAATCAGGATGGGTTGATGTGGACCAGTATGGAGATTGCGTGAAGAACGTTATAAAGCTCCTGTGTGTGCAGGATGGAATGCAAAGTCTGGAATCTGCGGAATCTCTATAAACTGCCGCAAGACATGTCAATGTAATTGGGATATTCTTCCGCAGCCTGTCATTGGGCTCCAGTCAGTAATAGTTGTGAAAGAGATCATAAGGAAAGTTCTACAGCCGGCGACAGCCATTGATGTATTACAAATATTTATTTTGGCTTTATCATTAATGATACAGGACCTATCATCCTCTGTACCGTGCTAAGCCCAGGAAATATCCGACCAAACGTGTATATCTCGGACGCGGCTCAGCTTTTCAGATCTAACTTGCCCTCCGTTCATTATGCATTAGACGTTTCCACGACTGCACTCAGTCTGCCATTTACTTCCGAAAAGGCACCGGACTCGGCAGGGCAGTCGGGGTGTTATCGCGGGCCCGCGTCTGCACCAGATGCTCAAAGGACGGCGCATACTCGACCCGCGGGGTGAAGGGGTCAAAGTCCCAGAGGTAGCCCAGGGTGCGCAGGATCGAGGAGGCGGAGTAAGACACGGTTTCGCCGGTGACGCTGGTGCCCTTTTGCTCGACATATCCCTTGCCGACCCAGGGGGAGATCAGCAGAGTGGGGATACGACCACCCAGACGGTTAAAGTTGAAGGTGTAGTCCTCGCCGCTTGGGGTGGTGGCCGTGTAGGTGAGGTTATCCGGCCGGGGAGCAAGGGGCGGGGGCACATGGTCGTGGAAGCCACCGGTCTCGTCGAAGCTCAGGATGAAGAGGGTCTCGTTCCACTGGGGCCCGGCGCGCAGAGCGTCGTAGACGTTCTTGATCAGCTTCTCGCCGTCAGAGATCAGGCCACTGGGGTGCATCGAGTTGGTGCCGACACCGCAGCACGAGGGGTTGACGTAGCTGAATTCAGGCAGGGCACCGGCTGCGGCATCCGTGTAGAACTGTTCCAGGGCCTTGACCTTGTCGGTGTTGTTGGAGGTGTAAGTCCAGTTGTAGAACTCGGCATCAGGACCAGTGCCACCAGCCGTGTCCCAGTAATTGATCCAGGAGTGGCCGGTCTCGGTCAGCTGCTGGAAGATGGAGCGCTGGGGGAAGGCATGGTTGTCAAAGGCCTCATCGTTGGTTCCGTGGCCATAGGAAGTGCCAGAGGTGAGGGCAGCCCGGTTGGGGTTGGTGGGCTGAATCTGAGTTAGCACGTTGCCAGCTGAAAGGTGGGGAAGGGGAGGAATGGGGGCTTCATACACCAGGCACATCCGAGTGCCAATGGTTGAAAACGACATAGTTTTGGACGAGCGAGGTGAGCACGGGCACCTGCTGCTCGGTGTAGTAGTTCATGACCTGCACGGACAGCTCGGTGCGGTTGGCATCGGCGCTGTACAGGCGCAGCTGTTCCGTGACGAACCCCTGCTGGGAGGGGGTCAGCTTGCCCTGGGCGATGGCCGCATTGTCGGGGGTGAAGGTGCCGTAGAACTCGATGTTATTGCCATAGACGGCGTGATCGGGATCATCGGTGACTGAGTCGTAGTCTCTGGCCGCACTGCAGACGGTGCCCTGGGAGAGGTCGGTGATGTTGTAGGGGTTGCAGTAGGGGCCGTTGTTGATGGGGTTCTCCAAGCCCTTGATCGTCTGACCTCCCAACAGGTTGTCCAAGGAACGGTTCTCCATGACCAGGACGACGACATTCTTGATCTTAGACTTGAGATTCTGGATGGCCGAGTCGGAGTGAGCCTTATGGCTGGGGTTGGCGGGGATGGCCGAGGCAGCGGCAGCAAAGGCCAGCAGACCGACCAGCGCACTGGGATGCATGGTGAGCTCTGTTGTAATTTAGAGTACAGATGGAGGAGGCAGAATGCGATACCCTGGTGAGAATAGCCATTGACAAGATGGTCGAGGGGGAGCCTTCTTATACCATGGTCAGGGTGGAATTAGAGCTGTCACTCGGGACAGCCTTTCTCCTCGTCTCTCCCCTTGCAGGGTCTGCACGTGGTGGTGTCAAGTGGTCGAGACACCATCTATTTTCATTAAACGAGTACTACATCTTGTGAGTCAAGCGAGCCATTCGCATGGACGCCATTATTCACCCTCCCTTCTCCATCGGTGGAGACGCGAAGCACGGGTGCATCTCCAATGGCATCGATCTGCAGGGGCACGAGGGACCAGTTCGGAGGGTATTTGAGGGTTTACCCCATATCTGGGAGGGAAATACACTGTAGTAGAGACTGGCCGAGGCTTGTCCTACCGTCCTTCTTCTTCATGGCTTTGCCAAATGCACGATCATCGGGGATCGACAGCCCCCGTGCGTGGCCACTTTCCCGTGATTGGCTGCTACCAGCCGTCCGCAGTAGTCGGTCTACTACTACTGAGTACTTCATGATGTTGAATGGCGACCTGTCAAGCAGTCATGCCAGAGGCAATTACTTTGTACCTTAATTTTCCATTGGGAAAGAATCAGAGAGAGAGAGAGAGAGAGAGAGGCAGAGTAAGGGCACAGCCATGGAATAAGAAAAGGGCCGGAACAATGCGGCGATCGGTAGCTTCCGGCCCGCTCGGATACACACCACAGCAGAGAGCCAGGAACAGGAAGGATGGTAGAGAACAGTGAGATCTCATAACCAGTATATCTACAACTAGCACAGGCACCGTGAACAGCCTGGACATTATTCGGGATGGATATTTATTGGATGACGAGCTGGTCCTTCGCCTTGACACCTCAGGCGGCCAGGCGGCCAGGCGGCCAGGCAGCGATAATTTAATGCCTGACCATCACCTGACTGCCTGACTGCCTCACTGCCTCACTGCCTCAGGCTGTCAATAGCAGTCCCGACCGGGTTTGGGTGATTTTTGTTTCTTCGGTGGCATCTTTCACACTCTGGTTGGATCTGTTGAAGATGATGCGCATAGACCGTAGATACTACAGATAACACTCCAGCTGCTTCAACAGCACACACAAACACCGATCGAGTTCAACCATTTCCCCAATCCTGCGATGAAAAATTCTCCTTCCTGTCCATTCATTCCATCGCATCCGCGCACCGCATTGGGAATAGTTCCCCCATCTTCATCGTCCATCCACCAGATGTCGCAGACCACAGCAGGGCCCCCTATAAGACTCTTGCTTACCCACAAGAAATAATGATGGCCAGACTATTTCTCGATCTTGCGTCGCCCGTGTGCTATCACCCACCATGGCCGTACCTCCCAACCCATCTCTGAGCGACTCCGCTCTCGGTTATGTAGTGACCCATCGCGGCAGCGTCGTGGAAAACCGACACCAAGTGCACGCTGCCGTCACCGATGCAACGGGCCGCATCTTATATGCCGTGGGCGATCCCACGCGCGTCACCCTGGCCCGCTCGGCCGCGAAACCTGCCCAAGCCCTGGCGGTGGTGGAAACCGGCGCTCTCGAAAAGTTTGACTTCAATGAGGCGGATCTAGCGTTGATGTGCGCCTCCCACAGCAGTGAAGATCGCCATCTTGCCCGGGCTCGCGCCATGCTGAGCAAGGTCAGTATGCAGGAAGAGGACTTACGGTGTGGGGGTCATGCAGCCCTGTCGGAGGCTGTCAATCGAGCCTGGATCAAGCAAGACTGGACGCCGACGGCCATCGCCAACAACTGCTCGGGCAAACATGCCGGTATGCTGGCAGGTGCCAGAGCCCTGGGTGCCACTACTGCAGAGTACCACTGCCCCACCCATCCCCTGCAGCAGCAGGTTGCCCACGCTGTCGAGGAGTTGGCAGGCTTACCTTCAGATCGTGTCCAATGGGCCATCGACGGCTGTAATCTGCCGGCCCCCGCGTTACCCCTTCAGCATCTGGCCGCTATCTACGCCCGTATTGCCAATGCGGCCGATGCGGTCCCCTCGGATCATCTGTCTCCTCGAACGCAGGCCCTAGGACGCATCTTTCGAGCGATGGCGGGCCATCCGGAACTGGTGGGAGGAGATGGTCGGTTCTGTACCGCGCTGATGCAGGCATTTGAGGGAGCTCTGATCGGCAAGGTGGGAGCGGACGGCTGTTATGCCATTGGGGTGCGTGCTTCGAATTACACGCAGCAACTGGGTAACAGCGGGGCTCTGGGGATTGCGGTTAAGATTGAGGATGGCAATCGGGGGATACTCTATGCCGCCGTGGTTGAGATCCTGCGCCAACTCCAGATCGGCTCTCCCGTGCAGCTGCAGTCGTTAGTCGCATTTCATAAACCCGAGATCCGAAACACGGCCGGCGTGGTGACAGGGCACACCTCGCACCAATTTCGGATGGGCAAGGTATAGTGGGAGGGATTTGCATCATACTTGTTACTACTACTACTACTAGTTACGTACTACTACTTGCCGATGAATAGTAAACAACCTGCTTGTACTGGATATATATTTTGGGCTCCGGGAGTTTTGATAGCAGCAGCCAATCAACCAGTTAATGTTAGTACTAGTACTCTAGTAATTTGTGGCGGATAAGAACCCGGGCCATGAGAACTGATTTGGGGATCTCCACGAGACAACGAGATAAGATGAAATATTGCTGTCATGGGTGATAACTAGATGCTTCGAGAAGGATTCTCGAAGATTGCCTTATCGCATGGGATAATATCACCCTCGGGTGGACCTTCCCGGCTGTTGGGGCTTATCGGGGAAGAGTCACCCCCGATATCGGGGGCTAAGCCTTTTATCAATCATCATCCTATCAGTTTCCACCCACAAGATAGCCTATGGACCCTGATTCCCTTCTAGCCACAGAGACTAGTACTAGTCTATCATGTCGACTCCATGTGGAGAAACCCTGATAAGACCATGTGGAGGAGGAGATAGCAAGCCTCCACAGAAACAATATCATCTCCACCTGCAATCACGGCTGGATTCCGAATACACCCACCGCCTGGCAAGCACATGGGGGTATAAAATGCTGGAACCAGCCAAGATGAACTGTAAGAGAAGCCAGCAGAGACCATCGCATCCGTCTTCATCATGCCTCTCAAGCCGATTCTCCTGTCTGCCCTGGCCAGTCTCGCCTCGGCCTCTCCGCTGCTCTACTCGCGGACCACCAATGAAACCTTCGTCTTCACCAATGCCAATGGCCTCAACTTCACCCAAATGAACACCACCCTACCGAACGTGACCATTTTCGCGACGGGTAGGTGGACCGAGTATACCTCAGGTAGTGCGACCGATAGTTAACCGCAGTTCACAGGTGGTACCATCGCGGGCTCCGATTCCAGCTCAACCGCCACGACCGGCTACACCTCCGGAGCAGTCGGGGTCCTGTCCCTCATCGATGCGGTGCCATCCATGCTGGACGTGGCCAATGTTGCCGGCGTCCAGGTAGCCAACGTGGGAAGCGAGGATATCACCTCTGACATCTTGATTTCCATGTCCAAGAAGCTGAACCGCGTTGTGTGTGAGGACCCGACCATGGCCGGCGCCGTCATCACCCACGGCACCGACACCCTCGAGGAAACTGCCTTCTTCCTGGATGCCACGGTCAACTGTGGCAAGCCGATTGTCATCGTGGGTGCCATGCGCCCATCTACGGCCATCTCAGCTGATGGGCCCTTCAATCTGCTCGAAGCCGTGACGGTGGCTGCCTCCACGTCGGCGCGCGATCGCGGTGCCATGGTGGTCATGAACGATCGCATTGCCTCGGCCTACTACGTGACCAAGACCAATGCCAACACTATGGACACCTTCAAGGCCATGGAGATGGGCTACCTTGGCGAGATGATCTCCAACACCCCTTTCTTCTTCTATCCGCCCGTCAAGCCAACCGGTAAGGTGGCCTTTGATATCACCAATGTGACTGAGATCCCCCGTGTGGACATTCTGTTTTCTTATGAGGACATGCACAACGACACCCTCTACAATGCCATCTCCAGTGGTGCCCAGGGAATTGTGGTGAGTGTGATTGCCTTGATCTCTCTCTATAACACTTGGAATGGACGCTGATGAGAATAGATTGCCGGGGCTGGTGCCGGAGGCGTCACAACCTCCTTTAACGAGGCCATTGAGGATGTCATCAACCGTCTGGAGATCCCTGTCGTGCAGAGTATGCGCACAGTCAATGGGGAAGTGCCACTGTCAGACGTGAGCAGCGACACCGCCACCCACATCGCCAGTGGATACCTAAACCCGCAGAAGTCCCGCATTCTGTTGGGATTGCTGCTATCCCAGGGAAAGAATATCACCGAAATCGCTGACGTGTTTGCTCTGGGCACGGATGCGTAGGTGTCGATGGGACCATTGTATATAATAATGACCGGATATTATGATCATGATAGATTGCAATAGAAAGTGACTGGATACACATCAGCAAAGGATACCCAGCGTTGCCCTCAGGCGTTCGTAGTAAAAGTGTATCCTACTGAAGATCACGCTTGATGTCTTATCTTCTGTCGGGCATGCAGGGTGCTTTGGGTCTGAAGGATCCGAGATCAAACTGACGCGAGCCAGAGTCTGATACATTCATAACAGTGGGTATATTTGAAGTCCATTGATAGTGGTTGTTTGTGTCGGGCAGTTGGATTAGATAGGGCCTGGCTTTGTGGCATATAGTTGGACTAATAGATGGTAATCAATTAGCGAGGGACTGTCTCCTGTCATCATTCTCACATTTCTCACCAGCACGTTTTCCCTGTCTCGCTTGGATCTGCACTAATTTTCCCTCTTCATCACATTTCCACGTAAAGACCATCCAGACATCTTGCTCGGTATTCTGGACCGTAAGACTGTTGTAAAAGGCAAGTATAAAGCGTGATTGGTCTACGTCAAGCCTGACCAACCTAGTAAGCTGGTCTTACTTTGGGTGTAGATGGAGGTATTATGTAGTAATAGGGCAACTAGTTCGCCTGAACTACCACCCAGGCGAGGCACGCCACTGCTGATCAGGCGCGAAATGGAACGAAGTGCGAGGTCCACTTAACTTGATGCACGCGGATACTAAGGCGACCAAGACCCTGGATTGATCGCTATGATTCGCGGAACCCCGCGGGTTCTTCACGGCTTTCGATAAGGCAGGATTGGATCCTCCCAGCCTCGTCTCTGCAAGTGGGACCCTGAAGGGCTCTCCTGCACGTCATTTCTCAGACACTCCCATCTTTTGCTTATTTGCAATGAATCTTATGGGCCGACCCTCAGCTCGGCGTGGGATGCCTGAATCGTCGGTGAAAGTCTATTCGAGCAATCCTGGCCTGCTGGTAGAGGCGGATGATTATAATAACCAAAGCACCCTACTTTAAGGATGGAGGCTTGTCCCTGGTCAACCATCACTCTGGTTATTGACTAGTTGTGTTTGGGAGACAGCTGAAGCCCATTGTCGGTAATCGTCCCCAAAGAATCTGCCCCTGCATCATGGAGTCAGGAAAGACCGGGTTTCGCACGGTCGCAGAACCGCATCCAACACGTCTAGTAGAAGGAGGGGTAGGGATACTCATCCGTCTATTGTGTATATCTGCAACGACTAATCTATACCTGCCGGGATGCAGAATCTAAATCAGAAGGTGACGGTGGACGACCTTCGTCGCGCAGTGCCCGAGTACTGCTTCACGCCATCCCTGTTCTGGTCCTGCTTCTACCTGTTTCGGGACCTGGTATACTCGGGAATTCTGCTGACCGCGCTGTATCAGCTGCTACAAACCAGCGCAGTGCGGAACTCATCACTGCTCTACTATCTCACCGTCAACATGTATGGAGTCTGTCAAGGCATTGTCTGGACGGGCCTCTGGGTGATTGCACACGACTGTGGCCACAGCGCCTTCTCGCGCTGGAGTGTGCTCAATGACAGCATCGGATTTGTACTGCACTCTTCCCTCCTTGCCCCGTATTTCTCGTGGAAGTCAACTCATCGGCGACACCATATCTATGCCAATCACATTGAAAAGGATCTGAACTATGTGCCGCCGCTGCGCCAGTCCTACGCCGATAGCATCGGCCAGGCGGTCGAGACGCTCGAGGATATCGGGCAGGATGCGCCCTTTGTCCTCTTCCTCCGCATCTTGCTGCAGCAGACCATCGGCTGGAACTGGTATATCCTGACCAACATCACCTGCCCTCCGACAGCGGTTCCCAAGAAAGGTAAGTCGATGTGGCGCCACAGCCATTTCGATCCCCAAGGTGCATTGTTCTATCCCTCCGAGTGGCTGTCCATTGTGCTGTCGGATCTGGGCTGCTTTGCTGTGATCACTGGGCTTTATCAGCTTTATCTGCAGTTTGGCTCCTTCGAGACGCTTTTTTGGGTTTATATCGTGCCGTGGACATGGGTGAACCACTGGATCGGTATGTGCAACTCTCCCCTTTCCTCCGGCGAATGAAGTTGTCTAACAGGATCTGACTGAGTACCTAGTAATGATCACTTATCTGCATCATACCCATCCATCGGTGCCTAAATACACCCCGGAATCGTGGAGCTTCTTGCGTGGCGCGACCGCGACCATGGACCGCGACTTCGGCATCATTGGGACGCATTTCTTCCATCATATCTCGACCGACCACGTCACTCACCATTTATTCTCGCGCATCCCGCATTATTACGGGCCTGTAGCCAGTAAGGCGATTGTTCCCCTGCTGGGCCAGCACTACCACGGACGGGGGGAGTTCACTTACCAGGAGCTGAAGACGGCCTTCAGTCGGTGCCAGTGGGTGGAGGAGGACCCTGGAAAGGATGTAGCTTTTGGTTTACGCGCAGCGGAGACGTTGACCAACAGGGACGTGAAGAACACAGGGTTGTGGTATCGCGGAGGACGCAGTCCCTTGCCAGAGTATAAGATGCGCGGATCCAAGTCCCTCTAAGGGCCAAGACGCTAAATCCATGGTAGTAGCACTGTGGAAGGAACCTAGACCACGCTAGATTCCAGTGAAATCAAAGCAGTTATCAGGGGCTGCTGCCTCACATGCTTCTGTCATGGCTGCCTACCTCATGTTCTCCGCGCACACTCTCTCTGTAATAAATTCCTGCCATTTCCCATCCATAGGACTACTTCTGAGTTGTGGTCATCACCTTCAACCACACTCAATCCTACATCAATAACAATCTAAAACGGAATTCACCATGGGGTAAGTCCACCACACCGACTCGGCCCATCCCGAGTCTCACATTGGGCAGTTACACCCACTACTACGGCGTCCGTGACAACCACAGCACAGAATGGATATCTGCATGGCCCCAGCTCGTCCAGGATGCTCGGCGGGTGGTCGATGCAACTGATATTCCCTTGTCCGGTCCAACCGACGACCCCCGAGATGACCATGTCACGCCGCCCCTGGTCAATGAGGTCGGAGGGATTGACATCAACGGTGTTGCAAGGAGTTCGCATGAGCCGTTGATAATCCACCTTCGGGATACCAAGAATTTTGAATTCGTGAAAACAGCCCGCAAGCCATATGATACGGTGGTCGGCTGCATCCTGCTGCGGGCGCACGTGTTAGCCCCGAAACAATTTCGTCTAAGGTAGGGTGATGCACTTCCTAGCTGGTACGACACCCCTTGCTGATATGCGTCAGTTCCGATGGATACTGGGATGAGATGGAATGGAAGTTGGCCCGCAATCTGTACGAGTCTCTCTGGCCAGACCAGCCCCTGCTGTCGCCGTTTTCGGATGAGGAATAGGCCAAAAGGGAGTGACAGAGACGGATCTGGTTGGAGCGGATGAATCTGTGAAGCAGATCTGCGGAGCATTGAAGGAAGGCTTGTTCTTAAAGTTAGTACGATTATGCAAATCCAGAATGCCCTGGCTCGTCGATCGTGAAAAGGAAGCTTCTCCATTCTATCATTCTCTAGGGATCCTATATCCATAACCAAGTGAAGTAAATTCGAGTACAAAACAACAGCCCAGCAAGCAGTTGGCCACCATCAGTCCCCCAGCCAGATATCTCCGGTCGAGGGCACACCCACAATCCATGACTGGTTGAAGTACTTCTGGAGAACCTTTTGTGCATAGGTCTGATCATCCACGCAGTAATCCCCACCAGTTGGCCCGATATGGGGACAGTGCAGCGCAGGATCATACTGCACCATATGTTCATGAACCTCTCGACATAACAGGGTGTTGCGGCCCAGCTCGTAGTCTTTGCCGAGCGGGATTGCCGAGGTCAGGAAGTCAAGACAAGCCGTATTGTTATCGTATTGCTGGTTCGCTCCAGTGCAGTATTGATCATGCGTAGCGCAGATGGTTGTGGCGAGCAGCTGGGTCAGTGATGCCGTAGCCTGGCTGGTGGTGCCGTTGATGGATTCAGCCAGCGCCTCCACCAAAGTATCCAGCAGGAACCCGAACCAGCGGAAGGTGGCATCATATTGCATAATGCGTCCGTCAGCATCCCACATGATCCATGTGTCGATGGTGACCGGTACCAGCAGATTGCCGAACGAGGTGGCATTGAAGGTGACCACGGTGGTCGCGGATGCGATGTTTCCCTGGGCAATGAACTGCGTGATGCTATAGTCAACGGGCACCCCGACGAGGCTAACATGACCAGGGTCGGAAAATAGTCCGAAAATATACTCCGTGTTCAATTCGCTCCCATTAAACACGCGGGTGATGTCTACTCGACCTTGTACCTGCCGGGAGGTGTCAGCGACTGAAGGGCAGAACAACTACCCTGCACCACATACATCCGGAGTAAATATAGTTGAATTAATTGCCTCCATCTGCTCAACATTGGCAGGATATAAGAAGTTGTCCCAGAAGGTAGTTTCCAGCTTCCACAGCTCCTCAACGGTATAATTGGGCGCAGTCCCGTTGGACCTCCCCAGCACCTGGGGAAGCCACAATATCGCAGCCGAGATAGCAGCCGGCCAGAAACGCATGCTGGACAAGATAGACATTTTGTTGATGCTTTAGATTCAAAAGAATAGCCATTTCTAACCTGTGCGCTGGCAGCGCGGTTATGTACTGATTGGTGAAGAATGTCAGGTGCAGCCAAGAGCAGGCTTACATCTGACGAATGACGGTTGGTATGCAGAGAGGCCAATCATGAGATTGGATCGAGTCATCATGGGCAATGGCGAATCGGACTCACAAGCTCCGTGGCATGCCGGTCTTGAGTGTTTATTGGAGATAAATGGATTTCAAAATCCTCAGCTTGCCACGAGGATCATTAATATTTCATTCCCGTCTGCCGTCAGCATCACCTGGACCGGTCTTGGGGCCTATGTCTAGAGTAGGCTGCGGTGAGATGTAGAAGATTACGGTTGGTATTTATCAGACCCTCCTGCTTGTGATCAGCCAAGCAGAATAACCGCAATCGTTAGTCCGCCCAATGATCGCTATGCCCAGTGCGGACGTTGTTGTGGGGTTCAGCATGTTATTTGCAGTGCAGAGGATGGATCTGAAGGTAACTCAGTACCGGGAAAGGGGCGCAGAGTATCTTGCTTCATGGAGTTGAGGTAGCAGATTCAATGTCATTTGCCATTTTGTACCATATTAACTGGCAACAAGATAGCATAGATCCCATTAAAATAGGAGGGAATAACAGAGAACACGGCATTATTCTCGACCAGTTTGTGCATACCACAGCATTGGCTGACGATTGTGGCTGCCTGCAGGAACGCCACCAACTGCCGTTGCTGGGCATAAACAAGACTGTGACACATAGCAGGCGACTAAAGGAAGACACAGGATCAATCGCATCTATCTAAGGTTCTCTTCATTGAAGAACACGCAGTTGGCCATACCATACGCTAATTCGGCTGCGCTCCCCTGGTAGGGCAAGGACGAAAACGTATGATATGTAGCGAATGCATTGATGCAATAACCGCTAGTCGCAGAGGCCGGAAATGTCACTTTGGAAATATGGAACAGAGGCACGTCAGTAGCCAAGGATTCCTGGTGTGCGTGGCTTCATAATTACATCTACCTCTAGACCAGTCCAGTGTAAAGTGCAGAGTGTGTCCCGCTTGATGTCAAAGTCCTTGTTGACCAATTCCATAGAGTAAAGGTACAGGAGCTTGGCGACGAGGATACGGAACATCTGATAGGCCATCTGGCGCCCTGGACACTGACGTGTGCCGATAAGGAAGGGTCGACATGCCTTGAAGACGTCCTTGCCGCTTGATTCAAGCCAGCGTTCCGGGCAAAAGTCATCCGGATTTTCCCAGTACTGTTCGGAATGACCCAGGGTGTAATTGTCGACCGTCACCGCAACCTGGCCAAACGCAGTATTGTCAGTTGTTTATTGCCTGTACCCTGCAAGGAACGGACGGAAAACAGGAAATAACAAGTCGCAGAATAAGTTGAGAACACTTACCCCCGGCGGAACATAGATACCATCAACGGTGGCTCCACAGGATACTCGCTGTAGAATCCCTCCATTGAAGGCTGGCGCGATGCGGAAGGTCTCGTTGATGCAAGCGTTGAGGTAGGGCAACTTGGCCAGACGGTCATCCGACAGCTCCTCGACCGAGGTTCCCACGGACAACACCTCCATTTCCAGCCGTTTCAGACACTGAGGATTCCGCAGCAGATAGTAGAATATTGCGTTCATCATATGATCGGACGTTCCATATATACTGAATCTATGGCTGATTTAGATTGGGCTTCGCTATTGCGGCCGCAAGGTGCGTTGGGCACTCACCGGAGAATCATGCAGTTGATTAGCAACGAGAGCTCAGAGACATCATGAAGCCCAGCCTTAATGGCTGCCTGTCGCAATCGACTGCGCTGGTTGTCTGGGAAAGTAGACTCATCGTCAATGAAGTTGATCTGTGGTGACTGGGTGTTTTGTCCACAGACAAAGCAAATGGCTTGAAATATTTTGAAGACAGTAGTCACATGTTGATGGATGGTCGCCCGGGACATAAAGACGAAGAGCGACTCCATGAAGGATATGAAAAGAGTGGGCCATCTGACGTGGGAGTTGAAATTGTCTATTTCGCGAATTAGTCTCCGCCTCTATACCGTTTTCGCTCAAATCTAGCTCCTACATCGGTCTTCCTCCCGGCCACGATTGCCAAAGGCCACCATGTTGGCCAGTTGCCATAGGTACCGGTAGTTCATCGTGTGTAGGGATATGGGTGTTGATTCAGTCTGACCCACATGATGGGCTGCCAGTTGCTCGCCCAAGGCCAAGTGACAGTACCGCTCAGCACTAACAGCCGTAAGTTCTTTTAGTGTGTTGGTCACCAAGGGTCGAAGCTTCCGGCGGCTTTCCTTGCTCGTAGTGTTACCCAGCGATTCCTCGGTGCCGGCCATATTTGCCAGGAGAGCCTTTCGGCTTCCAAGGAAGGCGAAATTCCTATCACCTTCGAATCCATAGATACTATCAAATGCTGTGACGGTCGCAAATGACAGTTCACTAGGTCCGATGCGAACAACAGGTCCTACAAAGAAGAGTTAATTAGCTCTTTTGTTAGCTCGGGCTTCCCTGACAGTAGCTGAGGAGCCCAGGCTAAGAAGTGGGAGACTGACCATAGGTGTCGTGCAGCTCTTTGAAAGTAAATACCACTCGCCCCGTGTGGAACATTCGAATGTTGCAAATCTGGCATCACGAATGAGCCTACTCTCAATCGTGCAAGGGGAAGACCGTCTTGAACGCACCGGGATGAATTTAGCTAAGAACGGGCCGGGGATATGCGAGAGGGGGTCGAGGTGCAGCCGGTAAACCAGCCATCCGACAAAGACAACTGTAATCTGAGTCGCAAGAGCCCTGGAATTAGTCCGTGCTGCAGGCTGTGCCAAGGCTGGACCAGAACGTATGGAGGTAGCGCCGTACCAGGTAGAGAGCCAACATATTGAACTTTCGGGGAGTTGAGATAATCGGCCCAGGTGCAAAAGATCGTATGCAGCATTTAGCTAGACCTGTAGGAGTAATGGAGGCCCCGAGTGTGTGCTTATACCCAGACGCACGTCTGCCTCTCGCCCACGCCCCCCCCAATTCAACCCCTTGTGTTTGGCAATTAGCCACTCGGAAAAGGAATCACTGCAGGGATGACTGCATGACCGAAAGGTGTGGGAAGGGGTCAGACAATGGAACCCAACCCTGCGGTCCACTCATTACTCATATGTTACTCTTGTTATTGCATCCCCGACGGCAAGGGGGTGCTTTCTCCACCCCCTTGCGTTGCGACAGGCGCAGTTAGGGTGTGATCGAGAAAGCTCGCGATAGCAAGACTGACAGAGACTCCCGACAGCAGCAACATGGACGGACATGAGTAAGGATAGGATCAGTGTCTTCCGCATTTATGGTGGGCCCTCTGCTGCTGTTGTCGATTGTGTAATTTGGGGCCACTGAACCCATATGCTGGCCCCTTTTCTAGGTATTGAAAATGATGTGACCGCTCGATATGTGGATCCGAAGGACGGTGTTGTATGCAGTACGGAATGGATTGGATAGTCTGGAATGTCCAACTCTAACATGTCAGCGCCGGCGTGATATCTGACTCCACACGCATAGCCAGCCTGTAACAGTCAGCTCAGTTTACCCTACCTTTCCCTGCGTATTCCGATCTTGGAACAAAGGAGCCTGATGAACCTCTGAGACTCGTCGTATCGGACAAAATGGACGTGACACAGCATAACTTTGCTTTTGTGTCTCCTGCTGAACCGTTGATGTGGTTTGTGATTGGTTAAATGATAGTCCACCATGTATGTGCAATTTGATTGGCAGTGACCTCCGATATAAGATTACTCAGCCTCACGGGAAGCCAAGAGGAACTATGGGGATGCAGTGCAGAAAGAAGGCATAGGCAATGAAAGGGGCAAAAGAATATGACAGACTAATGGTCGAGCACATGGTTGTTCCTTTACAAAAGTACGAGGGAAATAACAACCTCTGGTATTCTAATCGAAGTCCAGTCTAAGATATGATTGACACCGATAGCACCCCAGCATTCCCTCATCAGAGGTTTCACGGTATGTCAGTCAGGCGTTGAACCGTTCCTGACTCTACAGTTCCTGCTCGCCAATGGCCTTGGTGGAGGGTCGCCACTGGATGACCGTAGCGGCGAGGAATGAGGCGGCAGCCAAGCCAATGGCAAGGTAGAAGGTGTGCACCACGGCATTATCATACAAAGCAACTAGTGTCGTGAGAGTCTCCCCAGAATACATCTCCCGCAGACTGGTAGGACCGGCATTAATCACTGCCGTAGGGTCCAACATCGGCAAGGCCGTGCGGATATCGCTAGCTAACTGATTGCGAAATATGTTCTGCGCGACCGAGACGAAGACAGCACCGCCAAGGAGCTGAATGAAAGTCATCAGAGCGGTGGCGGTGGGGATATCACTGGAGGCCAGGGTGGTCTGGACGACGAATATAGGCAGCTGGAAGCCCATGCCGATGCCCGACCCCAGTAGCACCTGGTACCCGATCCACTCACCTGCTCCGGAACTTGGATGCAACATCGAGAGCAGCCCAGAGGCAATACTAGCCATAGCCGCGCTCAGGAGCATGAAAGGGCCAAAGTAACCGGTCGCGCTCACGAGCACGCCAGAGATGATGGCAAATATCACATTGGATATGACTAGCGCCAGGTTCCGTATCCCGGACTCCGTCGCAGAGGCCCCCTGGACAGCTTGAAACCAAATAGGGAGGTAGTAGACAAAGGTAAACATGGCGCCACTCAGACAGAAGCCGTACAGCGCAGAACCCCAGATATTGCGGCCCCGTAGCAGGCGCGGTGGAAGGGTGGCTCGCTCGCCGGCCCAGAACTGCAGCCCTACGAAGCACACAAGTAGGACCCCGAAGAGGACGAACAGCGCAACTATGCGGCCGTCGCCCCAGGCGTATTGTGCACCACCCCACTGAGTCGCTAGCAGGAGGCACACAATGGCTGGCAGGAAGGTGGCCGTCCCCAGGGGATCAAGCCCAGCCGCCTTCTCCCGCACGCTTGCCTGTATCACTGGCTTGGTGTTCTGGAACGTGAAGAGGATGACAACAGCACTGACGAGGCCGAATGGAAGATTGATATAGAAACACCAGCGCCACGAAATGTGGTCTGTGAATGCCCCGCCCATGCTAAGAAACAGCAAGCGAAGAGGTTAGCTCGCAGGGGTAAAGAGCCGATCTCGGTCTTGCAACCGAATGGCCATTTGGATTGCAGGCTTACAGAGGTGCAATGACGCTTGCCACCGCAAAGATGCTCATGATGAAGCCGGAGAAAGCCGGCCGTCGCCGTACGGGAACGCATTGAGTAATGATGAGGAGCGAACCTGAGAACAGCCCCCCTCCCCCCAGGCCGGCCACAGCGCGGCCCAAGATGAGACCCAGCGAGGAAGGGGTGATGCCGCAGATGAAGGAACCAAGTTCAAACACAAACAAGGCACTTAGATAGACCCATTTAATGGGGAAGAAGGTGTAGAGGCGCCCGAAGGGGAGGGTCACGGCGCAAGTTGTGAGCAGGTAGGCACTGGCATACCACCCCACATCATCCAGCGAGTGGAACTGCTGGGTGATTCTCGGCACCGCCGTGGCGACGATGGTATTGTCGAGTGAGGTACAGAAGATGCAGAAGCAGAGCCCGACGGTGACCAATACCAGCTTGTAGCCTGTTAGAGCGCCGGTGTCCTCTTCCCGCTCAGGCCGTTGTTGCTCATCTTCCTGTCCCTCTTCCTCCTTCCTGGAACTGTAGGAGCACACATGTGTCTGAGAGGCTTCCTTGAAGCTATTTAATTTCACCTCTCCGCCTAGAGGAGATGTGGATGGACCGCCTGAGATCCGCGCAGTGTCAGACATTGGGACAGGGCCCCCAACCGAGTGAGTAGAACCTGCAGATGAGTAGCGAGAATAACAGTGCTGGTATATTGGAAAAGCAGTGAACGGCTGCAGCGAACTGAATACACAGAGTCGAGGACACTGTTACGCCACCAATAGAAGTGGACAGAAGTACAGCATCGTATGAGGGCGCGAACATGACCCTTTGTTTGCGGGCCGTAGGAATGTTGCGCGAGATTGCTTACCAATGCAAACAATCGTCTTGATGGGGTCACCCGGTGGCTTAGAATGATTGCAGCTGACTCCTTGTGTGGCCAGACGGGAGCAGCTAGGTCCAGCCACCTGCATGTAACTCGGCAGTGTCACAATCCTTGATGGAGCGATCGAGACTTGGACTGAGACACAGACGGATGGGGTCATTGGCCAAGCCCCCTGCCCCTTTAATCTCCCTTGCTTGCCTACAAATGGAGAGGCTCTCTTTTAATCCTGCTATCGATATCGGTCGCTACATGGTACATGCATTTTCTTCCTCGCCCTCAACGCAACGGATAACCATATCAGTGGATTAAGCGCCGTGATGGACGATCGTCTCTCCTCCCAACTTGAACGCTATGCCAGCCAGGTGACTGCGAGCGCCACCCTCATCATACGTCACCTTAAGTCCCTCAAAGACGAACCATCGACGCTGCCTAGCCAGACCAGCGTACCCACGGCAGTCGGCACGGCACAACTACAGCTGGCGGAAGCCGCATTTCAGCTGCTGCAATTTACTCGGGATCCAGGTAACGTCCTGACCCAGTTAACGGTCGATGTTCGCATATCCCATGGCTTCCCAGGGCCTTCCACTCTTCCCTTACATCATTTGGTGCGCATGAATAGCTGATGATAACGTTTGTGTGTATTTCCATATGGCAGCTCCAAGTGATCAGTGCTGTGCGATGGTTGCTCCACTTCGAGATTTTCTCCTTGGTGCCGCAGGAGGGCAGCATTTCGTATCACGAGCTCTCCAGCGTGGCCAACGTGCCCGAGAATCTCCTGCGTAGTCACATTCGACTCGCTATGACCTGTCACCTGTTTCAGGAGTCCGGGCCGATAGGGATGGTTGCTCATAGCTCCGTATCGCGCCAACTAGCCAGTGACCCAAGCTTAGTCTCTTGGGGTCAGTACTTTGCGAATTCCGTCTTTCCGACTGCGACGAAGAACGTGAATGCTACTGCGGCTTGGCCAGGTAGCAAGGAGCTGAATGAAACGGCGCATAACCTCGCCTTCGACCACCAGGGCTCCTTCTTCGACTACGTCTCGCAGGATCCTGCCCGCACAGTGGAGTTTGCCAATTCCATGAAAGCAGTATCCACCACCAGCTTTTTTGACACCTGCCATTTGTGTAAGAGCTTTGACTGGTCGTCACTCGGCGACGGGGTTGTAGTTGATGTAAGTCCATATACACTCTATATTCCCTTTGTGCACATTATCTTACCACGACTTCTAGATGGGCGGCTCTACGGGCCATGTCAGTATTGCTCTCGCAGAGAGCTTTCCGAGCCTGCGCTTTGTGGTGCAAGATCTCCCGGACGTAGTTTCCAACAGCATCAAGCGATTGGAAGAGCGCCAGCTGCCCCTGTCGGTAACCACCCGTATCCAGTTCCAAGGTCATTCGCTGTTCGACATGCAGCCAGTCAAGGGTGCGGCCGTCTATCTCCTGCGCCAAATCCTCCATGATTGGCCAGACCGCAAAGCTGTCCAGATTCTTCGCAGCATCGTGCCCGCTCTGGGACCAAGGAGCAAAATATTCATCGCAGACATTGTTCTACCAGAAGCGGGCTCCATTCCAGCTACCGAGGAACAAGTGATGCGCTGCAATGACCTGTTGCTTCACCAATTTACCAACACGCTGGAGCGAACGCTCGAGGATTGGCAGGCCATTGTGAGTCGGGTGAGTGATAATTTACGAATCCAACACGTCTATAGACATCCGGGTAGCATCCTGTCCTTGTTGGTCATAGGGACTGTTTAGACCTTCTCAATCTTGTAATTTTAATAAAACAATTCTACTGGTCCATTTTACATGACACGGGGTTGTATTGGGACAAGACATGCATTTCTCTTTCGAACGAGGTGTCGGAAAGTGGAAACCTACCCCACCCTCATTGATAAGGAAGGTCTACAGGCATTGGCCCTCGTGCAGCAGAGGAAACAGCCAAGACGGGCGATTTGTGAAGTGCCATTCCGCATATGCGTTTGTTGTGTCACCACAATCTTAGTACGAGATAAGGCCTGTCGTTTGCCTCCATCGGCCATCGTGTTTCTGGCTGGCGGCCGAATGCCAAAGACCCTGCTGCCCCCGGTGTAAGCTGACTACTAAATAAGTGTGCGAGTCAGGCCGTAATTCCGGCTGTCACCATCCTTGCTGCCGATGGTGGTGCCATGCATTTCCCCCGTGCGGCGGAATGGAACATACAAATTCATTATCTCCCGCGCACGCCGCAGACTACTAATGGTATTCTGACCCAGCCAGTCTGAGTCTAGGTAGAGCTTATCAACAGTTTCTGCCAGGGGGCTCAAGACATATTTGTGGCTTGCTTGGTATGTGCAGTTCGGGTGTGCATACGCCAGGCGGCCTCCCTATATTGGTTAATTTGGGGGCCATCGTCCGATAAGCCTGACGCTATGCACCCGCTCGGGGTATCACCGGAGTTGATCGTCCACGGCGTAAGTAAATTAAACCTCTGCGGAAAAGCCACGGCTAGCTGTGGAACCACGAGTTATCGCAGTAGGTGAGCTGGGATTCCCTATAATTAGAGGGTTCATCCTGGGACGCTCTCCTTCCAAGACTCGGTACCTTGAGCCACACGCCGTCTTTTCCGCATCTCATCATCTCCACAAGCATGGCCGCTCCGCAGAATGCCCCCATCCCCGAAGCTGGGAAGAAGGTCATGAGCACTGTCACTCTGGTAGGCTGATTCCCTGCCCCTCACTGAGGGTGATGTTACCCTTGGTGGTTGTCTTTTCTCATGGTCATGCTCACCTCACGTCCTGCTTCTGCTAGGCCCCTGCTCTGGGGTTTGTTCCCATTGCCGTCCACTTTGATCTCTTCGGCTGTCTGCAAGAGATCGGTAAACCAGCCACCGCACAAGATGTCTGCAGTTTCCATCACACAAAATATGGCGATACCGACCTGTGTATGTCATGAGATGGCGTCCTTGTGAAAGGCAACTCTAGCTGACAGTGCGATCTATTCCCATGAAGCGGTGCCTCTGGCCAGTATGTAGTTTCTATCACGTTGTTCCATAACAGATCAATGTTCGCAAAGCTTAACCACTCTTCAGATGACACGCTTTTCCTCATGGGAGGGCTTGGCTTCCTCGACCTTCTTCCAGACGATGTATACCAGGCCAACGCCGTCACCCGATTTTTGGTGGATACACCATCGGCCCAGCATGGGGCCATGCATTTGTAGGGACCCTTCCTAAACATGCCTTCGAGCTGTAATGTTGGTGGCTGACCGCAGGGCACTCCATTTACCCAGCACATCCGAGGGGCTATTGGCTTCAGCTTTTCTGATGCGGCGTCTGATGGATACCAAGTTCGAGTATCCGTTCCAGGAGTGTGACACCCCATTCCAGTATGCCCACAAACTCATGGGCAATGATCATCTTGCCCGGGAACATGTGTATTCAGTGATGCATGAAACAGGCCGTCTTGACAGCTTCAACACCTTCATGACGGGCAAGTTTGGTCGCTGGGGCACCATGCCCGATCGCGTCCGCAAACTCGGGTATGATCTGGACGGCTTGCTTCAGTCCACAGCTCCCGAAAGGATCCTGGTAGTCGATATCGGCGGTGGCCGAGGCGAGCTGCTCTTGGAGATGCAAGCGACATACCCACACTTACTCAAGAAGGAAAACCTCATTCTGCAGGAGTACAATGCCGACATCGGTGTGGTTCCCGAGGTGACAGAGATGGGCTGGAATTATAAGGAGGATGCCAGCGAACAGCCCGTCAAGGGGGCGCTACTATACTCCATGGCGCACGTCCTCCACAATCTGTCCGATATCGAGTCCATCAAGCTTTTAACTAAGGTCGCCAGGGTCATGGCTCCGTCTTCACGTTTGCTCATTCAGGAGTTCACGAAGAATGCAGCTAGTTCGACCACTCACGCCGCGATGATCTTGATGCATGCTGGGCGGGAAAGGACTAGCGCCGAGTGGAGGGATCTGGCGGCCTTTGCGGGCTTGGAAATCACCTTTGAGGCATATCCACCCAATGGGGAGTGTGTAGTCGAGATGAGAAAGGTATTGAATTGAATGGTCGGGTACAGCCGGTCTTGGGGCATAGGCAAAGCTTTTAATGTGTTTTCAGAATTTCTTGCCTACGTAGCTTCCATTCACTCTAGCACAGCAGGTTCATGTCTTAGTGTCCTCCAAAACAGAACCGTTCCTAGTGCAGTAGTCCTATGTTGTTTTCAGTCTGTCCGGGTGGGCTGATGCTTGCAAGACCAAGATTGTACGAGGTAAAGTGTCTTATATCTGGCGACACTGAAATTCTCATTGGATTTGCAATACTACAATCTGAGAACAGGTGACTTTCCGCTGCGTTGCTATAATCGCCATCATTACCCATCCCCTCAACTGCGCTCCATCCCTCAATTTCCATTACTTCCGAGCCCATCTTTCACTATAGCCAACATTCCGCCTCAGATTCCCACCCAAAAGTAGCCTTTCATCTTACTAAACCCAACTATTACCAAGCACTAATGCATATCCTCCTTATGACATGTGCCAGGATTGTAGGGTGCCTAATTCAAGCATAGTATTCCCCCTGCCAGTCTTCAACGACAAGGAGGTTATTCTGATCCATATCAGCCACAATATCAATGGGCATTTACTAGCGGAGCATGCACTCACTAATCCTCGACAACCTTGACCTGCTGAATATAGGGGTCTCCACTATTATAGTTGAGGGTATGGGTGCCGGTGGCAAAGACCACCTTGTAGTACTCGTCTCCTTCCGAGTCGTAAAACACATAGGTACTTGCGTACTCGCCTTGTCTCTCGGTCACGTCAAAATCGAGCTGATACTTGTAAATGATTCCGTCGGCCTGGAACAAGCGGTACCTGGCGATGCCGGTCTCTCGCTGAAAGACTGAATCGGTAGCCTTCCATGTGCTGTCACCGACAGGCCAACCAGCATAATAGGTGCCGGACCTGGCTGCAGACACCAACTGTAACAACCCCAACAACAAGAGGAGCAGAAAATGCATGATGGTAAATGAAACAGCCGTCGCCAGGAAAAGGTTTATAGTCTGTCTGGGAATATGCGTTATGGCAGGACAGGCCGATGATGGTTGAAAGAAAAGACAGCCCCCGGGGAGAGCCTTCCAACTATATATAGGCCGACGGTCGCACACTTCAGTCTCGTGGTTAACTAGGGCCTTTGGCTATAGAGGAGCTCCGGGCGCGTGTGAGTCGTACAATTTGGAATCAGTTGAGTTCTTTTCAGCTGGCTCATGCAACCTTGCATGCCATGAAGCATCCATTGGTTCAATTTTCAGAAGCACCTAGTGCGAATATAGAAGCATCACAACTTTGAGACTCAAAAGACACCGCCACTGGCCCATCTCCAGGCGTGAGAGACGACTAAGTTGGGAATTCAGAACTGAACTCGCAGATCGGTGAATTCAGCCCTCTTTAGCTGCGTGGCAAAAATCATGATTAGTTTGTTTTTCGCTTTACTCCCGCTGTGATTCGGCACTAACAGGCTCACCGAGGCAAATATGCGTGGCTAGTGCTGACGAGCTATGGCCCTACTACTGTGGCCGGCGTGCGGCTGAACCCGCGGATCGCAGCAAACCCCGATGGTATTTCAATAGCTCTATGTTCTACTGGCCAGCCGCTTGGCTCAGCACTCATCAATTCCGATGCCTGTTGTTTCCTGGCTATATGCTTGGGACGACCGATCTGTATGACAAGCTGCTAGTTGTCGGTGCCTCTAGACGGCTTTGAGCCTTGTGCGCGTGCGGATCCCAGGGCGTGATACATCTAATCACGATGCCGAGACCTGCACGGCTTTATGGTAGGTACTTGATATTCGCGCTGATATTTCTCCATCAAGTTCTCATCTCAAAATGTGCAAGTTAATTGAGACTGCGTGTAAAAACATCACACACTCGCCCATTGCTTAGTCGCTTCTCATGAACAAAGTAGACTGTTTCATAAGGGCCATTCTCACCAGCCCTGCATGGGGGTATTCGGCAGGGCAGTCCATCAGAGGAGCAGCATAGAACTGGCCTACCAAAGTACAACTGCGTTCACAGTTTTGCAGAGCTTTGAGACGGACTGATGGGTCATGAGGGTTCGGAACGGAAGTTGGCCTCTCACTGTGGGACGTTGTTCAAGGGTCTTCAGGGGTGGAAGATGTCGGGTCTAGGTTATGAGGACATAAAGAAGGCAGATAACATGTTGCCCTGTCTTGGGAAATGCGAGCGGATCGAGTTGTTGCATATCGAAAGGTGCCAAAACAACACGTTCTTCCTAGCATATGTGGGAAAGTATAAGTCTCATTTTCGTTGAACGACGCTTTTGCAATGTCAATATACAGTTCAGAAGAAGCCAGGCAACATTAAAATATCTTCTTACTGAACGATTAGAGACCCGCCTTTTCATTCCCTGTGCCTCATCAAAACAAACATAGCCTCCGTCCGAGTAAGCGAGAGATTTAATTGCAGTAAAACGATTTGGTGTCAGCTGAAGACGGCCATAGGAAACCAAGATGTTGAACATTTATGCACAGGTAAAATGCTGGTCTAGGCCCAAAGCCAATCATAAATAACATATTACCTCGGGGGAACAATAGGGCGCAGAATGCTGTCATATTAGCAGCCCATGATTTTCAATGCGTGGACCTATACCTTATATATTTCGCAGGTGAAGACGCGAAAGTTCCAAGCATATGTCCATTCATGCGGCCGCCTTTGTAAACAATATCGAGCTGGACCATGTCTGGGTATGATTCAGCAGTATCTCTGAGCGGTACATTCTCAGATTTGACGTTGATAGAAGCCGGTAAGACTTGAGGCTATGAGTTTGAGGTCCATCTATCTCAGAAGAAGAAAGCCATCGCAGCCCACTGTCTCATTTAGCAGGAGAATTCCCCCAGTCAGTTGATGACAGAAAACAGAGGGAACGGATTCACAACGGAACTGCGTTGTTGGAGGCTTGGGCAGTATGACTGATATACATTGCTACTGCCAGCCTGTCAGTAGATGGAGTTAACATGAGGAAGTGACAATGCAAAAGGCGCTCGGCCAGGGATAACTGGCAATACTCCAAGGCTCCCGCAGCCAAGGGTTAGGTGTACCAACCTTCCGATTCTGAAGAGCACGCGAGGTCCTTGTCTTAATGATCCTGCACCTCAATCGATGACTTTTTTGAAAAGACAGATACGAAGGGGAGATGGGGAGTAGCCCATGGCTAGAGACTTGCTGTATCACGCAGATCGATCAGAGAGCCAAACCAGTGCACCGTCAATAACAGCACAAGGTTTACAATGTCTGGATAGTGGAGATTCCAGGGGCATGTGTCCACGGATATGATTCTACGTGGTCAGGTACGGGTTAATTTCCATACTGAAGCCCACATGCACTGTCTCCTGGAAGGATGAAGGCTACCTCTCAATCTTCGATATTTTATAGATTTTGCGGTGATGGTGGTTCTAGAACTTTTTCTCACCCGACTTGCCTGTTTTGGTTATCGCGCGCCCCACTTTTCGGATCTCCAGAGTTTGGTGGCATAAACTAGATATTTACCCTGGGGACATGGAAGCTGCGTGCGATGAGTAGAAAAGGATGGCGGATACCAATTCTGGCCTTGTCAATACGCTCTTTCCAGTGACTGTTCAAGTATCCCAAGCTCGCCCTCCCTCCTACAACGACTAGTTTCTTATCCATCATTTTACCCATGTCCGCACCAACTGACGCCACCCCGGCATCCAATGTTCTTGGCACCATTGGCACCGTATTCTGGTGTATCCAGCTTGTCCCCCAGATATGGTATAACTGGCGACGGAAAAAGACAGAAGGATTACCTCCTGCAATGGGGTTCTTGTGGGCTGTTTGTATGGACTAATTACCTCCCTACCCCCCCTCCCCGGTGATGGTGATGTATATATAGCACCAGTGTACTAGTAGTATCCGCGATTGGTACCGTGCCAAAGACAGGAGTGCCACAGTTAGTAATATTGAATGAAATCCTATCAGGTGCTGTGCCCATGGGTGTGTATTTGATCCTACAGGTAAATGCCATCCTTCAGTTTGTCCATCAGGTTCTGGTCATGACTCGGAAAGTCGAGGTGCTTACTACTCATGAATGCCAGGAAGTCAATCTCCCGATGCAAATCCAGCCGCAGATATTCGGGACATTTTCGGCCATCATTTGGGCTCAGATTTTACAATATGATCAGTTAGACCTACTCTTTTTGTTCCCCAGCCCTGGAAATATCTTTGCTCAAGATGTATCGATGTCGATATACTAACAAGCGTGACAGCAATTATACCACTCGGAAGGCCACATTGGCGTGTGTCGGGTTATTAGCAGTTATGGGTGGGCTCGAAGCCCTACTCATCTTAACTTTGAGGGCATGATGACCGTTCTACCCGTTCATTACAATCTTGCGTACTAAATCGGCCCTGGTCGCAGATACCATACAATAAAGGCATCACCTGGCCGGATATCTTGGTTGGTGCGATAGCAACAGTGCTTCTCGCCGGCGGCATGTTACCCATTTATTTTGAATTGGGGAAAAGACAAGGCCGAGTAATTGGAATCAGTACGTGTTGCTCCTGTTTCTCGTGGGCAAGGGAGCGAATTCTCATCGACATAGATTGGGTCTTCTTGTGCATCGACACACTGGGAGGACTGTTCTCAATCTTTGCGCTTGGTATGGCCGTTACATCCCTCCCCGTACGACATGCTAACGGACTCCAACAGTGGCACAAGGGTCGTTTGATATCCTTGGCGGGGTTATGTATATTGTTGTGTGAGTCCAATCCTTGCCTCGCCGTACATGCTGAGTGTCTAACCCATGAATAGCGTGGTACTCGAGCTGGGAATCTACCTCAGCCACATCATATGGCGCATCCGATTCCGGGAGGCCCGGAAAGAAGCCAAACATTCGAGTAGAAGTGTCGAGGATATTCTCCAAATGTCTAATCCCGCGTGATAGGTGGTCTTAAAGAATAAGCATCCGCCTTTCGGGTGCCAGTCTCATGTATTGGATCCACGTAAGGCCACTGTCCGGCAGAGACCAGAACCGCTGCAGAAACGACAAGACGTTGCGTCGGTCCAATGTGCCGCTTATCTCCATCACCAGTTCGATCTCGTGCGCTACCACCTCCTGCTTCTGCGGACACCCGCGGCACTCGGTGCCTGCAATGAATAGCGGCCAAACAAGGTCATGAGCGAATGAGCGCTTGTCAACGAGAAGGGCTAGATGAGCAAAGATGGAATCTCTCCAGGACTGGCGTGTCGTGTCTAAAGAACCATCCCGGGCGAGGACGTGGTAGACATAGATTAGGCTAGCGTAATAAAAAATCCACACCAGGTGCTGGAAACTGCTACACGCCTGGTCTGTTTGCCAGCGAAGTATGAGACTAAGCTGAAGCATGCGGGCCTTGGCGGCTTCCAAGTCCCCTGTCATAGTGCGAAGCAATGAAGAATCGATCGGATGGCCATGACTATATTGCAGGCGTTCCACATGTGTCGCACGACTGATAATGGTGATGAAATCGCCAAAGATGGCATTTGCATCAGTTAGCGGAACGGCTTCGTACTCCTCCAGGGCATCGAATGTTGTGAGGCCAGCAAAGACACTTGCGTAGTACTGCTCGTAGATCAAAAAGGCATCGATCTCATCCTCGCGTCCGGCGTCCGTAAGTGCATGATCTTTCCATTGACGGATCACACGCGCGGCCTCCAGGTGCATTCGCCACTTAGCCGACGCGGCGCCGAGGAGCTCGACGTTATATAGGATGAGCGTGGCGGCCAGCGCACATTGGGCCTGGCTGGTGGAGGAGCCTTCCTGCCTCATGTGGCAAAGCAGACGAGCAACCGACGACAAGGCCTGATTCCGGCGGCACATTGAGACGAGCTGCAGCTGCTGGCGACGCGGATGCCCGATCGGGAATCGTACCGCAAGGTCTTCCGACGAAAGTGCGAGCACCGCGTGGAGGACCGTCAACGATGCCCCAGCCAGCGGGACTATAACCTGTCTCCAGGGGTTCGTCGGACCATCCACCCAGGCCAGCTTGGCAGAGACGATCCGATGGTAGTGATGCATGAGTTCGGATGATACCGCATCCGGGTAGTGGGCAATAGTCGGGGTGGATGGTATAGGTAGCTGCCGGCCTGCCAGTCTACCTCTGCTGGCAACTCCTTGGTTCCATCGGAGAATGAGGCCGTATCCGGGACATGAGAAACCTCGTGTGGTGCATTTCCGGTATGCTGGGACCGACCTGTCGCATTTGATGCGACGGGTTCGGCACTTGGGACAGTCTTCTTTCTGATTAATAACCTGTAGGATTGGCCAAGAATGAAGGGACGAAGATCAAGCAATGCCGGGGACATATATATACATACCTTTATCTGCAGAGATGCTCGCACGTCGAGGCGCGGACATTGGAGGAGGCGCCGATGATGTTGTAGTTGATGAAAGCCTTCTTCCGATTAAGGATTTATTGCCAAGGCTGATGCTCAACTCAAGAATCCTGATCAGTGGGCGAAGGAACGGTAGAATTAGTGAACAACTACTTATGTCCTCTTACTAATATTGCTCTGCATAAAGTACTAGCGAACTAGTTCCGCCCCACCGACTTGGCCACACTTGTGATGCCATACAAAAGACGCCTTTTTGAAATTAAGGTATATCGATTATCAGAGGTCAGCGGTAGTTAAAATAAGGCATACTAATTATGAAGATAGTAGATGATGTTCAATTGCGCATGATCAATTTCTGCGGTTTTGGCATTCGAAAGTGTGTATATGATGAGAATAAAATATATAATTCTAAGGCTATGACGTCATTATATTAGGGTTCCTAAGAAGCAGAAAAAGTCGAAAAATGAATAAGATACACAATAGTATCTGGTACGACTTTATACTCAATTACAGACCAGTAATTATGACCATTACTGCGATAGATCCACCTCGAAACAGGACATTGAGCATGGCATTACATGGGTGGCCGAATCGGGCGGAAACTACGGTAGTTGCATTTGACAAATCTATTGTGTTTCTAAGCCTCCCTGAGAACTTCCTTTATATGAATACAACCAGGTAGATGACATTGTTAGGACATGTGTCATAAGAATTGTCTCAATATTAGGAATATGGTCATAAATGTTGACGAAGATGCTGCTAGGACTGGGTACTGATAATGAATTATATACTCTGGCCCTATGACTTTTGAACTTTCGCCCGCATCTTAAAACAAACACTGCCATAACGTGAATTGCATCAATGACCTGCACAATCTATTATTCCTTAAATTAGGGCCACGCCCCCTTCCATCTGGGTCTCTTTCTGTTCGCTCATTCTTTTTTCATGATGCCACGCAAAGGTCATGGCCATCTTGGCCATCTAGCAAGCTCCGTAGATCTTCTCCAACTTGATCTGGTTCCACTCATAGGCCGTCATATGGGGATACTTGGCCGGATTGGTCTCCGTCACGAATTGCCCAAACGGGTAGATGGAGTTATCGCGAGCCACCTTGGCAAAGTACGTGACGGACATGCGTTCCTTCAACTGTCCTTCCTCTCGCTCCCGCTCGGAGATGGGCAGCGTCACGCGATGACTGACCGATGTGAGGTAATCGTTCGTTAGCCGCTGCAAGCTATCCCCGATATTGACCAGCATGACATGCTTGTTCTCGCACGTCACAGGGAAATAGGTGCCCAAGTTCGACTGGTCCTCAACTTCCAGTCCTCCGACGGAGTCCTGGAAGAGCAGAGTGACGGTCCCAAAGTCCGTATGCTCGGAAATCCGGCTCATGTGGCCTGATCGCAGGTCGCGGATATCTACCTTGGGATAATAGTTTAACCGCATCTCGCTGACATTGGGCATGCAATGCTTGATCACCTCGAATGGCTGGTCTTTCGTGCTCAGGGCCATCTCCAGAGCCTTCAAAATGTTCAAATGAGCCACGTGAAGAAGCTCATAGAAAATTTCCATGAAAGAGCGGAAGCCTGGGACTTCACTCTCATCCGGCCATATGTTGCCGTATAATGGGTCATCAGGATTTCCGATATCAAACGACTCCTTTTATCGAATCAGCGAGTGAGCACACAAGGGCGGTTGGATGGTCTATGGATGGATGATTGGAATGCCTACCTTGACATCAAACACCTCTTTGTGCTCCTTGCAAACTCCTTTCTCGAAGTCTTTGATCGCTGAGCTTTTCTCTTGTCCGAGGCTTACCCATCCACGATTGGGGTTGGCACAGGGTGGATGAGGATACTTCTTCTTAATGTCCTCTGGCAATTCAAAAAAGGTTCGGTTCTTTTTTCACACAAAAAGCTATTAGTTTAATACTTGTAGCGAGCAACGCGGGCCACTGGCAGGACTGTCTTACCCATTCAAATGCCTTGTCGATTGCAAGATCAGGGACGCCGTGGTTGACCAGCTTGACAAACCCCTGGGACGCAAAGCATTGCAATAAGTCGCGGGCAAACTGGGCTCGTTCTTCCTCACTCCCAAGGAAAAACTTTCCCATGTCCAACGTCACAACAGTTCCGGCAGCCATGACTACGGTGAGTTAACGGTTGGTGTTGAAGGTCTGGAGAAATAGAGATGATTTGAGCTGGGCATGTCCTCGAAGACTGGAACTTGGCTCACCAGACCGGGCATTTTAAGCATCGTCTGTGTAACTGAATAGACACATCGACTATGACATCCAAGATCTCCATACACTCAGCCCCGTGGTGTACGTGGCTGTCGTAGTGGTTCTGCATACCGCGGAAGCTTCCGACATGCGTTGTTTTTCTTGCTGGAATGTAGGAAGGCAGGATAGACATTTGGTTTTCCTTTCCTGGTTCGTTGGACGCGCAACGTCGACTTCATTAGGGCTGACTTACTTGTTTAATTCCCTAGGGCTGATCGAAGGATCTCCTCCTGACCACAGGCAAATGTCACGACACAGCCACCTCCTCGCCCCGTAAGTTGGGGGTAACCAAATGATCAGCGAGCGCTTAACATTAAATCAGCCAGCCGCAGAATGCTCCTGTGCTGTATATAGTCCGAATTACGTTGTACAACGATTTTTGTATGAATATGCACCTCTCGGAGGCCTCCGAAAGGTACTGCCGCTATAATATCGATGTCCAGCGACTTGCGTGATCTCGTCTGCATATTGGTTTTTCTAATTTGCTTTTTATTCCTGATCACAGCATATGGCTGCACACTTTCACCATAACTAGCTAGTTCTCCCCTACATCCTACACCTGTGAGCACAATCATACCCATGGAAGCCAGTATTCTGCCCAGCGTGCCTGCGTGTGCAGGCGTCGCGCTGGTGGCCTTTTTCTTGTACCATTTCATTATCTATCCTAGCTTCCTTTCTCCACTGGCGAAGATCCCTAATGCTCACCCATTGGCTCCATATACGTCCCTGTGGATCCTGTGGGCGAGGTATCGGATTCGTGAGAATAACACGGTTCTCCGCGCGCATCAACAACACGGCGAGGTCGTCCGATTGGCGCCAAATGAAGTTAGCATCAACTGCGTGAACGATGGCATTAAGACAGTGTACGGGAAGGGCTTCGAGAAGCCGCCATTCTACTCTGTCTTCGTGAACTACGGGTTTGTAGAGTTCGTGCCTTGGTATTGTCACGCTGCTGACCGTTCATATGCACAGAGCGTTGAATATGTTCTCCTCCTTACACTCCCCTGAGCATGCGATGCGGAAGAAGCGCATCTCGAACATCTATTCCAAATCATTTTTACAATCCTCACCCGATGCGGCGGCCATAATTCAGGAGGTAGTGCAACGACGACTACTTTCGCAATTCGCCAGCCATGCCAAATCCAAGCAGCCACTGGATATTTATCCCATCTACAAAGCGACTGCCATGGATCTGACTACATCATATTTCTTCGGACTATCAGCCGGCACCCAGTTCGTGATCGACCCGACAGCTGCCGCCCGTTGGCAGGAGCTGTATCTGGACGACCAACACCCGGTGTCGCTGTTTTGGTTGCAGGAGTTGCCCGATCTCACTGCGTGGCTGGCCAAACTTGGGATCTCCGTTGTTCCTCAGGCACGTCACCTTGCACACGATCAGATCGCTGCGTGGTGTCTCAATATGAGCGATGGCGCGGAAAAGATGCTAGCCAAAAAGGCAGGGGGGTCTTCCTTGCCGCCGGGACACTTGCCGGTAGTCTATGAGAGACTCCGTCAGAGCACCGAAAAAGAGGGCATGTCTACCACACCCAGCATCACCCAGAATCCGGTAATCAACGATGACGTCTCCGACAGCATCGGTGGAAATGTAGCATATACTCTCCGGAAGCCAAGGTCCCCACAACAATTGCAGGTTACCAGTGAGTTGCTAGATCAACTTATTGCTAACAATGGAACCGTTGCCACGACACTGCTCTATGTGACCTGGCAGCTGTCGCAGAATTCGGCGGCATTGGCTCGTCTTCAAGAAGAACTGCGCAGCAAGCTGGGTCCCGAAGCTTTTGCATGGTCGGCATCGAAGGAGGAGGATACGTTGCCCAAGGCAAAGGACGTGGACGAGTTGCCTTACTTGAATGCAATCATTATGGAGACACTGCGACTTCACGCCCCAGTGGCTGGTAGCCAGCCGCGGATTACCCCGGAGAATAACAAGACCACGCTGGGTCAGTATGAAAATATCCCGGGAGGAGTACGCGTAAGCGCAGCTGCGTGGAGCCTCCACCGCAATCCTGCGGTATTCCCGCGCCCAGATGAATGGCATCCAGAGCGTTGGCTATCGGAAAACCTGGAGGGCGCCGACAAAAAGGAGCGCTGGTTCTGGGCATTTTCGAGCGGGTCGCGCATGTGTATTGGGAGTAATTTGGCATTGTACTGTAAGTGTTGTTGCTGTCGCTGCTGCCGCTGTTGTCTTGGCTAACTCTCCTTCTCTTTAGTGTTGAAGTATGTGGTGGCAGCCATCTACGCCAATTTCCGGACACATATTGTAAATGACGAGGGAATTGAGCAGGAGGACGGCTTTATCTCAGGACCAAAGGGGAACCAGTTGACGGTTAGATTCGAGAGCATAACAGTCGATTGAACAGTGTACCCCTGAATAGTTGGCAATCCTGATTTCTCTATCCGTCCGGCATATATGTGTTGTGTCTCCAGAGTAGATGTTAATACCTAGTAGCAGCGTACATTAAGCCCATTAAGCCCATTGAAGACAGTGACAATTCCAGAATGTCAAGTAATGCACAACGAGATCAGCTACTCAGAATTCACCCAAGCACTCAACGAATCCGACCAAATTTCCAACTTGCCAATCCTACCCTGGGCATCAAACTTTCCAAACAAAAACACGAATGTCTCCACCCACTTATTTCCCGTCGCATTGCTTCCAACTGTCGAAGTCAGTTTGACCATGACAGCATCGTCACTCCCATTCGAAGTCGAGACCAAGAACTGATCAGGCGGAGAGGTCGGCTCCCGATTGTCCGGCTCGAAGAAGAGCGTTTGTCCGAGGACGTCGAAGTAGGCATCACAAGTGGTGTCCTCCTCGGAGGACGGCGCAGGTGAAGACCGTCGTCCAGTCCAGGACCGTCCCAGGTAGGGAAGTCGGGATCGTGCCCAGCTGGGACCGTACTCGTAGATTTCAGGGTTGCTAGTGAAGCGCGAGTCAAGGATGGTGGTCGGGTGGGTTCCGTTAGCGAAGTCGGCACAAAATGCTTCAACGGTTGTGCGGATGTTCATGGTTGCGACTATGCTCTTCACTGGTGGTTCGGTATTGAAGTTGGAATATGGAAGGAGGAATGTAGAACGATGATAGAAAGTAGCTAGTACTGGGGGGTTGTTCTACGACAAATCGAAAGTGATGCGAAGTAGGATATAGTATTTATATCTGTCTACTCCTCTACTCTGCCGGAGAAACCCTCCGAATCATGCATAATAGGCAACCACTAGTCTAGCTCCGCTCAAACCCCACCAATGGCTTCACACTCTTGATCAGGATGGGTTTGGCCATGAGTTCCTCGGAGCGGAAAGTAGCATGCATGGCTTGGAAGTCGGGCAGTTCGGCGTGAAGATCATATGCCTCTTTGTTGACGTATCTAGCAGAGTCAGCATGCGTGCGACCGGGCGAGTCAAGAGAAAAACGCAAAAGAAAAAATAAAAAAAAGGAAAAAGGACAGAAGCCTACTTCTCAACCAGAACCAGCTCCTCTTGACCGGTCTCACGATCGAAGTCTTTGTACAAGTGGAAACTCAAAACACCGGGCTCATTCTTCTTGACACATGCGGTAAGCTTGGTGAGAAGCTCAGCAACCTACAGACATGATTAAGTCAGTAAGTTCGAGAGGCACAGTGTAGCAGAATAGGTCCCTGCGGCCACCGTGGAGGGTAACCCACTCGATCCAATTTGCCAGGCTTAGGGGTCAGGACAGCGACAATGTCGCATTCTTCGCCAAACTGAGTGTTGGTCATTGTGGTGGTGGATTTGCAAGGGATGGATGAATGGAGGTTGTTTGTTTGGGAGGGGGTTGTGTTGAGATGATGATATATTTCAGACAACACTTTATAAGTGTTGTTCGGTACCTTCGTGGTCTATGCTGCTCTTCCTACGGACAACACCGAACTCCTTTCCTAAACACCCTTGCAGTGGTTGATTGGAGGATCAGCAGTGTGTTCATCTTCGGCCCCACCCCGAGCCCTGCAGATGCTAAGCAATTCATTGTGTGGAGATCTTCCCCGTCCGCGTCTCACCGAAATGTGCAGCACGTACAGCATTTTTCACCGTGTCTCTTTGTCAGGGCAGTCCCTTGCCGAGAACCGGAATGTTAGCCGCAGCAGTGGTAGTATCTGTTAATAATAGAAATAATAGCATTTGGTAATAGTAAGAGGTTCTGAGGTGGTAAATCCTATTATGATTGTATTTCAGCTGGGGAGTCTGTTCTACAGAGTAGAGAGAGTTAGTTCCCGCCCGGGTCGGCCACCCATGTAGTGCCATATGAAAGACCCTGTTTTCACATTGCAATAGCCCATCCAATATAATATCTATAAGTTTACAAATCAAACCCCATTCACGGGCTATACTGGGTCATCAAAGAAGGCGTAAGATGCTTATTTGACGAAGATCATAATTATTATCTAGATTCTAGTAATAGCGTCAGCAATTCAACATGTTATAATCTAAGTCGAAAGTTTCAGTCGGAATCCTACAGCCGTCTATTATTTTACTTTCAGATAATATTGTAGATGTGTTAGTACAAGATATGTATATGTAGATAATTCTTGTCTTTCCAATTTGGGTTTACCTTCCAAAGTATATCTTACTGGATAGGTGCTTCATGTTCTGATTTTGTTATGTTTATGGAATCTCAATCATGCCGAAGTTGCCCTTCAATCTTTCCTACCCTTTTTTAATTAATTGGTCAATCACAAATAAAATCATAAAATCATCTCTAATCTAATCTTTCCTATGTAATTAGGGTTGTTACCTATCATCATACATCTGTAAATTAAAATATTAGTTCCATATGTTCTCTTTCGGTCATCTTAGACTACTAATCATTGAATCATGAAGAAAGGTGAAAGATCTAGATTAGTCTTGTTTATTTTGATTGTGTAGTACCTGTTAAAATATATAGGTTAGGTAATACTATTATAGGAAGATATCCAGCTATATATATATCTTATACAATGTCATCTACAAAGGAAAACAGTATTTTCGTTGCTTGAAATTATATATATATATATATATTATACATTATTATAACTTGTTAGCACCATCCAACAAAAGTTTCGAAGTCAAGGAAAGTGAAGGAACGAATATAAAAATTATCTCTGTATGTGAACCTATAAGAATAAATACATAATACAGGATAAGGAGAATATGACAAATAACCTACATGTTCTACAGAAACATTCATCGTCACATATTAAATGCATAAAGTATTGCACTGCATAGATATCTCAACTCAACAACCGTTTTTATTAAAGATAGACTGTTATTTTAGAAATCGTAGAATAATTAGACACATACAGAGCCTTCTGCACTTTATGATGTTGTAGTAGCTTTAGGTTACACCCAGTGTACAAGAATCCATGCAAATCCGTACTCGAGTGAACACCTTCCAAAAAAAAGGGGGGAATTGTCAATATCTATACGAATACTCTAGGAGAGGTCTATTTCTCGCAATACGAGACCCTTTCCACCGGAATGTAGTATTTGAAAGGAAGCGTTCAGAGCGTAAGCGGTGATTGACAATTTCATATCAACCCCGGGGGTGATAGTGAGAATGAACGAATCCTGTCCCAGTTATTGCAGGACATCCCCATCCCGTCCATTCACTGCAATGTCTGTCTCCTGCTTGGGCACCATCTCCGTGTCCCCTGAGTTACCTTCCTTCTCATCCACTGTCACCTCGCTCTTAGCGGGCTTAATCTTCACAAAGAGCACCATGATGATCAGTCCCAGCCCGGCCAACCCCACCGCCATCCAGAGTGGAGCCTGGTATCTCGCGCGCAAGTCTCCCTTCACCTGCGCCGAGGTGAAGTCACCCCACCCCAGCCAAAAACTAATGCCCAAGAACAAAACGCTGTTGGCAACCGCAGCGGCGAGCCCTTGTTGTCGCTCGGGAAGAGAGGTAGTAACGAAGATGTTGGTCACATTGTACGTGACATCCATGCCAAGGGTGCCGCAGATCATGGCCGGAAATACGTAGGGCCAGTAGCTGGCTCCGAGCGGCATGATAGCAAATAGCAGTGGTGCCATCAGCCATCCAATGCCCGAGATCACAAGAAGAACCGTGCCAGGAAGAACATGCAGGAATAAGCCTCCAATCAGGCTAAAGAAGATGCCACCTAGCGCGAAGGGGACAAAGTACGCTACCACGAGCAGGGGCGAGGCGTGCATGATATTCTCCATGTACTCCACACAGTATAGCAGCCAGATGCCAAACACGCCGTAGAAGCAGAACAGTCCGAGGAGTAGGGACGATAGTTGGGGGATGCGGAAGAGACTAAGAGGAAGAAGTGGCTCCTTGGCCACCCAACCTTCGACGTAGATCGCAGCTAGCAGCACAAAACAGCCCACAATCAACGTGATATACACGTAAGGTGTTCGCCAGCCGTCGGGTGCATGGCCGCAGTCGTTGATGGCGAAAAATATCAGCACCAGACTGCAAAAGAAGAGGCCGGCGCCAGCCCAATCTATGGACATGTCAGGGTGCGGAGGCTTGCGGCGAATACTGGCTGGGACGGAGAGGACAGCTGCGATGAGGGCCAGGAAGAGCAACATCGTCCCGATCCAAAAATACCAGCGCCAGTCGAGAAACTGTCCAGTCATGCCGGAGACAAAGATTCCGGCGACAAATCCGATGGGCGCGCAGGCGCCGTAGATACTGAACACCAAGTTCTTGCGCCATCCCGGTCGATAGGTAGTGCCCAAGAGCATGATTCCAGCCGAAAGAAAAGCAGCTGGGCCAAAACCCTGCAACGCCCGACAAAAATACATCATGAGGGCATTCTTGGCGAAACCGGCAACGAGCGACCAGACAAGATGCCAGGCCAACCCTCCTGCGAAGACGACAAACCCTCCATAGCGATCCGCCAGACGGCCGAAGAAGAGCAACGAACCACCCGCCGTCAGGGCAAAGGCACTCGATGGCCAGCTGGACGAGGCTTCTGGGATGTCCAGTCCCTCAGCTAAAGAGGGGAGGAGAACATTGAAGCCGGAAATGAAGTATTCCTGATGCAGGTCAGCGCATAGGTCCTCCCAAGACGGATATCTATACCGGTGAACAGAAGAAACCCTGCTGAAACTTACTGCCATAATCTGCGAGAGCACGAGCGAAAAGCAAAATCCCAGTTCCGATAGCAAATTAGGGAAGATAGCCGGCCTCATGCGACCAAGTCGCTCCAACTCGGCTTCCGAGTACATGTCGCCCATCCTAGTTAGGTGGTACGGGAGGTATCCCGTGAAGACGTAACAATAGGGAATAGGGCAGGTTGTACAGCCACAGTCACCAAAGAGACTTTCTGACTATGTGCGAAGCATCGAAAGAAAGGCAAAGAACCATAGAAACTGGAGATTTGGGGGAAGAGGAACGAAGGGAAAGAGGCAAGAGGAGGAGAGCGGCATTCACGAGGACCAGCAAGCAAGGGGGGTTCGTGGGTTTTGGATTTGTAAACGGGAGCCTCCTAGTGTCTCCGGAAGGTGCAGGAGTAAGCTGCACACCCCGGGGGCCTCCGACCATTAATTGGTCGTTGGGCGATCTATGACGGCCCCGTGCATGCAAGGGCGTCATCGGGCGGGCCGAGTATGGGGGCACCCAAGGCTGAAGACGCATTCGGGGAGGGCGAGGTATGTCGCTATAAATCGATTGGCCAAACCACCCAAACCCTACGCGTCCCTCCCTCCCCACCGGTTCTCCAATTACCACCCTACACATTATTGCTGACACACCAAACACTTGGTCCTCAAATCATGCGTTCCTCTCTGTGGTGGTCCATTTTTGGTCTTATTGGAGGGTCCTCCGCCACTCAAGCTTCGCCGGCCCACGTGCAGGAGCTCAAGGAACGCTGGGGTGAGGATGTAAGTTGGAGTCCGCCGAAGAGGCACAACCCTATGAAAGAGCGATCGACAGAGATGAGCTTAACATTTGGATTAATTTGATTTTATAGTGGGCGTTTTCAGGCATTACCACTTTCGGCCACTTGGAGCATGTCCATTGTCTCACCAATCCCGACACGCCGTTTGACATAGGGATCATTGGCACGCCTTTCGACACGGCCGTGAGCTATCGACCTGGTATATTCTGGTCCCCTTTGAACTGTACTATTTATGAAACCTGTCTGATACCATTCTTTACCACATTAATAGGTGCGCGCATGGGCCCTCGTGCCATTCGCACCGCTTCTGCCCGCCATATCCCATCTCGCGCGTTTCACGCTGCAGCCCAAATTAACCCGTATCAGTCATGGGCGAAGGTCCTGGACTGTGGAGACATCCCCGTCACCCCCTTTGACAATGCGGTGGCCATCCATCAAATGACCGAGGCCTACCGGGAGCTGGGCTCTCGAAGGACGACCACCGGGACGGGCAAGCCCAAGCTCATCACGCTCGGAGGAGATCATCTCGTGGCACTGCCCGCCCTCCGGGCTCTCCGAGAATCGTACGGCGAGCCCATGGCACTCTTGCACTTCGATTCCCATCTCGACTCGCTGCATCCCGATCGGTACCCCTCCGCCTGGACGTCGATGCAATCCCAGTTCAATCACGGCTCCGTTTTCTGGAATGCCATGAAGGAAGGACTCATCTCGAATTCGTCGTCACTGCATGCTGGCATCAACACTCGCCTAAGTGGGAACTCCTTCCAGGACTTAGATGACGACGACAAGCAGGGCTTCTTGCGCATTGCTGCCGACGAGGTTGACTCCATTGGCGCGGCTGGCATTATCGATCGCATCCATCAGCATATTCCCAAAGATCAGCCAGTGTACATGAGCATCGACATCGATGTACTGGATCCCGCGTTTGCCCCAGGTATGTTTGCATTTGCTGTCCCTCTCCCTCTGTCCCGAGGGTGCAAGACCGTTGATTGTGGATTTGCGTTACGTACATAGGGACGGGAGCCCCCGAACCGGGTGGCTGGACCACGCGCGAGATGATCAAGATTTTGCGGGGCGTCATGGATCTCAACATTGTTGGAGCTGATATCGTCGAGGTTGCCCCGGCCTACGACACTCCGGGGGGTGAAACTGCGTATCTGGTAAGTTCACTCGATGAATGCGGCAGCCGTTATCTCAAGGCTCGAGGAATGAATCTCCATGACTAACTGAGTGTCACTATGCAGGCGGCAAACCTGGCCTACGAACTGGTCACTGGCATGGTGGCTAGAGAACAGGAAGCCGGCGGGCGGGCGGGCGGACGACAAGTCCCCGTAGGGATGATGCAGGAGCCCAACGAATATGAGGTTTGCTACCGCCTGAATCCCGGAGCGGAAACTGTCCTTAATGGGCTTTTGAAACAAATCAGCTAGCCACTCATGACATGAGTGCACTGCTAAGTGGTATCATCCCTTGGTCCTGCTGACCTCTGGATCACGGCCGCGTGGGCCACGAACACGGCCACAAGACACGTCTAGCCGACTTCAGCTTTGTCTAGACACAAGACTGCAAACGATGCCTGTTAGACTTGGCATGCAGTTCAGTACAGAGCATAATCACGGTCACACATGGTCAGCATGCCACACAATAACCATGCTTTTATTTTCTTCTCATCCTTTATATTTAGATATGATGTAATAGACAAGGTGAACATTCATGCCATTAGCCCTTCCTACCATATAGCCGGGCTTGAGAAAATACAATATTACTTCACTTTTGAGCAATTCTGATACAACATAGGTACAAAAATCACCGTGTTAGTCCCGGTAGTCGCAACGTATCATGTGGGGTGGACGCCGCTAAACAAGAGTCAATCGCATCCAGGTTGGAATTGATCATCTCGGGATGGCTGGCAATGCCAACGAATGAAAACGGGTCGCCGCTATCCTGACATATGATGCCCGGACACAATGGATCAGTCGTCGCAGATAGAATAGCGTCGAGCGATAGGTCCATATCTGGCTGTTGCTGGTCCCTCTGCTCGTCTCTGACACATGGCAACGGCAGTGAGGAAGCCCAATGCTGGCCACAGTCTAATCGAGGTGACTTTCCGGGACAGTTCCAGAACGGACTCCCCATCGACCTCTGGGCCATCTGATACCCAGCCACGTCGGACGGGGGCACCACAAGCTTTACAAGTGCGATGCTAAGACAAAGGCTGTGACTGGACTCCCAGCAGAAGATGGTGTTGTGGAGAAAATTGATCCAGTCCCTACGGTCCGCTGCATCCTGTGCCGCCAGCAGAACGTGCTTAGCGACGATGAAAAACGGAAATAGACTATAACTCCCTTTCGGCCTAGACATGTCATCAATCCAGCAAGGACGGGAATGGGGGACAGAGGATTCTTACCAACTGCACCGAGGATCCGAGAATAGAGTACTCCCCTGAGCGGAGGGTGGGCAGAGTTGGGACAGAGCGTTTCGAGCGCTGGCCAGGACTTCGTTGGGCGCGTCGGGCAACATGCTATGCGCGAGAACAATGGAACGCGTTGTGTGGTATTCGTATAAGAGCGCCCGCTGGGTTGTAGGGTCTAAAGCCCCCGGGACAAAGCCGCCAGAAAGGTCGGAGGACGCAAAATGGGTTTCCATCCAACCTTCTAATCGGTCCACCACGTCAACAATAGCTTCCTGACGCGTCCGATTATTGTGGGTGTTACCCGAGGCTAACAGAATTTGATACGCGCGTTCTTGAATGAGTGCCACACCAATCCTTGCTGACAGGCCTTCCACGGGTACACTATGGAGAGACATATCTGGAGTTGGAGTGTTGCAATCAAAGCTTGGAAGCATATATGCTCGGCCCAGGGTGAAAGCGAAAGCTTTGTCCAGGATGAAGATGGTCCAGAAGAGCAACCTTCGTTCCTCGGCTTGTTCGACATGATCATCGTTTGACTGGCGTTCTCGATGCAGACCCATCCTTTGAGTGATGGCACAACATTTATGAAAGGCCTCATCGGCCAGCAGAAGGTCTTCTGCCTGTAAAGCGACGATCGTCTACCCGCTCCTGTTAGTATATTACAAATTCCCACGACCAGGCCCGATGACCTGTTCTTTAGGCTTCAGGCTACCATTCCCCGGACGGAAGTTACTCACGATGCATGCCAAAGCTTGAATGTTGACGACCGTATTTGCCTGCAGCTGACCCTGCACCAACGCCGCCCTGGCGGCGGCACAGAAGGGATCAGAGTTCGTCTGTGGTAGGCCGTGGTCACGGCCGTCAGAGCCATTTCCTTCACTTTCAGTGGTGGTCTGTAGCAGCAGGTACTGCAGGCATAGCTCCATACCACTTTTGGACACCCCCAAGTTCCCAAGGAAGTACATTTGAATTCGTGAACGCAGGATGCTCGGATGAAACAGGTGTTGTAGATAGCCACCCTGGGCCAAGTACCGCTCGGTTGCTTGCATCACGGCCTGCTGTGACAGGTGCGGGAGCCGGAGGGGTTCCACGGTGGAGGAAGTCTTGAAGATTCGAGGTCCAAGCAGGTTGCACAACTCTGATACCTGCTTCAGCAAGGGGTCGGCATCAGCCGTCTGGTCATGTCGTCCGGACCTCAATATTCGCAGAATACCCAGGCAATGAGCCACATTTGAGTAGGGTCCGTAAAGAACCTGTTGCCCATCCCCAAGTGTGAATAGAACACGACCTTGAGGATCATTTTCTACCAAGGGAGCCGTGGATGTACGACGGGGCACGGGTCGATCTTCCTGGTAGCAGTGCGGCTCGTTCACCAACCGGTGCTCGATTATCTGCGTCAAGCGCTCCACGGAACTCTCTAACTGGGCCAGTCGATTGCCGAGAGGGCTGATGCCCCCCTCGTCAGCAGAGTTAATCGAGCCAGGGGCAACGACCTTTCGGTCTCTAGAGGTGTATTCGCAGGCGACACATGCCCGGCGGCAGGCTCCGCAACGCGGCCGGGCCCGGTCACACCGGATTTTCTTCCACCGACAGTGATCGCAAGCTGGATCATGAGTAGAAAATTGAAGCGACGCGGGACTCTAGAGGAAGAGAGGTGTGAGTGTGGTGGTCAGTTAGTCCAATACAAATGGGAGAACAAACCGAGGCACTTCCGGAGGGCTCCATTGTTGCGGGCAATATTGGTGAAGTACCATCGCATCGCAACGTCCGATTATAACGGATTGCTCATAATGACAGGAGCCATTGCCCAACACGCTTTGACCGATATTTTCCTGTTCTGAACTTCGTGAGCTGATGTTTCCTTGCAGCTCACCTTCACCTCCCAACAGAGCAGCTGAGTCTAATGGCCTCCCAGTGGTTCCCACATTTCAAGTGGGCACCTGCTGATGACGGGTAGGCATGCAAGGGGCCGGTCAAAACTGTGGGGGGGTAGTATTGCGAAAAAGCAATTGATGTGGGGAGTTGAAAACCTCGATCTCCTGCATACACAAAGATCCACGTTGTGGCTGGCTGGTAATATCTATGGCTGGCTGTCACCGCTTGTTGGCTGTTTATGTCTTATGGAGGGTAAGTTGGTCCGGAATGTAATAAAAAGGGAGGAAGTGTGAGGCCTCAGGCTTGTATGCCTTTCTATATGATCTCTCACATACTCTAAAATCTTTTGACATAACGAACACATCAGTTAATTTGCTTTATGCTTTTACCACTTCTCCATGTATACATATTTAGTATGAGACCCTAGGTGTGAGGTCACCGCCTCCCATGCCTCATGGCGTTACTCTTATATGGTAATCACATGACCTGTTTCACTCCAGTGCTCCCATGCTCCATCACGTGAATCCATATGGTAGCTACAAGGCCTAACCTATCTGCGAGACCTCGGCTCTCTCATGCATTCTCACGTGACTTGTAAGTGGTGGTCACATGATATATCTAACTGAGAAGTGAGAACAGCAGTAGTTGAGGATATATTCAAAAAGCTATAAGTAAAATTAGTAAAGTCTTAAAATAAACTCAGTATAAACTAGATCTTTACTTGCGAGAATTCTAATATTACAGTCACACATCATTTAAATAATACGACAGTAGAATAATCCTATATTTGTACTAAATAATCCTCATTAAAAATCTACAGTGTACCGTAGACTATTATAATAGACCCAAACCCCATCAAATGTCTTAGACCTAGGTCCAAAGCTCAACCCATCGTGGGCTCGGACCTGGGCCAGAATAGGCCGTGAAGAAGCGTAGATGGCCAATCAGATCTCGCTATCCTACTATATCTTATTGTAATAAGCCCTCATTCTACTACCATTCCTGGATTAGATACCTAGATATAAAATAGCGAGATCCTGACAATTATAATATTAAAAAGAGGGTAGGCAACGCAGACACAGATACATTGCCATGTACTTTCGGTAACGGGGAGGAGGGAGGGGGAGGGAAGGACAGGGACACACTAGAACACTAAAATTAGACCTATCCGCGGTGCAGGATGCGAGAGGTACGTGGATATTAGGATATAGAGACAATGCTTTAACCTTTAGTCGATGTTATAAAAGCCGTGCATGCTAGTCAGGGATTTCCACCGGAATGACATTATTGATAACACGTTTGAGCAGCCTATGGGAGTGCTGATCACAGAAGGTCCACTGAGACATACACGCTTGACAAATATCAAAATCTCCCCTTAAGCAATTCCGCAATGGTAGTCAGTGTCAGCATCTATAATCTCTGACCCGCAGAATTTGAAGGTGATGAGGCGTTAAGGTCAATTACTGGATGAAGAACCAAGTCATTACAAAACATAATCTCTCTCTTGTGGTATTTTCACGTAACAGTTGAATGATATCAGAATAATACTCGTCAAAGGCCCATGGCGGTTCTATGCGGCCACAGTTGTCTTGAGAACAGAACTTAATTGTATTCTCTCGTCCATGAGCGGATGCTCCACCATAGCTTTGTTCCCGCGCCGTACGGCCATCAAAAGTGGAGTTTGACTATTACCATATTTAGAGTTTGTGTCGAAATTATGGACATATGGGCCAGAAAATAATGCTTGAACCGTGGCCTTATGCCCACCTGCCACGGCAAACGTTACCGGTGTCCAAGCGTATTTGTCTTAATGGCCACATTCAACATCTACCTTAAACAGCAGCTGGACCACCTTGTCATGGCCGTATTATGCAGCCCGTGATAGTCAATTCCGGGCAACTAAGTACCCTGAACATTCAGCTTGGCTTGGACATTCTGAATCAGTTCCTTCACTGCCTTCTCATGCCCGTTGCGTGCGACCAATGACAGTGGAGTCCTGCCTTCGTTAATTTTGGAGTCTGGCTTAACATTTCTTTTGCCCAGAAGCAGGCTACTACTGCCTCGTGTGCCATGCATTGCAAACAACGCCACAGGTGTCCGGTCATTGCTGTCCAGACAGTCCGGATCGACGCCGTCTTTCTTACAAAGCAGCTTTGGAACCGTATCATGCTCATTACGTGCTGCCTAAGACAACGGCGTCCAGCCGTTCGCATCCTTTACACCTGGGCTATATTTTGTCTCAAGCAATGCCATCAATTGTTCCATCAACCCGAAGTACGCTGTGAGATGTAATCTGGTCATCGTGCTTGGCAATCTATTGTTGAAGTCAGAATTCCACGGGTGCTTTCTGGTAACCAGCATAGCTTGGCTGGCGGCATGTATCAAGGATTCGTGCTGAAGATATTCCAGGGCCTGCTGCTTCGTCTGCGGAGATGCATGAGGTGCATGATGTCCCCAATATCGTGCTGCGTAGCCATAAAGCGGTTAGAACTGCAGCCGTTCATCGAATTCAATTTCGGCCTCACAGCAGCCGGTTCGGAAATCATCAAACGACAGATACATGATGCGTACGGTTGTAATATCATTCTGTGCGTCAGGGCACCATGTATCCTTGTCTTGTTTGAAGTAATGTTGTCCAGGCCTCTGCGGCAAATAGTAATCTTGAAGGCGTTATCTTCGAACTTGGGGTAAAAAATCACTCTCAATCATCTTTTCTGATGCAGACCTCAATAAGGCCCTTGGGAATTTCTCACAGAACTTTGAGCTCAATTCCGGCTAGATCTGCTTTGCTGCGACCAGGGTTATCATCCATGACGATATCGCCGAAAAGTTCGCGACAGGGCTAAAGGCGCGCTTCGGGATGTTCAAGAACGCCATGGGGGACCCTTTGGCGAAAGCGACATTCCTTGGGCCGTTAGTTGATAAGGTACAAACAGAGCGCGTCCGGGCGTTTTCCGAGCAGGGTAGGGAAGATGGGGTCAAGTTCATCACGGGTGGGGAAATCAATGATAATTTCGTCGAACCAACAATAAAGAAAAACCCCCCGCTTGAATATGCTGTTTGGAAGGGAGAGATCTTCGGTCCAGCGTTAGGAACTAAAAGCTTCAGATCTGAAGGTGAAGCTATTCGACTTGCAAACAATACCAACTATGGCTTATCTGCGTGTGTCTACACAAGTGATATTGCGCGTGCATTGAGAGTGTCAGAACGTCTTGAGTCTGGAGCTCTGGCCATCAATTATAGTTATTTCCCGGCAATCACTGTTTCCAAGAAGCGGGAGTGGAGGTCGTGAGGGCAGCTATGCGGCTGTTAAAAGCTACCTGGAATTCAAAACCTTTACTGTTAACATGGACGTTGGATCTGGATAAGGACGAAGTATAACCATCGATTGTGTGCTTTATGCTGTGCATGTTTATCATTGATAATCTGTCATATACAACGGGCTCAGTCCTGCTGTTTTTCTCCACTCTTGCTAATTTAATTAAATGCGACTTTGAGAATGTTCATCGAAGAATTGGGAGTACTCGCCAAGGGGTTCAATAAGACGAACTCAGGTGGAGCAGGAGAGACTGAAAAGACGTAAGGGACAGGCTCGGTCACTTCTCCCTAAACCATGGTTGTATTGCTCAGCCATTGGAGTTCTGGCGCCGATGTCGGTTATTGTTAAAAGTGGATTGCTATACTTGCCGTAATCGATATTCCGTTACGCTCGTACTATCTTCTTATTTTCCTTTCTTTAGAACTTGGGACCTTTTGCTTAGAAAGTACTGGGTCTGGACTATCTTGTAGTGAATTACAAACTTATTTTGAGGAGGCGAATAAGAATGACCTGTTTCTGGTTCTTCTACACTAACAGCATATGCAAGCATTACCAATCGTGGACGGGGGTAATATTGCCAGTTTTGCATCGGCAGTGTTGCAATTTACAGAATGTGCGGGCGTTATATACTGATGGATATGGTGTAATCAACTTCCAGTCTCCTTTCGCAAAGTAAGATGATGTCAATCATCCCGGGGGAGTCATCTCATCGACTAGCGTGCTGCACCGCGGCAACGGCCAATTAGCTTCCTAGGCCGTCTGGGCATTCGGCCGTTCAATGACTTTTGGTCCTTGTTCGTACCCATCAGACTTGGTTCTGTTGGTGGCAATAATTAGCCTGTTCAGGTATGGTAGCATGCTCAGATTTTACTCGGTTTGCGCCAATCAAAGCTTATCAGTTCGGGCTCCCCCTCAATGGAGAGACACCTTCAGATACTAGGAGTCAAAAGACAGCGCACACTTGTCTGCTATGGATATTACCAACTAGGAGTTCTTCTCTACCGTTATTCACCATATTTATCGCCTGTCCCCAGAGTATACTTACTAGCCCAGTAGATCGATTCTATCTTGTAAATAAGTATATATCAAATCATATTTCCCTCCTTGGCTCCAATCCCTTGCATATATAAATACTATACGTAGAAGTTCTTCCGGCAGCGGGTCTCGCCCGATGCCTTCTACATTGGATCCGATCTGCGCGATCGAGCTGGCGCCTAATATTATCCCGTCATTCTCTGCGTGCTCAGCGATAATAAGCCCATCGCAGTGCTGCGTTGATGGTAGTAACTCCAAAGGCATTTGTCGCTTCCTCCAGTCTTTTAAGTGCCGCGTCTAATACATCTTGGTCGTACAACTCTCGCATGGACCCTCCTAGGGGGTTATGGGCGCTAAATCGTGTCCCTTCGTCTGTCTGATGGGTGAATTTGCCGGAAAGGAATCCGGAAGCAAGGACACTAGTAGACTATTAGCCTACTCCGTGCCCGACTTTGGGACGTTCACTCACCAGAACGCATTGTAAGCGAGTTCGTGCTTTCTTAGAATCGGAAGCAGCTTCTTTTCCATTCCGTGGTTTATCGCACTATAGTCGCCTTGGTAGACGCTAGGCTTAACGGAACCGTTGGCCTTACAAATAGCGAGGAGTTTCTGGAGCAGGTCAGGCTGGAAGTTGGAAATGCCGAACCACAGAACCTGCATTAGTCTAGACTTAAGGGAGAGCTAATGTACGAACGCGTTTGAATTTCCCTGCTTGGTATAAATCAATCATAGTTCTGGCATGCTCTTCCAACGGAGTGTCGAGACCCGGACAGTGGATGTGCATAATGTTAACTGTCCTCTTAACCATTACAACCCTTCTGACATACACGTACAGCTCACCTGATCGACACCCATACGCCGCAGGCTTGTTTCAACCAATCGTACCACCGCGCTGCGCTCCCTATAAGGGATACGCGTTCTGAGTCTGTTGACTCAGAATTCTAGTCTTTTACCGGATAGCCTAGTGGTTTTAGATCCGGAGGATTCACTCCTGAAGCGCACCAGGATGGGATCCTGACACTTGGTTGGCAGCCTGCACAAGAATCTTAGTGTCAATCGTAAACCCCTGCCTTGAGGCTTTAGTCTCTCTGAGCGCCCGGCAGAAGTCGGGGGATATCTCCAGCGGTATCAGGGTGTGTAATATGGCTCTCTTTGAGAGAGAGCGAGGACTCGAACTTTGAGTGGATAGGAAACCCATACCGAACGAAGCGGCGCCAAAAATAAGTTTCGGAGAACTCATGTTGGAGAAATTGGATCCTGATCAGTGGCTGTTGTTTGTCTCATCCCTTGTGTACGGAGACTGACAAGCCTCGGGTATGTCATCATGATCAGTGCATCTTCCCCTTCTCAGCAAGCCCAGCCGGCTACGCTAAACCATTTTCAAGGTCAAAAGTAGTTTGGTACAGCCTTCTTTGTAATTGGGCTCTGCTTCACCTTAGTCACTTGTCTGATTTGCGATCCAGTTGATAAGTAGGTGGAGATGTCCGCATACTACTTAGCTCTTTCACTATGTCCAAGGAACATAATCCAAGATTTTCCCATACTGGTATTAAACCTTAAACTTTAAGGTTGAAAAACGCTTTTTCCGGTCATGATAGCTATGTGAGTTTATTATTAATCATAAGGTTTTTCCGGTATGGTTTCGAGGAGTGATCAATAGGTAAAGGGAAGTAGTTTAATGCCTATAAAAACGCGTTATCAGCTATTGAACCAAAACAACTCAGAGTTTGGTTGCCTAAGTCAATATCAAACTGGTAAATCATGATTTGCCCACCTACCGCAAATTGTTGATCAGCAGACAAATAGAACCAAGGCCGCATTCTTGCGATAAACTACCTCTAAACCATAGTTCTAGGACCCACGGCTTGCAAATGCCTTAATTCTAGCTTCGAAGTATTATGCCTTGGTGAAATTCTAAATGCTTAGTACTTGTTTCATTACTCCGATTATGTGAGTTTTATATGATATTCTGTTTTATTTGGAAAGGTGCCCATATACTATAATTGAAGTGACTGGCGTCGGTGCCACAACAATTTATCTTCAAGATCTCATATAGTCCATCTATATTCGAATGAATGGTGTCAATGGACCAACTAAAAATAACCTAAAACCTTATAGTTATAGTCCAGTAGGTTAGTATTTAATTTGATTCATATAACTTAATCTTATCTAATCGCTTAAGCGTTCTATTTGATAGAATCCCTTTACTTGGCCAGACTCGGGACTAGAAGAATCCTTATCCTGTCATATCTATCTAACGGATTGTCTTATAGGGTAGGCTTTTACAGATGTATACAGATATATAAAGATAATACAGATATATAAAAATTTAAAGAATGATTTAGTTTATCCTTTAGTACTTAGTATTACTGTTTTAAATTAGTAAAAGGCCATTTTGCTAGCTCATATAGAATGGATTATTATTACATAGACCTCCTCCACAATGCTAGTCAGCCCTATGCCCTTGTAACTACCACGGAAAACGTATCATTTGGTCAAAGGCAAAGGGGCTGAGTGTGGCAGCGGTCTGGGCTGCTCTGGAAGTGGTTATACCTAATCCGCCGATTTAGAGTCCGCATTAGGAGAAACGGGAATCGGCAAGGAAGAGGATGTAGCCGGTTGCAGAATACCTAAACTGCACGAAGAATAGTGGGTATCATAGGTATGCTAATGGTACACCTTTCGGGGGATATCCATTGGAAACATGAGCCAGTTTCCCTGAAGGAGTTTGGTAGCCAATCGACCTGCGACGGCAGACTCCGAACAGATTGTTCTAGAGCTCGTTACATATAAAATTCAGCTTTAGTTTTCGTATTCTTTGCCACACTTAGATTATTCTCTAGAAATATCAGCCGTTTCCGGTGGGTTTCTGGTCCTCCCTGATGATCACTGGAAGTGAAGCGTAACTGGAATTGTCTGGGACTTCCTTTGCATTTGCTGGGACTGACGTGTCATGAAACGTTAAATTCTTGAAATATGACATCAGGTGGTGTGCATACGTAGACCTTGTACTGAACTAACGGGGCCGTAGAGGTCGCCACCATATAACATAAAACAAATTTCTAATCCCGACAAGTATGGATCTTAGACAGTTTGAATCCAATAGCAAATCCCTCCGTGCTCCAATGGGGCCACCCAAGGCATTCCCACATTCACAACGCTTTAATAGCGTAATACATCTTTACGCACCATGACGGAGGCGCATAGCAAGCATGGAACAATGCGGTCTGTCATTTTTGATGGCCAGCCGCTTAATGTTAATGTCCGCGATGTCCCAAAGGCACATATCACCAGACAAACCGATGCCGTGGTTCGGGTCACTTCAGCAGCTATCTGTGGCTCCGACCTGCACAATTACCACGGCGTCTCTGGCAGTTATCAAGTGCCTTATCCCATTGGACACGAGGCCATGGGTATCGTCGAGGAAGCCGGAGCAGAAGTTAGTTCTGTGAAGGTCGGGGACCGGGTTATTATCCCTGACATTCTTGATGGCATCGGGTTGGACACGAAAACCACAGCAGTGTTCGGAGAAGGCCCTCAATTTGGTAATCTAGGAGGTTGTCAAGGTATGTTGGGCCGCTGCAGAGTCATGCTTTACTATCACGCGAGAAGTGAAAGCTCGAGTGATCAGTAGAAGAACTATATCTAATTAGCCACGCGATTGTCAACAGCCGAGTTTGTGCGGGTTCCTCTTGCGGAAAAGTCCTTGATTGTTCTCGACAAAGAATTCGATAACATCTCCGATAAGGATCTCGTTGTTCTTTCAGACATTTTCCCTACTGCCTGGGCGGGAGTAACCTGGTCGGGCTTTGAGGCCGGAGACAGGGTCGCTGTTTTTGGGGCCGGACCAGTGGGATTACTTGCGGCGTATTCAGCAATCCTCCGTGGGGCCTCTCGTGTGTACTCTGTTGATTCTGTTGGAGACCGACTGGAACTCGCGGCCTCCATTGGAGCCATTCCGATCGACTTCACGAAAGGTGAACCGTCGGCGCAGATTCTCGCCCGGGAGCCAAACGGCGTACAGCGCACTATAGACTGTGTTGGAGAGGAATGTCTCAATGAGGACTTGAAGCCCGAACAGTCCTTTGTTATCACACAGGCGACAAAGTGCACCAGCATGGATGGTGGCTTGGCAGTTATTGGGGTATACCTTGCTGAAGCGAGTTCCAAGGGGGTGCAACGAGGAAATACCATCTCACCATCTATAACCTTTCCTCTGACGCTCTTCTGGGGAAAAAACATGACCATTCGTGGTGGCTCAGTCCACAGCAAATTATATGTTGAGCCACTGCTGGAACTTGTGAGAGTTGGCAGAGCTAAACCAGGCTTCGTTTCTGGAGGGCCAAGAAATGCCTCCACAGACAATAGTACCGGCCACTCCGACAAAAGGAGTGCGGGCTCCCACGACCTAAGATATCTCGTCAGTCTTGGGCCACCAAGTCGCTAATTCGGTTGAGCAAAAGCGATATCTCATTACTTCCATATTCCGGAGCCACCTCTCCTAGCTTCTGAGAGACCTCAGACCACGTCTGTTCGGCCCCAATCGTCACCAACTCCAAGTGCTGGTCGAAGTCGAAATTATTGAGGCCGACGTACTGACTAAGACATCCTTTGCCGATGCGGACATGAACCCACGTCCGTATATTCCGATGTCTGAATTTGTTCAGTAAAGATATGCAATAGCCTTAACGACTCGACTGATCTAGGTCGAATTACAAATCTGGGGTTCAATTGCTTTTGAGAAGCCCAGGTCTGAGCCCTGCGTTGGAACTCCGGTGAATCTGGAGTCAGTATCTCATCAGGGCGTATGAGCGACCGCAACACCGCATTCTGTTCTTCACTAATAGCCTACGTCTCTAGAGTTTAGGAAATCAAACCCTCACACTTGCGTTCATTTATTGTCGCATTACTGAGGTATACCGAATCCTCTATATGTTGATAGGTTCTTTCTAGTCTAGCTACCTCGCTAGGATTACTAAGAGATATATTCAAAGAGTTAGCCTTCTGTATATTATATAGCTATAGGTATTATAATAAGACTTCGTTTGCCCAAATAGTCACAGCCTGGATCTGGATGCCGCTGGTCCTTATCTAATGTCTGCACATTTGGTCGAGATGAAGAATGTGTTCGCAAAACATAAGCTGGCAAAAGCAGAAATTACCCAGTATAGAATCTGAGAATAACAGGGTCAATGAATTCCATGTGCTTTCAACTCTGAAACATAGCATCGAAATCAAACTCATTGAATAATACAAACGGAGTCAAACCTGCGAATTTTCACTTCCCATCTACTTCCTGATGATATAATGCATTAACGGCATGCCCATGACTACGCTCAAATTCTTCGCTGAGAGAAGAATCCTCGTTAGCGAACATGTGTCGCACGAATTTGGCGATTCCCAATCACTTCAGTCTTAGAAATGCGTTCCGACCAGGTTGCACTAATAAGTTGTCGAGTCCGCACGCAAGGATCACAGAGAAGTTTTGGGGCTAATATTTTGGCCACAAAGTCGTCGACTGTTATTTCAGGCCAGTAAGACCCGGGGCGAAGAACCTTTTGGTAGTCAACCTTGTAGAATTTTAGCACTGGGATAGCGCATATTTAGGCCAGAAGTAGGGGGTAGGATGCGACTGACTTTTGGTGGGGGGGCGGCAATGCTGCGCAAATGATCACAGTCCTGATATAGGTGAAGGGTTAGTTATTATAGCGGTTCCAAGTAAATCCGCGAGAACAGACTTTTTGGTCGTAGCTATCCGCCCAGTTAAAGACGCACTTCGAAGGTTCGAGGTTGTCTAGTATAATGATGCACTCTGTCAGATTTCAGACATGCTTGAAGGAGGCCAGGTGCAGGCCTTGGAAAGAAATTGAGCGACTTCCCATAACTATAGGTATCGGTATACTCCCCTGTACTAGTAGAAGGATAAATTGTATTCAAATTGCGAGACACGAGTGGTTGCCTCAAATATCGTCGCACTGATCTAAATTTCGAAATTGGTGTTGCTACTTTGCGCGCTACGCCGGGACGAATAGTATCTGACTTCGGGAGGCTGGAATTGTCGCTGCTAAATATCTAAACGACGTCACATTTATTACCTCCACTACAAATGAAGTTTCGGGGTACTGAACGTTTGCAGTCCACGAAGGCGAAACCCTAAGTAGAGAGAAGATTAGATAAATACTGTACTACATGGTACTATATGAGTCATGGAGAAAATACTATCCCTGAGTAGTAGATATACCGCGCCTTAATTGAATGGTAATGATACTAGCTGTACATATTTATGATTACGAGCTAATGGCCGTGTCAACACAATCGCTCTTTGCGCACGGGGGTACTGGTTATGATAGCTGTATGAATTCAACACTTTCCCGATTGGTCAAGCCACGGAGAGTTGGAAGGTTGAAATATAGTATAATCTGTATGTAATCAAGAGCAACGATACAATTAAACAAGCTGTCTCCCAGTAATCGATCGCCTTTATCAGTTCTGTTCTACGCTGCTGAATATGATAAAACTGTCAATAAGCCCTGAGTATAAGAGACTAAAATGGCAATCCTGAGATTTAGACCCTTGGTGTCCCCACCGCGTGTACACAATTATATCCTAGTTGAATAGGAACGAAAAGACAGTAGGTACTTCACTAAAGCTAGATACACATAATACTCATCCTTCCACCGGCTACAAGTTCAGTTGACTAATCACCTTGCATGAACTCTTATCAAAAGAGTGAGCCAAGGTGTCAATCTCAGTGGCTCTTGCAATCAACCGCACCACCACAGCATTGGTCGTCATTATTCTTCCAGATACAGTTGTTCTCCTGCGCTTTCACATCGCACGGCACCTCGGTGAACTCGAACGGAATACACGCCTGCTTATCATTCTGGTAGAAGGTCATGGCAGGCGTCTTGGACGGGCAAGCCGGACCCAAACCATAGTCAAACCCACCCAGGCAGTACTTTCCACAAGGCCACTTGGTAACGGAGAACTTGCCGGCCAGCGCAAAATTGGTCGTCTTGCCAACGTGTGCGCCGTTCTTGGCGGAATTGAGCCAGCTATTCGCGTGCGCCCCGTTGGGCGGGTTACCGTGAATGTCCATGATGTACACCTGATCAGCCGGGTTGATGGCCTCTCCGGTCTTGCATTCCTCACTTTTGCAGAGCTTGAAGCGTCCAGATTTCAGGGCAATGCTTTCGGGCGCGGCGCTGTAATAGCCACCACCGAAGCCGAGGAGGTTGCCGTTATCGCCTCTGAAGGTGTAGCATTTCCCTGGGATTGTTAACACATTTTCTCCTCATAGAATCCAGATGAGTAATTATCCCCCGTTGGGCAGTGGGTGAGGGACAACACATACCGGTCTCCAAACCTGAAGAGCACTTAGCAGGAACACAGGTTCCATCCTCGTCCTCTTTAGTCCCCTTGGGACAAACACATTCGCCGTTCTTCAGCACCTTTCCGTTCTCACACACCGGCTCCGCAGCTTGGCAGGTGGCTCCGTCATAGGTCTGACCCTCCGGGCAGCATGTATATCCCGTGTCTTTGGAGCCGGCGAGATCATGACCCTCAGCACAGCAATCGAAAGCCGTCTCAGGAGACCCGACGAGTCTCTGCCCAGGGAGACAGCAGCCAGCATACTTCTTGCTGTCGCTGAGGCTGAGCTTCTTGTTTTCGCCTTGGTTGTCGCAGTCAATGGAGGTCTTGAAACCGTCCTCAATCCAGGTGATCGAGTTGCCCTGGATGGACGAAGTTCCTTGGATTTCCTTGACTGGGACATTGGTCGTGTATGTCTTTGCGGTGGCCAGGGATGCAGTGGAAAGAAAGATGGTGGTCACGAGGGAGAGTGAAAAGGACTTCATCTTGAAAGATAGACTTGGGCGTAAGTTCGTCAAATAGATAAATGAGTGTGGTTGTTTGTTATGAGATAGAGAAATGAGGGTGATTGTTTGTTCTGATAATGATGGAATGTTGAGAGGAGACGGGGCGTGTTCTGTCCCCTTTTATATCCGTCGAAACAAGGAACTTCATCATCGGACACCCCAGTCTATTCCATCTGCACATATTCCTTGCCCAATCGCATGAAGACGGTTTCTGAACAGCCAGGCTCGGCGCCGCCACCTCTATCGGGCTCCACTTGAGATCCATGACTTTCGTAAGAAGGGCAGGTGAACTGCATTGCTCGAATTCTATGGCTGGCTGGAATAAGCTGAGTATCTGCAGTCCGAGGTGTTCTTTTCTTTTGCGTTGGCATCTCCATGAGGGGATCGCGGAAATAGACGAAACCCAGCAAACTGCGTGCTGCAGACGAATGCCGCACAGCCACGGGCAAATCAGGGCTGCCGAGCTAACATATTCGTGCACGACATCAAAATGTGTCAGGCGGCAGAAGAAAATGGTAATGTCAAGAAGTAAACTCAGGTGTCTATACAGGTTTCATGACAACCCTTTTGCATTGCCCCATCCAGAAGAGAATGAAGTGTACATTCAGTGGCACTGAAGCATACATTTTTCGAAATGGTAGCAGTAAATGTCAATTGCTTTGGTGCTTCTTGTAAAGAACAAATTACACATTCTTTTCTGATAGTAGGAGCATGAATGCGACCCTATTATTGAGTTTCATAGCAAGGCAAAAACATTGCTTTTCTCGTCTATATATCACAACTACCGATTGCGGCACACGCCTCGGGTCACAAAAGCGTGAGCACCCGTAGCTGCCAGTTCCCACAACAGCTATTACCTAGTATCGTAGGCCAGCAGACTTATGCACGACTCGCATAAACACGCGAAGTTTTGCTGGCGCAACCCGGACAAGCTATTGGCCGGGCAACCTGCAAATGTGGAGCGATCATTTAGGCGTTGAAGGCTCATGGGGTCTCAGCTCAGCTGCGCCCATGTGTAACGTGAATATGATTTTGCTTCTTGAGAGGGCCGGTGGAGAACTGGCTCGCCTCCAATGGACCCACCGCGGCTGAACTACAGTGCTACATAGTATTTATTCATGATTATATCCACCTCTATCTACCCCCTGCATCGTGCATGTGCGCAATCTACCCATAATCCCCGATCCCCACATAGATCCCACCCACCTGCGACCCAAAAATGAGGCACAAATAGTAGTGGCCCATTTCACCACCCCACCAGACAATTATCTAGACAGCTTACGGGACTCAGAAAAGAGTGATAGAGCAAAGTACCTATAATAGTAATTTGAAAAGCTACTCATCGATTAGGCTGAAGCAAGAGAACAAATGTCTAATACCTAAACCGGAATCGAGACCATGTGACTACGTCTCCCTCTTGGCAGGTTTTCAGTTACCTGCAATCATCTCATCTTTGTTTCTGTTATTTTTTATATGCTTGACTGGAGCGCCTGTTACCGCTAAAGCCCTCACTTCATCGTCCATCTGCTTCAATACCAGGAAAATTCATCTGACATGTCACAGCTACCTCTCCGCATGCCATGGGCGTCGATGGATAGTTAACATAGTTCCTATCTGACTCAGCCACCCATGTCATACCACACGGAAGAATCTTTTTTCAGATAAATAGATAATTATCAGAAAGCTTCACGAAGATTCTGGAAAATATATTAGTATCTAATCCACGTGTAAATCAGTTGAGAAATGAGTAGCTATTAAAATGACCATGATGCCTTACGCTGAAACAGGTGTCTTTTATATGGTACATAGGTAGTGACTGTTTGCCACTCTAATCACTGAATTGGCGGTTTATTGTTGGGGTTATAACTACTTTCACTTACTATACTAAATTTGATATCTACTCATCGTATTACGTTTATAGAGAATAAAAGAAACATGCTCCAAAAGCACAGCATGAGCACCTGAAGAAAAGGCCTACGCTAGCAAAATGTATGCGACTATCCTGTGCTGCTGAACTTGGAAGAAGAACTGCCTTTCTTATTTCTATAAAAAATGGCGCAATATTAATTCTCGGAGAAATAATACCCCAACAATCGGTCTCACAGGCGGATGAGCTTGTTCCACCACAAGCCCGTTCATAAAATAGAATAGTAAGAAAATGTTATATTTCCTATCAAGTCCCACTCACAGATCTTTTCAATCATTATTAAAGCATAGCCTGTAGCACCTGTGCCATACCACTCGAAAGTGTCATGTGCCCCTTCTGGATCATATAAGTAAATTCATATATCTTATACTTTTTTAAGTACTACTATTTCGCACTTAAGTTATCTCCATTACTATTCTCGAACTCGGTAGAGTCTGAAGCTTGCAGAATATAGAAGATAGAAGGATAATCTTTAATTTAAATATAATCCTGAGACAATACATGGTTCAATACAGAGCGCAGGTACTTATTAAAAAGCAAGCGCAATGTGTCGCTGATGTTGATGATTACATAACCCGGTCAGGGAACAACATATTTCTATTAGGGATGGAGGTAGAATACGTGTCTGCACTAGATACTAAAATGTATAAAACAAACTTTGCCACTGTTACACCCAAGTGCTAAAACATTATTATAAACTGCTGAACGGTAAGGCCGATATTCTAGATGAAGCTGTGAGATCCAGAGATCTCTGGGGGTTTATGCAACTAGTGTAACAGGGAGCAATACTAGGTATATTCTCGAATAGGCGAGAAATAGTGGTATTCGCAATAAGTCGATATATTCAGAAGATTGACGCTGCGTTGGGATTCCCTCCCCGCGGGCGGGATCCTAACTCCTGCGTGGTCACATGTCGCGAATATCATGACTAATCCCGCGTAGCTAAGCTAGTATGGCAATACAGCGCCATATACATCATGGTGTTGATCTAGGGCCTTACAGAAGCCAGATTTCTGTTCTAGCCTTAATGACTACTAGGCTAGGCAAAAACCATTTTGAAAAACCGAAACCCCAGTTGGGTTTTGGGTTTTTCGAACCTCCCTCGATCTGTTGAGGATCACGGTGGCTGAACCTTGCAATAGGGATCGGAAGTGGATATATATTGGAGGCATCCCGCCATATAAAGATAATTTCTTAAGCCAACCAACAATAATCAATCTATTCTCACTCCAACACGACCCAACCCCAAAACCCAATGGGTAACCCACTGGGTTCCAGAAAAAGCCCAGAACCGCCGTCTCAGCGCCTTTGGCAGAAAATAAAGTCACGTGAAAACTTAGTCGCTGTATGTGTTTGTTTTTTTTGCTTGTTGTATGTGTTCCTTTTCTTTTTTTTTAAAGGATGAATGCACTCTACCTACTCGACGACTGGATAACCAACCCTATTCAGCCTTAATTACCCCACGGGGAATGGGGGAATGGAGGATATAAATCCGACCTTAACGGATAAAAGTGCCGCCCAAGTCCGTGCAAGACGGAAGCCAATACCGAGACTAAGCCTATCTGGGGATAGTATGCAGTGGGATGCTCGTGCAGAGGGCGCAGTGGCCATCATCTCGATTGCATCCTACCCTGAGCTTCAGACGGACTAGGGTAGACGACATGAATGAAGGGGAGATTAATAGTGGCAGGCGAGCGAGAAACGCGTAAGGAAGGAAGATCCCATGTCTGTGTCTGGCGCTAATGTTCATCCGCTAGATGCCGTAACTGCAAGCAGAGGAAAATTCGATGCTCAGGCGCCCACCCATGTGGTAACTGTGTACATCGACGCACGGAATGTATTTTTGATGAGCAGGGACGGAAAGTTGTGGTTTCCCAAAAGTACGTTCCACTTGCGTCTTGATGACCCCGCCCCTCGCCCGTAGCAGTCCACTTACATGTGTCGTGCTGTTGCAGGTATCTTCGGCGTCTGCAGCAGGCTGCAAGTCGCATGGAAACACAACCGGTCGAAAATCCAACCTCGACTGCTGGACATGCACAGAGTCGGCCATTGGAGACCGGGAGCGGGTCCCAGTTCCCCCGTGGTCGGGATACTCAGCCGGCTTCGCTGCCGAACCAGGCGTTGCAGACACCTACCTCCATTCAGCTACCCGACAACATCCATCTGGAAGCGTCAAATCCGCTGGCATCCACATCATCGGCCTACCTCTCTGACGACAATGGCCGGCTGCGTGAGTGATCCCTCTGGGCTCCACAACAGACACTAACGGGATAATGCAGGGTGTCTTGGCGAGTCCTCGACGTGGTCCTTCACACGCAAGACCCTGAGGCTCATTCATGATCATCTGCAGGACCAGGAAACCCCACTAACAAACATCGCCACCAACGAGGAGAGCCGTGCGTATCCATTGAGTTGGGGTCCGCGGAGCTTGGACGACCCCGGAAATTTCAGCGACTTGCCTTCCCCAGATCATGCGATATATCTAATTAGCGGGATCAAGTTCTATGTGGGCCAGCTCTACCATCTGTTTGACGAGTCCAAGTTCATAGAGGTTTTGCATGAGTTCTACCGGTCCCCGGCAGAGGTGGCCAGTGCGTATAAGATTTGGTATGTTCAGTTTCTGACGTTATTGGGATTGGCAAAGGCCGTGGTGATCAAGCCGTCCCGTGGATCCTGTGTTCTTCCAGGGTCCGATCTCTTTCTTCGCGCCATGTCGCTGCTGCCGGATACCCCGTACCTTTTCTCTGATGCCTTGACTGCGGTCGAGACGCTCTGTGCGATCTCGCTATATCTACAGTGTGCGGACATGCGAAACTCTGCCTACATATATGTGAGTGATGCTGATTGTATCGACTTGCCGATTTCCCCAAACAGTGTGGTTGATTTGTCTGCCACATCCTGCAGATTGGTTCAGCCTTGCGTATGGCTATGACCTTTGGGCTGCATCGCGAACGTCCCACGAATGACTGGAGTCCGCAAGCGACGGAACGATGCCATCGAATCTGGTGGACGGTCTACATTCTCGACCGTACATTTTCCTTCTCCATGGGTGTGCCGATATCCATCCAAGACTCTGATATTACGACTCCGATGCCCCAACCGGAGGGGCCGACGGGTCAGCCATTTCTTTACTTTCATGTGAAACTGTCGAATCTCATCTCCGAAGTGGTCAATAGTATGTTTCTATGCACAGTTGCTGTTCATTCCTATATCTCAGGTTCTGATGGCTCTGCGCAGAGGTTTACGGCGCGGAAGGTCGATTGCAGAGTAGTTTTCTTCCCTGTGTTCACAAAGTGTTGGAAAGTATTGCGTCCATCGCCAGTGATCTTAATGCGTGCTGTCCGCTTTCTTCGGATGGCTCGGACGGCAATGTATCGCGGGCCGCTGCTCACCTGCATCTTCTGTATCACCAAGTAAGCCCCTTGCGTCTGATCTATGGGGCTCTTCTCACCATCGCAGGCAATCATGCTTGCGATGCACCCGCTCCTACTGCATCTTTTCCATAAGAAACTGCAAAACAGAGAGGGCGATTCCGAGCCAAGACGTGCATTCTCCATCACCACTAAGGCGCTCCTCAAGACTTGCATCGATACCTGCAAGAACATGACTGGGGTTCTGCATGTGCTTCAGCAACAAGGCCTCCTGGGTGAGCTACCTATCTTATCCATCTCATAGACTAGACCCGACTAAAGTTACCATCAGGAGGCGCCCTGCCATTCGACCTGGACAGAGCTTTCGCCTCGGGTTTTGTCTCAGTAATGCTGTCACTGATCGATCCGGATGAGGCGAGCCAGCACCCCCTCTACGACCGGTCGTGTCGTCTTCTAGACGAATTCATCAACCATGGAAGTGTCCTGGCGCAGTTTCGCAAGTCCGAGATTGTCTTGCTTCAGGAGATGGTGCATCAGTGGACTTCAAGGGCCAGCCGGGGCCCACCCAGGGTCGATGAAGCAGAACAGCAACCGCCAGTCCCGCCGCAGGACCATTTCGGCGATGCAATGCCATCTGTGGATGAAGGGGGTGCGTTATATGGCTTATCCCCTGGCCAGATCCTCTCCCTGGCGGAGATCGTCGATGTCGGGGGGAGCGGTTGGCAGGATGATGTCGAGTGGATGGACGATGACTGGCTCTGGGCACAGTCAGTTCGGGGTGAACAATTATGATTACATCCCTCTGCCGAATATACTCATTGATTGATATGTACTTCCTTGTCTATAAGCAGGTATGTAATACTTTATAGGGTTCGCCACCTTCTTGATGAGCTGTGTATCATCTCGTATTACGGGGAAAGAGAAGCCTGGATGGTCCCACATCCACTTCTATATTTCCATTCCAACCTAGTTAGTGGTTACTAGGATACGAGACCACAGAGCTCGTGGTGAATTCTTCCTTGATGGCCCGCATACTCACAAATCGGGACAACAGGTTCATACTTCCAGCCTTATCATTCGTACCACTTGCCCGCCCACCACCAAACGGCTGCTGGCCCACGACAGCCCCGGTGCTCTTACAGTTGATGTAGAAATTGCCCGCTGTATCTCGGAGCCGGTCTTCCGCAAAGCGAATCGCTGTCCGGTCCGATGCAAACACCGCACAGGTGAGTCCGAAGTCTGACGTTTGGTCGACAAGTTGACACACGTCATCGAAGGCGTCCTCCTCCCTCTCCTCATATTTCTTGTCGTCATAGACAAACAACACCAGGATTGGCCCGAACAGTTCGGTGGAAAGCAGCGGATGGTTAGGATTGGTAGTGTGGTAGATGGTCGGAGTGATAAAGTACCCTTTACTGTCGTCGTATGTGCCGCCGCTCAGCAGTTCAAGCTCTGCATCTGCTTGTGCACTGTCAATCACGGCACGCAGTTTAGAAAACGAGGCCGCATGGATGACAGGGCCGACAAAATGCGTGTGGTCTGCAGGCTCGCCGATCGAGAGCGCCTTTGCTTCTGCGACGAGGCGGTCGGTGAATTCTTGTGCCCGAGAGGAAGGGACATAAACCCTCGATGTAGCACTGCACTTCTGGCCTTGGTACTCAAAGGCCCCTCGGATCGTGTGGATGGCGGCGTTGACAATATCGGCAGAGTGATGGAGGATATGCGCGTTCTTGCCGCCGGTCTCGCCGACGATGCGTGGATAGGACTTGAATCGACCCTCTGCGATCCCGGCTCCTATCTCGCCATAAAGCTGGCGGAAGATGGCAGTACTGCCTGTGTAATGGAGGGCAGCAAACTCGCGGTCGGAGAAGACGGTTTGAGTGATTTCACCGGGATCGCCGGGCGTCCATTGGATCACGTTACAGGGGAGACCGGATTCGAGGAGAATCCGGTAGATAAGATAGTTCGATGCAATGGCAAAGTCAGATGGCTTCCAGACGACCACGTTCCCCAGCAGGGCCGGCAGTGCAACAAGATTTCCTGCGATGGCGGTAAAATTGAACGGGGAGATAGCGTAGACGAAGCCCTCGAGGGGTCGATACTCGACGCGATTCCACACCCCGGGAGCGTGATGCCCTGGCTGCGAGGAGTAGAGCCCCTCTGCGTAATGCACGTTGAAGCGCAGGAAATCAGCCAGTTCAGCAGCGGAATCGATCTCCGCTTGCCATGCATTCTTTCCCTGGCCGAGGATCGTGGCGGCCATAATGGCGTAGCGGTACTTGCCCGATATCAGATCTGCCGCCTTCAGGAAGATGGCTGCCCTGTCGGCGAATGGAAGGGTAGCCCAGTGCTTTCGTGCACTCAGGGCTGCATCAATTGCCTTCTGGATATCAGCAGGTCCGGCCTTGGAATAGGTTGCTACGGTGGACTGATGGTCGGCCGGGTTAACTTGCACGCCCTTGGATGCTGTCGTAACCTTTAGAAAAAATGAGTCAAAAGCCTTGCGGGTGGTTTATATCAGGCGAGGGCTTACCTCCTGCCCATTGATCACCAGGGGCACTTTAACATGACAGTCCTTTGCCCGCTCAATGGCTTGGGTGAGTAGGGCACGTTGGGTCGAGCCTTTCTCATAGTGTTGCTGTGAGCCATTGGGAGGTGTTAGATCACTTCACCAAAGTGTGTCATAATGAATGGGAGGTTGCAACTGACGTTGGGCTCATTGCCAATCTGAGGCAGTTTGGGAATTGAAATCGTTGCCATTTTGGAAATACTTGGACACCCCTTTCGCTGGGGGAAAACAAATGGTGGCCATCTTGTTGAAATATATGCTCGAATACTATGACTGACTTTTAACAACAGATACGTAGATGCCGAGTTCAACTCCGTAAAGACACCGGGCAGTGTTTCCGTCTCAGTTCCGGATGAGATTTAAATAACGGATATCGATGCCGCTCATCGTCCGCCGGCAGACAGTGCCGCCTGAGAGTCACTGAGTGGATGCTAAGAACCTTTTCGACTTGGCGCCAGAGCAAAAGAACCCAAAAGATATAGAGTGCAGAGAAGCAGAGAGAAACCGAGCATATAAAGTGCTGATTCCAAGACCGAACACACGACATAATACTACACCAAACGTGACTCTCCTTGCAAAAATGGGAATTGACGCTCCAACAAGAATTGCCATCATCGGTTGCAATAAGTAATACGCAACGATAGCATTGTGTTCCCACAGAATATATTCCTCATCATACAGGGACTCTGGGAACCGCCATCGCCGCCGGTATCCTACAACCAACCAACAACACAGGTCTGAGTGTCGAACATCTCACCGTCACCGTCGGCACTGAACCCTCCAAGGGACGGGTTGAGAATGCCTTATCCCACCATGGGGCACTGGTAACTGTGTTGACCAAAGATGAGAATGTGCGAGCGGTCAAAAAGGCTGACGTGGTGGTATTGGCTATCAAGCCCATGAAGCGTGGTGATGTCTTTGCGGCCCTAGGGTTCAAAGAGGCGTTGCGAGGTAAACTAGTTCTCAGTATTATGACGGGGGTAAGCATCAGCGAGTTGCACCACCTGATCCTGGAGGGAGACGGTGTCTCACAGCAGGAAACGCCCATCCAGGCCATCCGGGCGATGCCCAACATGGCTGCCAAGATTCGAGAAGCCCTGACGCCGTACACTTCCAGCCCACAGACCACGAAGGAAAATATTGAAATTGCATCTTGGGTATTTAGTCAAGTGGGTGTGGCCTACCAGATTCCGGAAACGTCCTTTGATATCTGTGGGGTGTTGGTGGGTTGCGCGGGCTCACTCTTGCTTCTGGCGATCGATGGTCTGTTAGATGCAGCGGTGGCGGAGGGGGTCAAGAGACAGGAGGCGGAGGACTTGGTGGTACATAGTGCCATTGGGATGATAAAACTGGTACCATCAGGAGACCATTCCAGTGTTCTCCGCGAGAAGATTGCTTCTCCAGGTGGCTGCTCCATCCGGGCTCTATTGGAGCTCGAACGACTGGAGGTGAGATCGGCATTCACTACAGCAATTCTGGCAGTAGCAGCCAAGTCAAAGAGCATATCATCATCTTAGACGGATTTAAATCCTTTAGTTCATGTATCTGTGTTATTTCATTCGTTGTAGTTGAAGCGATATTCCCCCGTCACTTCCCGATCTGCGTGGGCTGGAGAAGACAATTTAATAAATAATTTGGATTACAAAGTATGGAACTTCAAAGTCTTTGTATATTTCAATAGACACATTTCATCACACTACAGGGTCTGCGGCCGTCCACACTTCTGCTTCGTGTATTTCCCTTATTCCGGCAAAGCAGCCACCACATCCAACCCCATCGGTGCATTCTTGGGCAGTTCCATCACTTTCATCGTCGCCCGTGCCGGCCGATGATCTCCCAAATACTCCGCCGAGACCTTATTAAAAGCCTCGAACTGCTCAAAATCGGTCAGGTAGACGTTCTGCTTGATGATGCGGTCCAAAGTGGTGCCGGACTCCTCCAGGATGATCTTAAGGTTATCAAAGATGCGGCGCAGTTGGTTCTCAGGTCCGCCTCCCACAATTTTCATGGTCGAGGGGTCGAGGGGAATGCAGGCGGTGGTGAAGACGAGGTTGCCGTGCACGATGGCGTGGACATAAGGGCCGATAGTGCGCGGCGCCCGACTGGGACAGACGGTCTTCATAGTGGAGGATAATAAAAATGGAGTAATCAGGTTGTCTCGTGGAGTGTGCGAATATCCAACCATATGAGAGTCGTGTGTCGCTCGTTTTAAATGGCGGTTGCATCCACGGCATCGTCATCCGTGTTGATCTCGGCATCCTTTTCCATCGGAATGGATGCAATTGCCGCCAGTAACTTGATATGGGGCTGCCATATCTATGCTTCGGCCCCCATTGGGGAGTGGGAAAGTTCACCACTGACATTTACCGCATTTCAGCCACCAAATTGCAACTTTTCAGAATGTTGCTGTCGATGAGACACAGGGCCATCGGGCCATCGCGGGTCATATTGCGGGCAGCCCAGCTGCGAGCAGTTCACTCACCCGCAATGTCAACCAAATCAAAGGCCTCGGATGTATGGAAAAACACGGTGTTGAAGTGGAGGAGCGTATCCCCCAAGAAACAGAAGATCGCCTATGTCGCTGGTAGTACTACTATCGCGGTTCTTGGTTTGCTGCTAGGGGGCAGAAACACAGTGCATGAGCCAGCTGATGCACATGATGTGGAGGCTCTCTCCAGGATCCCTTTCAGCAAGCTGTTCACCGGATGGATGTAAGTCATTCTACAACTCCTAACATCGAATCTGTTTGTAATATGGATGTGCTGATAGTACAATAGGGCCTTCACATTTTGTTCCTCGCCAACCTGGGTTGATATGAGTGAGACCCTCTACAACATCTTATCCAAAATACCCATCGTCTCTTCCGTCACCCATTTCTTCGTCATGAATATTTTTTTTAGTCAATTCCTTGGCGGGGAAACAACGGACGATTGCATCCCCAAGATCCAAGACCTCCGCAAGGGCCACATCGGCACCTTGCTCGGTTACAATATTGAAGCCGAGCTGGACGGGACGAGTAAGAATCCCGAGTTGATTCGAGCTCAGGTGGAGCGTGTCATGGAGTCTATCGATGCCCAGGGCCAACTGGGCCGGAATTTCTACCCCGATACAAGTGCAACGGGCGGCGATAACCGATCGTGGGTGAGAATCAAAGTGACTGGGCTGCTGCCGCAGCCCATCGCCCTTCTGCATGGTTCCGATGCGATTTTGACAGCAAGAGAATCAAAGGGTTTAGACATAGATGTGCCATACCCGGGACTACCTCACGATGGTGATTGGGAGGCCGCATTGAACGGCAAGCAGGTCACGCCGGCTGATCGCCAGCAACTCCTCGAACTATATGCCACGCTGGACAGAATTATGGCAAAAGCACGTGAGCAGAATGTACGGGTTGTCATTGACGCGGAACAGACCTGGTATCAACCCATCATTGACAGCTTGACGGATGAACTCATGCAGAAATACAATACCCTCGACGGGCCTGCGATCTGTGTGGCTTCGTTTCAGGCGTATCTCCGTCGATACCCGCAACTTCTGGATCAGCAGGTGCTTCGAGCGCAGGAGAAGGGGTACAAACTGCTTTTCAAACAGGTTCGGGGGGCCTATATCAAGACAGAGGGAGAGCGGTGGGCGAAGGAGGGCCGGAAAGGCCCTGGGCCAGTGTGGGGAAGCAAGGCAGAGACGGATGCCAGCTTCAACTATGGTATCGCGAAGACGCTTGCTACTGTGAGTTCGCAGATTCAGGAGACCGGCCACTCGCAGATTGGCGCTGTATTCGCGACACACAACTCCACGAGCGTGGACCTCGGGATCCGACTGCTTGAGGAGCATGGATTGGCAAAGCGCAGAAACAGCGACGGCAGACTCATTGTCTCGAATGAGGCGGCTGGAAGCATATCTTTTGGGCAAATTTATGGTAGCGCTTACTGCTCGGTTTCCCTGCACGAAGACAACCCGAGGGCTAACCCCATCCTAGGAATGAAAGACGACCTCACCAACAAGATTGCCGGTTCAATAGCTACTATCGATGGATTCCCTCTTGTAATCAAGGTATGATACTCCGCTTCTGAAGTATATTTGGCCCCGTCATACCTAACGAACTATCGTTCATAGTCCATGAGCTATGGGGATTTGAAAGAATGCTTGCCCTTCTTGGCCCGAAGAGCCACGGAAAATAAGGCCATTCTAGAGGGCAGAGGGGGTGCCAGTGCTGAGAGGATCCGGTTGAGTCGTGAAATGCGTAGACGCTTGCTGTGGTGGACTTCATACTAGTCTTGGTGCAATTATGTTAGGAGTTATAGATCTATCTTTAAGAAATTTATAAGAAAATGCGTCTGTCTCATAACACCAATCATACTGGATATCTTCCTCTAAGTAATCCACGTAATTAGACCCAGCTTCCAGGACAGTTGGCGAGAACGAACGTAGGGTCGGTGAATATTTAGGATCCCGAAGCCGAAGAAGTTTTCGACGGGATGGATTCCCGCGACGGAGTTGACTGCCGCCTCGCGAAAATGCTCGAAAAACGTTCCCCACACCAAGTCTGAGACCCCAGATAATGCCGGATAGCCCCAGATAAACCCCAGTTGCTATTATGTCATGGAAACCCCAGGTGGATATTGCGCGGTTATATAGGCTGGGGCTTGTTCCCTTTCCCCTGCTCGACGTTGATACCACCATTAGATCCGCCCATTTCGATTCATACAGGATGCCCGCAGAGGAAGACAAAATAACAACACCGAACAATGGGCTTACCACCGTCCAATTTTCCGCAGAGGAGGCGCTGAAGAGAGGAACGATCGAGGAACGGCCACCGGCGGAACTCAAACGAGGGTTCAAGAATCGCCATGTCAATATGTTCGCCATTGCCGGCTCGATTGGCACCGGCTTGATCATTGGAAGTGGTCAGGCTTTGGCCTCGGGTGGCCCAGGAAGCATCCTGGTTGCTTACCTGATCATGGGCACTTGTGTCTACACCATCATGACAGCCTTCGCGGAGATGGCCATCTTTGCCCCGATGAACAAAGGGTTTAGTGGTTATGCTACCAGATTTGTTGATCCTGCTCTTGGGTAAGTGGTAGTCTTCCCTTTAATCCTGCAGAGCTTTGAATGGGTTGCTAACTTTACTGACGGTGTCAGATTTGCTACCGGCTGGAATTATTTCTTCAAATACTCAGTCCTCCTTGCTAACAACCTCACTGCCACGGGTCTTGTGATTCGGTATTGGAGAGAAGACATCAATGTCGGCGTCTGGATAGCAGTCTTTGGAGTTCTCGTCGTGGCTTTGAATGTAGGTGGTGTTCCCCGCGCATTTTAAAGGTTATTCCTACGCCATTGGCTGATACTCTCGACTTTAGTTTCTCCCCGTCGAAAAGTTTGGCGAGACAGAGTTTGTGATGGCGATTGTCAAGATCATCGTCCTGGTCGGGCTCATTCTGTGCTGTTTCATCCTTTCTCTCGGTGGCTCTCCATCAGGAAAACACATTGGGTTCCGCTACTGGAAGGACCCTGGCGCATTCGCTCCATATCTCGCCAAGGGCAATTTGGGACGACTTCTAGGCTTCTGGTCTTGCCTTGTGCAGGGCGCCTTTATGTTCATGGGGTGCGAAGTAGTGGGAATTACCTACGGAGAGGCGAAGAATCCACGACGGGCGATTCCCCGTGCTGTCCAGCAGACAATTTGGCGCATTGCAGTCTTCTATATCGGGGGAGTCATTGTGCTGGGCATGACTGTACCGTATACCAACGAGCTACTGTTGTCGGCAAATCAAGAGAAAACCAGTGCTTGTGAGTTCAGCTGTGGTTGTGCACTGTCTTGAGGTAGTTGACCGCTAACCTGTCCGTCATCCAGCCGCTTCACCTTTTGTGGTTGCTCTGAAGCTTGCAGGCGTCGAAACATTGCCAGCCCTCGTGAATGCGTGCTTCCTCATGTTCACCGTGAGCTTTGCCAACTCTGGTAAACCCACCACCCGAAGCTGTCGGCGTGATATGAATTCGTTGACGCCGACTAGATATCTATATTGCATCCCGAACCCTGTACGGTCTCGCGCGCGATAAGCAGGCCCCCGCCATATTCATGAGAACCAACCGGTGGGGTGTTCCAGTCTATGCAGTCAGTGCTGCATCATTGTTTTGCTGCTTAGCCTTCCTCAATGTGTCCAGCTCGTCGAGTAAGGTGTTTAGCTACTTTGTCTCACTCTCCACCGTCCTCGGTCTGATAAACTGGCTCAACATTGTCATCACATACTATTGCTTCCAGAAGGGCATCCAAGCCCAGGGAATCACCCGGGCAGGGCTGCCTTGGAAGGGGCCCTTGCAGCCCTACGGAGCGTGCATCACCTTTGCCATCACCGTCATCGTCATTATCTTTAACGGGTACGCTGCCTTCATCGGCGGCTTCAAACTGGACAAATTTGTTACCTCATATCTGGGAATTGTACTGTACGTGTTCAATATTGTATTTTTCAAGACATGGAGGCGGACCAAGCGAGTTCGGGCAGAAGAGATGGATCTGGTTTCCGGTCGACGGATGTATGACCAGGACGCTGACGCCGAGGATGTTCCAAAAGCCGTTACTCAGCGGTTGAAGAGCGCACTATGGGGTCAATAGGCGGGTTAGTTTGACTATAATAGGTTCCAAACATGTCATGAGATTGTACCGACGCCGGAGAATATTCTGGCAAATCTGCCGAATGTGTAATACAATCAATGCTTCAGCAAAGGAGCAGAACTAGGGGTACATCGACGCTGGGTGTTGTGTTGCCCACAACACTTGGGCGAACCTTGTTCATCGTTCTACGTAATGACTGTCAAACGGAACACCTGTTCTGCCGTAAGTTACCGCCCGACGGCAAGGAAGGCCAACCTCCAAGCAACTTAGATAATTAAGATAAGAAAAATAATAAGAATAATAAGAATTTTTTGACAATCATCAGTCCATCTTCTTAAATATTACTAATATAATAATATATCTTAGTTCTTGATCCAGGAGATTAGAGAAAGAAAAAACTATTTATTTTATAGAAAATCTGAATAGAGCGGACTAACCGCAGTTAATTTTTTATTTAATAGTTTATTAAATATAATCTAATAGATCTGAATACCATCCTTCTAGCTTATCAACTATAAACCTTTATTAATATAAAATATGATTTTATAAAACAGTAGCTGTCTAATCTCATACTATATTTAAATAAAATTTTATATTAATACCTACTCCCACTGAACTTTACATTGTATCCGAACAACTAGATACATTCAAAAAAAATATTCAATGCTGCAGTCAGAAAATATATCTGAGTAATATTATTTATTATATCTGTGAGATATACAGATATCTTATTATTATAAAATATACTACAGAAATCCCTGGCCGAACAATCACGGGATACAGTTCCTGGAAGATATCTATTTAAGTAATTAATAATATTAATCAGTATATCTACAGTGGTACCGGGACTTCAATCCGTATCTATATAATAAAGAGAATAATTATTTAATAAATCTTATATCTAAGAGATTAACTCATCTCTCCAAGAAAAATTATAAGAAAATTTATAATATTAAAATCTTATAAGATTATCTAGTATTCTTGAATCTCAAGGCCTTGCTTAATCAGAAAATATCATTAAATTAAAGAATCTCATCAAACTAAAGAATCTTATCAAACTACAGAATCCTATTAAATAATAAATTAGAATATTATTCTGGTCTTATCATTCTACTAAAGAGTTATTAACAGAATCTACTCTATTAATATTAATTTCAGATTTCTTATTTAACTTTAATTATTTAACTATAGATAATAATTATTTAAATACTCGCATTGCAGTTCTTACAGAGATAGCAGATATTCAAATACCAGCTGTTATATAATAATTATAATAAAATTTATAATAGAATAATTTTTCATTAAATCTGTTCTCCATACAGCGACAGGTTTCTGACTATGAATGAGAAGATTTTATACCAGCTTAAATCTGTTATTTAAAATAATTAATAATTTAAATAATTATTAATACTTTTATTTATATTTAATAATAATAATTATCTTCTCAACTATTATCTAAGCTAATAATCAGATTTAATATTAGATCTGATCCTCGCATATAACTAGAGAATATATATAGTATATTTTTTAATATCTGTTATATACTATTTTATTAATTTTATTAATTTTAGTAATATCTAGTATCCTGTTCTTATAACCCTTATTAACTTTGTTTTTATGAACTATACTAAATTAATAATTACCAAGGTAATAGCTACCCTAATAAATATAACTATAGATATAATAATAGAAATAATAATAATAATAATAATAATAGAAATAATAACAGACAGCGGTTTAACTATTAATATATAACTGATATTGGCTATTTCTACTCTAATATATTTATAAACTGAGAACATGAAAATATTATTAATAAAGATAATAAGATCTGATATAAATTAATTTATACTTTTATTAAATATCTACAGTAACTAGCAATTATAAAAAATCCTTGGAAGATTATTTAAAATATTAATATCTGCTTCCGTGGCAAAGCGCTCAGTTGGTAGCTGAATAAGTTAAATCCAGATATTTAATAAATTTTATTCTAGTTAAATAATATTAACTTATTTTATAAATAATTAAAAGACAGATTTTATCTACCATCCAGTTATACTCAATAGCAGTTAAAAAATTATTATTATATAATTAATAATATCTATATAAATTATCCATCTTCCGTCTATATCTTTTAACTGGTAGAATTTATTTATTAATATAATAATAATAATTCTTATTCCCTGGTTCTATGCACCTGGTGATATATAAATATCTAGCTTTAAAAATTAATTAATAAGTTCTTTATATTAATAATAATTCCGGAGTTCATTCAACTTCTTACTAATAAGTTAATAAATTAGAAAAATAAATAAAATCCAGTATTTTACTATCTCCAGAACAACTACTATTCCTGAAATAATAATAATATTAATATTAAGAATTATAATAACCACCGCCCGTTCTTCTTTAACTGAAATTACGGAAACTAAAGGCCCTGGCAGAACCAGTCTAATAATAATAATTAATAAAATTAATAAAATAATAGTAATCAGCGCCCCTGGCAACAGAATAACAGGCAGCGAAACTATAATTAATAAAATAAAAATTAATAAAACTACAGGAACTAATAAAACAACAGAGATTAATAAAATTATAAAAACCAAAGAAATACACAAAATTAATAAAATAATAATATATAATCTTATAATAATAATAATTATAATTAATAAAATTATAATATCTTAAACTACTTCCGCCCTCAAGGAAATAATTATAGTAATAATAATTATATTTATAATAATAATAATAATAATAATAACTGTTATTAGTAATATTAAAGAGTATATTATAATACTGACACAAACAGCTATGATATTATAAAAGATAATTATTATAATAAAACTAAGAAAGAAATAGATACAAAATAATAATATTATAAGAATAATAACTGCTAACTAAATAAATATAATTAGAATTATCAGAATTATAATAAATCTATACAGAAGCTCAAACCAGTTAATAATCAGAATAACTAAAATAATATCTAATATTATTACTGTACAGAAAGTTTCTCATTAAACAACACGATGCACGTGCATTTAAAAAACTATTCTAGAAAAATACAGGTGTATTATATTAATCTTCTTATCTGTATAATTAAATCTAATATTGATTATCTATTAAATCTAACCGGGGACTGCTCTTTCAAAGACTAGTATTATACTATTATAAAAGTAGTCTTTACTTTTATATTTAAAGATATATAACCGGTTTGCTTAGATACTAACTATATAATAAATATTATAAACTACTAATTTATATAAAAATAAATTCTAAATCTGAATATTCTTAAATACACGTCTGTACTAATTCACAGTATTACTAATAATTTTATAAATACTAAGTATATCCTGCTTGATGTCTATTTTCTTATTTAATAATAAATTTAACCAGTTCTTATAAAAGTCATTCTAAAAATCTATTTAATAGATAATCTAAAAATAAATTTATTAATTAGATCTAATACTCTCAGTCCCGAAGATTTTATTATTAATTATAATTAACGCGAAGCAACTATTATTAATTATAATTATATAATAATTTTTATTATTATAACTTTTAAACCAAATTACCATCCCCAACCACGACCGGTGTTTGCTAGTAAATATTTTATAATTAAATTATATTTAAAGATAATAATCTTTATCTGATAACGCCAGGACCTAGCCGCTGACAGAAACTATTTATTTAAATTAAAGAAATAATCTTATAGTATTATATTATTTATATATACAGTTAATATAAACTTTTTTTATATCATAGCCTGTAATGACATAACTAGCCCTGTTATAATTAACTGTTATATAAGATTAGATAATATTACTGAATTTAAAGCTGCCAGTATCTACTATATATTTAATACAAATTTTAAAAAGACCTGACTACACTGGCTATAATCTAATTTATAAATAACAGACTATTATGACTATTAAAAACCGATTTTAAGATATATAAATAATTACTGAATAGTATTACTGTTTATAATATTTTAACTAAGCAAGAATATCTTAAATAAGTATATAATTTATATTCTAATATATAGATAAATTGAGATATTATCCAGATTTCTATAGACTGATAATTTAAAATTTATATGAAACCGGGCTGGAAAAACTGTCTGAAAAGATAATTAAAAGTCTATAATTTTAGTAAACTATATTATAATACAGTTAATAAAATCTTTGATAAACTAATTTATTTTAATTATATAAATTATTTAAAGAATTTCTACTGCATAGATACCCCAGTGTTTATTATAACCAAGACTATATATTATAAAAATTAATCTAAAATTAAATTCTGATTAATAATAAATATCTATAATTTTAATAATAATATTATATCTGATATCTATTTTATATTATTCTAATAGAAAATTATTATTAAAGTAACTGGAGATACACACCTCTTTATTATAAATATAATAATTATATTTTATTAATAACCGGTCTATCTATCTTCTTAGAAATACACCGGTGTTGTTACCTATCGCGGATAAAAATTTCTTAAAATTATACTAATAAATTTTTTAAACAGCATACCATACATCTAATACTAAGTTAATAATATATTTTAATACATACAGATTTTTTTATATATCTATATTAATAATTTCCTCTGCTATAGCAAATCATTTAAGGACTATATTAATTATTTTAAACAGTTATTTTATAAATATAATAAAATATAAATTATTTTAATATTAAAGAAGTTTTATATTACTTTCCTAATAATCTGACTACTCAGCCAGAATATTGACAGTCTTAGAATAACAGCCATAGAAAAGAAATTAGAAACTATTTTTAATATAAAATTCT